TTGGCCCAAGCAAGTCTCTTCTTATTATTGGTGTCCTTTAGTAGTGGTTTCTTTGCAGCAATTTGACCATGAAGGCCTGATTCACACAGTCTCCTCTGAACAGTTGATGTTGATATGTGTCTGTTACTTGAACTCTGTGAAGCATTTATTTGGGCTGCAATTTCTGAGGCTGGTAACTCTAATGAACGTATCCTCTGCAGCAGAGGTCTTCCTTTCCTGTGGCGGTCCTCATGAGAGCCAGTTTCATCATAGCGCTTGATGGTTTTTGAGACTACACTTGAAGAAATGTTCAAAATTCTTGACATTTTCCGGATTGACTGACCTCCATGTCTTAAAGTAATGATGGACTGTCATTTCTCTTTGCTTATTTGAGCTGTTCTTGCCATAATATGGACTTGGTCTTTTACCAAATAGGGCTATCTTCTGTATACCAACCCTACCTTGTCACAACACAACTGATTGGCTCAAACGCATTAAGGAGGAAAGAAATTCCACAAATTAACTTTTAACAAGGCACACCTGTTCATTGAAATGCATTCCAGGTGATTACCTCATGAAGCTGGTTGAGAGAATGCCAAGAGTGCGCAAAGCTGTCATCCAGGCAAAGGGTGGCTACTTTGAAGAATCTCAAATATAACATATAGTTTGATTTGTTTAACACTTATTTGGTTACTAAATTATTCCATGTGTTATTTCATAGTTTTGATGTCTTCACTATTATTCTACAATGTAGAAAATAGTAAAAATAATAAAAAATCCTTGAATGAGTAGGTGTGTCCAAACTTTTGACTGGTACTGTGTATATTTTTCAGTCTAATATGGCTATTTATTTACTTTTGTAGCTCTTCGTCAGAAGCATGTTTTTTTAACTGTCCTCTCCAAATTTAGCTGGAGTTTTGTGATTGGTCAACGATATGATATTGGCCTACATCTCGCCTTGCGCTCCACAGAATATCAGATCTCAACAACAATTGGAGAAGTGTTTAACATCATCAGTACCACATCCTTATGATATACAGTGGGGAGAACAAGTATTTGATACACTGCCGATTCTGCAGGTTTTCCTACTTACAAAGCATGTAGAGGTCTGTAATTTTTATCATAGGTACACTTCAACTGTGAGAGACGGAATCTAAAACAAACATCCAGAAAATCACATTGTATGATTTTTAAGTAATTAATTTGCATTTTATTGCATGACATAAGTATTTGATACATCAGAAAAGCAGAAATTAATATTTTGTACAGAAACCTTTGTTTGCAATTACAGAGATCATACGTTTCCTGTAGGTCTTGACCAGGTTTGCACACACTGCAGCAGGGATTTTGGCCCACTCCTCCATACAGACCTTCTCCAGATCCTTCAGGTTTCGGGGCTGTCGCTGGGCAATACTGACTTTCAGCTCCCTCCAAAGATTTTCAATTGGGTTCAGGTCTGGAGACTGGCTAGGCCACTCCAGGACCTTGAGATGCTTCTTACGGAGCCACTCCTTAGTTGCCCTGGCTGTGTGTTTCGGGTCGTTGTCATGCTGGAAGACCCAGCCACGATCCAACTTCAATGCTCTTACTGAGGGAAGGAGGTTGTTGGCCAAGATCTCACGATACATGGCCCCATCCATCCTCCCCTCAATACAGTGCAGTCGTCCTGTCCCCTTTGCAGAAAAGCATCCCCAAAAGAATGATGTTTCCACCTCCATGCTTCACGGTTGGGATGGTGTTCTTGGGGTTGTACTCATCCTTCTTCTTCCTCCAAACACGGCGAGTGGAGTTTAGACCAGAAAGCTCTATTTTTGTCTCATCAGACCACATGACCTTCTCCCATTCCTCCTCTGGATCATCCAGATGGTCATTGGCAAACTTCAGACGGGCCTGGACATGCGCTGGCTTGAGCAGGGGGACCTTGCGTGCGCTGCAGGATTTTAATCCATGACGGTGTAGTGTGTTACTAATGGTTTTCTTTGAGACTGTGCTCCCAGCTCTCTTCAGGTCATTGACCAGGTCCTGCCGTGTAGTTCTGGGCTGATCCCTCACCTTCCTCATGATCATTGATGCCCTACGAAGTGAGATCTTGCATTGAGCCCCAAACCGAGGGTGATTGACCGTCATCTTGAACTTCTTCCATTTTCTAATAATTGTGCCAGCAGTTGTTGCCTTCTCACCAAGCTGCTTGCCTATTGTCCTGTAGCCCATCCCAACCTTGTGCAGGTCTACAATTTTATCCCTGATGTCCTTACACAGCTCTCTGGTCTTGGCCATTGTGGAGAGGTTGGAGTCTGTTTGATTGAGTGTGTGGACAGGTGTCTTTATACAGGTAACAAGTTCAAACAGGTGCAGTTAATACAGGTAATGAGTGGAGAACTATGGGCTTCTTAAAGAAAAACTAACAGGTCTGTGAGAGCCGGAATTCTTACTGGTTGGTAGGTGATCAAATACTTATGTCATGTAATAAAATGCAAATTAATTACTTAAAAATAATACAATGTGATTTTCTGGATTTTTGTTTTAGATTCCGTCTCTCACAGTTGAAGTGTACCTATGATAAAAAATTACAGACCTCTACATGCTTTGTAAGTAGGAAACCCTGCAAAATCGGCAGTGTATCAAATACTTGTTCTCCCCACTGTATATCTTGTCAAACGAGCAACGTGACTGCAAACAGATATCTGTATATAATGTCTCCGCCCTAACAATGGGAGTCGTTGTCCCTAAGTCCAAAAAGCTTAGGTCCAAAATAAGCCCATAGAAACGCATTGGGTTTATTTTGGACACATTTTGGCGAGTGAAACCTCTCGCTTCGCCTCTTCCTCTCTGCTGAATGCCTAACAAATACGGAACAAATCTACCTTTTTTGTAAATTATTGGTGTTCGAATCTTTTTATATAATGCGGGACATGATTTTTTGGTTGCGGGACGTGGGACAAATAGCCAAAATGCGGGACTGTTCCGCACAAACCGGGACATGTGGTCACCCTACTTTCATTGTCATATGAGGGTCTGGCTGGCTAGCAGAGTTGGCTAACTGTGTTGGCTAGCAGAGTTGGCTAGCTATGACATTTAGCTTTCCTGTCCCCGCTTCAATCTGGTAGGTGATGAGTAGTTGCTAAACCAGTGCACACTTTGAACACACACACACACTCCAAATGTAGGAGATACATTTCTGTTAGAGAGAGGTGTATGTGCGTGTGTGTGAAAGAGAGATAGAGAGGGAAAGCGAGAGAAAGTGTGAAATACCCTCGGGAGAACATTATGTAGTCCCAGTCACCCATTAAAGTTTATTTACACCAAACAAGCATTTTTTAGGAGAGTTGTGACCACATTAGGAGCATCATGTTACCTGATCTGCACTGAGGAAATGTGCTGGCGGGAGAATGCCTAACACAGTGAAGAGAGCTGCCTTCCATCCGAAACACATCTCCTGCCTGGAAAGGTGAATGGGAAATGTCCATCCCTAGTCAAATGGTTAGGAGTTGTTTCCTGACAATGTGACCTAGGCAGGAAAAATTCTGGGTCCTAGTTATTCTTCGTCAGGGACAACTCCTGAACCTATAGCCAGAGAAGGTAGTATTGAACACCTCTCTATACCTACATCTGCCCAGGGAGGAAACCTTAACCCACCTCAGCCTGTGTCAGTCCAGGTGAAGGATGGACCAGTCTCTGAAGAGAGGATCTGGAGAGGAGAGGTAGGTTTGAGTCTCAGGCTGTTCAGTACTAAGGGGATGAAGGCCAAGCCTGTTGGATAAATGACTGAGATGTTTTTAAGAGTAGTCTGCATCAGAGACTTCCTGGATATGGTTGGCTATTAGCTAACAAATTCTCAGAGGCCAACTAGATCGTGTCTATATCATCATGTGAAATCAGCAAGTCAATAAGGATACGATTACAGAGGAGGGTTTAATCCAAAGCACAGGCTTCTGTTTCTTGAACATTGCACGCAACTTGAACAGGTGAGGATATTTACAGAGATGTAAACAGTCAGTACCGACAACACTGAGAGAGCACAGTGTGACACACACACGCATTACAGCAGACACACACACACAGGTGTAGACAACATGCACACACGCATGTGCACGGGCTCACACACACACACACACACAGCGAAGTAGCAGTATAAACACAGATTGGCCAGTCTGAAAACACAGAGTACAACAAGCCCCTTTGGTCAGCTACTTCAGACTAGTGTCAACATGTTAATTACAAGTTAACATTCATAGTTCAAATCAAAAATAGAACACATACTGTAAGAACAGTACAGGCAAATATAAGTAGACCTACAAGGGGCTTTTTTGACCAACGACATTATTTGATCTGTCAGTGATAGACTGGTACACACTCCTGATTTAGACTTTTTTGTTGTTGTGAAGACAGTCAGTCAATGGCATGGGAAAGGAATGAGGCCAATCTTGTTTCTCTTGGTAACATTGATCATAATAACCTGTACATAAATTGATCATATTTCACTGGATTCATGTGAATTCCTTTTCATTTCATTATAAACCCAACACATAATTCAAAGCCAGTTAAAAAGCAGCTCAAAAGTATGACAAATGTCACATGCAAGACAATCAAAGCAAGATGAAAATGAAACAAACAATTCTCAAAAAACAAGTGCAAATGCTGCAACATCTTTAATGCTTTCGCCTTATTTCCCATCTCCATCAAGAATAAACAAAATGGAGGGGAAAAAAACAGAAAATGGAGGGGAAAAAAACAGAAAATGGCGGGGAAAATCATTTACTGCACATTGTGGTGTCAAGAGGCATGCCTGATAAAAACGAAGAGAAGACATTCCTGCACAGCAGGAGGTAACACTGAGTGGAAGACCCAAGGCATGTCTAGTAAACTGCCCTCTTCCCTCTCCTCTTCCCTCCCTCTTTATTTTAACCTTCCCCTCCCTTTGACTCTCCTCCACCCCAGGTGCAAAAGGTAATTGCTTTGACTACAGGAAAGATGTACAGTATCTCTCTACCTCCCTTTCCTCTGCCCCTACCCTGTCTCATTCACTCTCTCCTACTCCCTCCCTCTGTAGTGCTGTCTGGCACAGCGCCCGATTCCATCCACATCAACAGTGCGTTGCCAGGCCGTGGACCTGTCAACACTTCCTGCTGCACCACATTAACAGCCACCGTTGATCCCAGACCTGTCACAAGGGCAGAGCCCATGTAGCCAAACAGCTCAGAGGAGCTACCCACTCTGATCCCAGACCTGTCACAGGACAGAGCCCATGTAGCCAAGAAGGTTAGAGGAGCTATTCACTCAGAGGCCAGGCATCAGCTATAAAATCAGCCCAACTCCCATACAATGAAGAGCGAGGCATATAGGATACATTAGACTAGTGCATGTCTAATACAAACCTATTGTGTAATTATTTTACACAAATAAAGATTAGCACACATTCCTTTTGTACAACCACTCTGTTTTCTTCAAGTGATCCCTACCAGCTTCTCTAAATATCTATTCTGAATCATTTAATCTGAAATGTTATCCCAATTTGCCTATTCATATTGTTTCGGATAGTATGTAGAAATCCCTCATATCACAACATCATACAGTATCAAGAACAATGTAGTCAATAGATCAGTAACTCAGGGCAGTTAACAGTTGAACTGCGGTAGCAGCAGCTCATCACTTTTTTGACATGGACAGTCATCAGGCCATTTCCATAAATAATCCCAAATGAAGCAAATTCAATTGGATAAGAAATGAAGCAACATTGTTGATCCACAAATGTCAATTCCAGATAAATTTGCCAAAAAACAAAGCAAATTTGATCTTTGATCAAGAGCTACTGTAGAATGTTCCCTGTATACTACTTCAATGCAGTGAATAACCAGATAGATCTTAGCCAGTAGGAAGCAAGGGCTTAGCACAGATAAAGTCCACAGTAGGTTTGATAATAGTAACATTGCAGTCCCTAATATCAAATATTCACCATGTTACACATACAGTCTAGTATAATTACAGTGACAGAGTTATGTAGCTAAAGTACTTATAGTATGTTGCAAAATACATACAAAGTATTTTGAGGCTGTCTGCACTCTTTTCATAAAATGTCAATGCAGGAGAAATGGCACTAGCTTTCACCGTACGGGAGATTGGATCTGGCATTCAAAACGGCAGCCCTTCTTTCTGCATCTGTGGTGAGTGACATCAGCTTCTAAAATAAGGTGTCAAACCCTCGCAAAGTCACAGTCTAAGGTCGTTGTGGGAGATCCAAGACGTGCGCCAGGTTACACAGAGCGAGCAGAATTACATCGTTAGCCTGGTTAAACCAGACTGAGCTCTGTCCTTACCATTGTCGTTCAACCAGGCTATAACATTGTAACAATCTACAGCCCAACGGCTCAAACGCAGACAGCCTGTCACCCATAGAGAAGGTCGCCACCCTGTGGATGGAGGATTGTATTACTTCTAAAAGGGAAAATAAACTACAGTGGTCACTGAGGCACTTGATTGTAACCGTATACGCATAGCAACAAAATACGACGCAGCGCCATTAAAATCAGGTCAGCATGCCTTGGATCACACAGAGAAGGCAGTAACATTCAGGATCAGACCCAAAAACAAGGCTACAAACTCAGTCAGCCCCTCGACCTTCTCACTCCCCACGCATAGAAAAAGGATGCACAATTTAGCATGCACAGTTAGCATGTCACCGTTATTATACACCTTGTGATACAGAGACAAACTAGCTGTTGTACTGTGACCTCCACATAAAGACTAATGCATGCGCATAGACTCGTATAGAGTCCTCTACAACGCTACTGTGACAAGATTGCCACGTGATTTCAGTGTGGTCCTATTAGAAGACAAACTGAGAAAAGCTAATCGGTTTAACCAAATCAAAAGAAAACATGAATAAATACTTCATATTACAGTGATGGCGACAGGAGTAGAAATTAGCAAACAAGAATGAGGTAGAGACATGGACTAGCCACTTGAGAAACTCAAAGTGGTATGAGAGAAAAGGAAAGAGAGAGAAAGAGAGAGGAAGACAAACAGACACAATCAGAGAGACAAACAGACAGAGAGAGACCAGTCTCTTGCTGATCTTAGTTGATCTCATTCCTGCAGATTAAGGTGAGCAGGACGTAGAGTGAATTGGTCATCTGGCTAGCTGGCCTCTCTTTCCCCTCACATCCGAATACGGTGTCGGGGGTCCGCGAGCGGGGGCTCGGAGTCGTCCATGGGCAGGACCAGGCGGGTGCCCCTCATCACCAGCTCGTGGTCACCGTACGTTAGCTCGCGGTCCAGGTCGTCAGCGGAGATGACGGCGGAGGTGGTGCCCGCGGGCCCGGCACTGGTGTGGGCGCCGCTGGCGTCCGTGCTCACCGTGATGTCACCGTAGGTCAGGCTGATATCCCCATCCGTCAGGATGAGGTCCGAGTCGTCGTCCTTCAGCTGGCACTCGTTCTGGTGGCAGGAAAGAGAAGGAGAGAAAGGAACATTTAGGAATAGGTCTTCACTAGTTCTAACTGATCAAATACTCCTGTTATAACTGAACTAATGCTTTAGCTCTTATGAAATCAGCAACTCTTCAATTGAGTCCATTAATTGATACATTATCCATTGTGATACTCATTAAGACTAAGAAGAAAACAGTACCTCACTACATGTCATCACTATTACCATAATCACCCTAACAGGGTCATGTGGGTAATAGGGACACATGGTTTGTGGGGACTGACCTCATAGGCCTGTGGGCTGGTGAGACATCTGGCCAGTGGTCCACAGCAGGCAGGCATGGTGACGGTGAGTGGGGGGCCACTATGTGTCAGGATGGGCTTCAGGTAGCTGGAGAGGGGTTTGAGTCAAGGCCTCAACTGTGTCACAGATAATCAAAACAAACTGATCAAATACATAATGGAGATTTACTATAGGTCAACCATCCTCCTCTTCCTCAATACATCAGCCTCCAATGCTGTAGGCTAGTATGTTATTGCAGCAATTGTACATACATACAGTGCATTCGGAAAGTATTCAGACCCCTTGACTTTTCCCACATTTTGTTACGTTACAGCCTTATTCTAAAATTGATTAAACAGTTTTTCCCCTCATCAATCTACACACAATACCCCATAATGACATAGCAAAAACAGGTTTTTAGAATTTTTTGTAAATGTATTAAAAATAGAAAACGGAAATATCAAATTTACATAAGTATTCAGACCCTTTACTCAGTACTTTGTTGAAGCACCTTTGACAGCGATTACAGCCTCAAGTCTTCTTGGGTATGATGCTACAAGCTTGGCACACCTGTATTTGTGGAGTTTCTCCCATTCTTCTCTGCAGATCCTCTCAAGTTCTGTCAAGTTGGATGGGGAGCGTCGCTGCACAGCTATTTTCAGGTCTCTCCAGAGATGTTCAATCGGGTTCAAGTCCGGGCTCTGGCTGGGCCACTCAAGGACATTCAGAAACTTGTCCCGAAGCCACTCCTGCGTTGTCTTGGCTGTGTGCTTAGGGTCGTTGTCCTGTTTGAAGGTGAATCTTTGCCCCAGTCTGAGGTCCTGAGCGCTCTGGAGCAGGTTTTCATCAAGGATCTCTCTGTACTTTGCTCCGTTCTAGTCTCCCAGTTCCTGCCGCTGAAAAACATCCCCACAGCATGATGCTGCCACCACCATGCTTCAACGTAAGGATGGTGCCAGGTTTCCTCCAGATGTAACGCTTGGCATTCAGGCCAAAGAGTTCAATCTTGGTTTCATCAGAACAGAGAATCTTGGTTATCATGGTCTGAGAGTCCTTTAGGTGCTTTTTGGCAAACTCCAAGCGGGCTGTCATGTGCCTTTTACTGAGGAGTGGCTTCCATCTGGCCACTCTACCATAAAGGCCTGATTGGTGGAGTGCTGCAGAGATGGTTGTCCTTCTGGAAGGTTCTCCCATCTCCACAGAGAAACTCTGCTGATTGCTCAGTTTGGCCGGGCGGCCAGCTCTAGGAAGAGTCTTGGTGGTTCTAAAATTCTTCCATTTAAGAATGATGGAGGCCACTGTGTTTTTGGGGACCTTCAATGCTGCAGAAATGTTTTGGTACCCTTCCCCAGATCTGTGCCTCGACACAATCCTGTCTCGGAGCTCTATGGACAATTCCTTCGACCTCATGGCTTGGTTTTTGTTCTGACATGCACTGTCAACTGTGGGACCTTATATAGACAGGTGTGTGCCTTTCCAATCATGTCCAATCAATTGAATTTACCACAGGTGGACTCCAATCAAGTTGTAGAAACAGCTCAAGGATGATTAGTGGAAACAGGATGCACCCGAACTCAATTTTGAGTGTCATAGCAAAGGGTCTGAATACTTATGTAAATAAGGTATCTGTTCTTTATTTTTAATACATTTGCTAAAATGTCTAAAAACCTGTTTTCGCTTTGTCATTATGGGGTATTGTGTGTAGATTGATGAGGGGAAAAATAATTTAATCAATTTTAGAATAAGGCTGTAACATATCAAAAAGTGGGAAAAGTCAAGGGGTCTGAATACTTTCCGAATGCACTGTATACATGATCATTTTGGTTATGCAGGACAAATCATGGTTTTCTACTTTATGCGTTAATATACTGGATAGAGAACATAAAAGCTTTCTCTGTGAAATGAATCTGTCACTGGAGCGCCATCTGCTGTGTGCTGATGGGAGTGACACCAAAGGATACTTGTGGTCAAAGTTGTACCAGATCCTAAAGAGCCAGGCACTCTCGTGTTTGGTGCTCCTCCGCTCTGATCCCTCTGTAATGCTCACCTGAGGAGACAGAGTCACAGAAAATACAGATACAGAGATCCACTCAAAACACCAGCACTACATTAAATCAGATGATTACAGCATTCAAGTCAAATAACTCAATTTTCATAGGCTTAATACTCACTGAGTTATCTGCGTCCGAATCTACACCCACACTGTTAGAAATGCAGAAACACATACATTAGTCTACCAGATCACAGTGGTCACAGACCATCATATTGAAACTGGACAGCCAACTTTATGTGCTGTGTGTATCCTAAATTAGAATAGACATCAGAACAACAAAAGGTTCAGTTTGAAGGCAATTTTTTGGGGGGGGACATACACCAACAATCCCAAACTTTGACTTTCGACCCCCACGGTGGACCTACCGTATGTGCTGGCAGGAAAGCATCTGGGTGGTGCCGCCTCCACAGACCCATACAGTGAAGAAGACGATGAGGAGGGTGGTTGTGAACATCATCTGACGGGCGTACGTAGCCGTGTCCCGGATGGAGAGGGCAAAAGTCATCGCCCCACGCAACCCTAGGGAGGACAAGGAGGGGTTATTTAAGCAATAAGGCACAAGGGGTTGTGGTATATGGCCAGTATACCACAGCTAAGGGCTGTTCTTATGCACGACGCATCGCAGTGCCTGGATACAGCCCTTAGCCGTGGTATATTGGCCATATACCACAAACCCCAGAGGTGCCTTATTGCTATTATAAACTGGTTACCAACGTAATTAGAGCAGTAAAAATAAATGTTTTGTCATACCCATGGTATACGGTCTGATATACCACGGCTGTCAGCCAATCAGCATTCAGGGCTCGACCCACCCAGTTTATAATATGCTGTAAGTGTGTGCGCAAGCGACAAGCAGTGTGTGTGTGTCTCAACAAGTCATATCACTTAAAATAGCTTTTTGTTAGATAATGTCGCTGGTGTGGGAACTCTGTAAACATTTCCAATAAAAGTCATCACATGACAATCAGTTAGTACAGTTACATAGTGGTCAATTCAACAACAAGTTCTGGTATGACTTGTGTTTCTATATCTATAATATTTAATAATGATATATATAATCAATATAGCGTCTTGCTCTACCAACAGAGTTTCAGAAGACTAAGGATGTAATGTCAGAACAGTGACTCCTAAATCACTGGACACAAGAAATCAGACTCATAAATCAACATTTTAAAACTCTTGGCCAAAAAGTGGGAGGATATCCCAGCCTCTGCACTTTTTTAAAATTTCCCCAAAAATGTTTTAAACTAATAATAAATAAATAAATTGTGGCTGATATTTCATCATTTGAAACCCAGAAATTGGATAGAAAGCGATATATTATCGTCACCTTTTCTCTTCAAGTATATACAAGGTTATTTAATCTAGTGATTAAAAAAGGAAAAATGGTGGCGCCAGATCTCCGCCTGGCCACATAGGCGGTGTTTACACAGGCAGCCCAATTCCAATCTTTTCTTTTCACTAATTGGTCTTTTGATGAATTAGAACAGCTCTTTTGCCAATAATTGGGCAAAAGATCAGAATTGGGCTGCCTGTGTAAATGCAGTACCTGCAAACATCATCATGTGTTGGAAGTTGGAGCTGATCTTGTTCCTGCGTCCAAGGTTGAGCAGGAAGGACAGGGGGTAGATGTTGGCTGCTCTGCCCAGGAACACTGCCAGCTGGGAGGGATTGTTGTCAAGGAGAGGTCCATAGAGGGTAAAGAAACCTAGCAGTCTCCTGAAAAAACATTTCAGTCTAGTGCCTTCCCAGCATTACAAACAACATTCTGTACATAGATGCCCGGTAATGTTACTTACTTAATGCTACTTACTCTAAGCTGTTATGACTGCAGTGGTTAAATAACAGTTCAACAATGCCCAGTTTGTCATTACTTATGCCATTCCCACCCAGTCTTACAGTTTAACCCCTTTACACTACTCTACTCTTAGACTAGGGTTGTCATCACCTCATTGTATTAAGACTGAGGATACAAAAGCACCCACGATGAAGGTGGGGTTGAAGATGTGGTTCTGGAAGGTGAACAGGGCCAGACCCATGTAGGAGAAGATGAAATTCTCCGCCAGGAAGTTCAGCAGCTCAAACAACTACAGGACAACACAAAAACAACCTTTCAGGGACCATGATGGAATGTCAATATTTAGCAGATGACATTGCTGTCCAGAGTAGCTTGCAGTAAATAAATGCAATGGTAAACGTTGTCCTCACCTGTTTGGTCCTGTCCTGGGATTCAGGGGACAGGTTGTTGAAGGTGTAGTGAGCCTGAGTGATTCCACAGAACAGCACTGCCACCACACCTGCAAACAGCAGACACACCCACATCATGATTAACCATAATAAGCTGGGTCATGAAAAATAACCTGTGGGGGTGGGACCATGACCTATATGTAGCGGTGCAGTAAGATGAGGGTTACCTGTGAAGCCACAGGCCTCAGCCATTAAGAAGGTGCTCCAGGACATGAGGAAGAAGAGAGCCGTCTCCAGTAGCTGGAAGTCCCTCAGCTTAGTGAACTTAGTGACGTGAGGAGAACAGTCAAGGAGAAAATCCATCATGAAACTACCACACTACACAACTCACCAACACTGACAGAACAGCTTAGACACTACAGCATTGAGGTCAACATATAGCAACTAGCAAGTTACAATAACAAAAGCATTTTTACATTTGAGTCATTTAGCAGACACTCTTATCCAGAGTGACTTACAAAAGCAATTAGTGCCTTGCTCAAGGGCACATCGATAGATATTTCCCGTAGTCGGCTCGGGGATTCAAACTAGCGACCTTTGTTACTGGCCCAACGCTCTTAACCGATAGGCTAAGAATCTACTTCATACATTCTAATACAAGAACAAAAGCATTTCCATCTGTTTGTAACCTTGCTGTTGTTGTAATATAAATATCTAGACACGCAAATCACACAAAGGAAGTGCATCATTGAGTAAAGGATATGAGTGCTGTCATGACCCCGGTGGCCACTCCTAGGGCGAAGGATCCACTGAAGACCCCCAGGAACACCCCGAAGGACTTCAACATGGCCATCACCTCAAAGGTGTGACTGTTGTCCCCCTCCGGCTGGTACGACACGATGGACCTGGTACACACACACACACACACAGTCACACACTGTCAATCCCAGAAAAGGTGCAAAATAATAGAGTAGCTCAAGCGGTCTATGTGGATGGATGAAGTGTTACGAGGGTGGAAATGGAAATGAAATACCGGTATGTACTGTATCATTTCTGGGGCCGAGAAATGAATGTGAACCATAGATCATTAGTACAGTTAGACCTAGAGAGCTGGTTTACAATGTTCTTCCATCCTGAGAAGGTTGAACGTCGTGAAAAGTCCCAATTGATATCAGAACTAAGGTATGGTGTACCAGGTATATTCCTACAGACCAGGGGAGGCCTTTATCCGATGACTCTGATGATCCTAATGACCCAAGACCACTGTATAGTACTAACATTTACATGCCCGGTCTGTTTGAAGTGCAGATGACTCTCTTGGCAAATATATTGTGGCTCGCTGTGTCAATATCTACAATGACTATCGTAGTTTCATATGGAAACCATTAAGAAATTATGAGATTATCCTACAGTATGTGCACATCAGTGGTGGCTGGTGGGAGGAGCTATAGGAGGACAGGCTCATTGTAATGGCTGGAATGGAATGCTTGAAAAGGAATATGGTTTCCATATGTTTGATACCGTTCCATTTATTCCATTCCAGCCATTACAATGAGCCCGTCCTCCTATAGCTCCTTCCACCAGCCTGCACTGGTGCACATATTTGTGTATAGACATCTGTTAGTAAGTACAGTACTGTATGTGAAGTGATACCATTCTCTTAGTAGCAATGTTCTACACTGGAGGGTTCTATGGGAGTTCTAGCTCCCCAGTCTTCAGGTACAGTGAGGGAAAAAAGTATTTGATCCCCTGCTGATTTTGTACGTTTGCCCATTGACAAAGACATGATCAGTCTATAATTTTAAATGGTAGGTTTATTTGAACAGTGAGAGACAGAATAACAACAACAAAAATCTAGAAAAAAACGCATGTCAAAAATGTTATAAATTGATTTGCATTTTAATGAGGGAAATAAGTATTTGACCCCTCTGCAAAACATGACTTAGTACTTGGTGGCAAAACCCTTGTTGGCAATAACAGAGGTCAGATGTTTCTTGTAGTTGGCCACCAGGTTTGAACACATCTCAGGAGGGATTTTGTCCCACTCCTCTTTGCAGATCTTCTCCATGTAATTAAGGTTTCGAGGCTGACGTTTGGCAACTCGAACCTTCAGCTCCCTCCACAGATTTTCTATGGGATTAAGGTCTGGAGACTGGCTAGGCCACTCCAGGAACTTAATGTGCTTTTTCTTGAGCCACTCCTTTGTTGCCTTGGCCGTGTGTTTTGGGTCATTGTCATGCTGGAATACCCATACACGACCCATTTTCAATGCCCTGGCTGATGGAAGGAGGTTCTCACCCAAGATTTGATGGTAGATGGCCCTGTCCATCGTCCCTTTGATGCGGTGAAGTTGTCCTGTCCCCTTAGCAGAAAAACACCCCCAAAGCATAATGTTTCCACCTCCATGTTTGACGGTGGGGATGGTGTTCTTGGGGTCATAGGCAGCATTTCTCCTCCTCCAAACACGGCGAGTTGAGTTGATGCCAAAGACCTTGATTTTGGTCTCATCTGACCACAACACTTTCACCCAGTTCTCCTGTGAATCATTCAGATGTTCATTGGCAAACTTCAGACGGGCCTGTATATGTGCTTTCTTGAGCAAGGGGACCTTGCGGGCACTGCAGGATTTCAGTCCTTCACGGCGTAGTGTGTTACCAATTGTTTTCTTGGTGACTATGGTCCCAGCTGCCTTGAGATCATTGACAAGATCCTCACGTGTAGTTCTGGGCTGATTCCAACTCCATGATGATCATTGCAACTCCACGAGGTGAGATCTTGCATGGAGCCCCAGGCCGAGGGAGATTGACAGTTATTTTGTGTTTCTTCCATTTGCAAATAATCGCACCAACTGTTGTCACCTTCTTACCAAGCTGCTTGGCGATGGTCTTGTAGCCCATTCCAGCCTTGTGTAGGTCTACAATCTTGTCCCTGACATCCTTGGAGAGCTATTTGGTCTTGGCCATGGTGGAGAGTTTGGAATCTGATTGATTGATTGCTTCTGTGGACAGGTATCTTTTATACAGGTAACAAACTGAGATTAGCACTCCCTTTAAGAGTGTGCTCCTAATCTCAGCTCGTTACCTGTATAAAAGACACCTGGGAGCCAGAAATCTTTCTGATTGAGAGGGGGTCAAATACTTAATTCCCTCATTAAAATGCAAATCAATTATTTAACATTTTTGACATGCGTTTTTCTGGACTTTTTTGTTGTTATTCTGTCTCTCACTGTTCAAATAAACCTACCATTAAAATAATAGACTGATCATTTCTTTGTCAGTGGGCAAACGTACAAAATCAGCAGGGGATCAAATACTTTTTTCCCTCACTGTATCTCTCAGTAATGACTGTGGCAGAAATACTTCAACAGCTTTCCATTCAAGGCAGACTGGGGGGACTATTAGGCCTAGCTGTTTTAACTCATAAATATGGGGAACCACTTGTGAAAGATTAGCTGAAGCTTGGAATTAATGATTCTAGATAACATGGTTAAATCCAAATTCCAATCAATCCAAATTCTTTATACAATTCTGGCTCATGCGAAAGCAAAATAAATCCATGTAAAAATTATCAAATAAGAGGGTTATTACTGTTCTTTCTATTTCTTTAACTTGAACAATTCTCTACGCATTACATCACTATAAGGGCATTAGTACATGGCTGAGAGAAAAGCAGTGAGTGAGAGAGCAGTTTGACCGAGAAGACATAGAGAGGAGGGGTATAGGGTTAGAGTCGAGCAGCAGGACCATGCAAATTGGGGATCTAATAAACTCCTGTCTCCCAAACAGCAAATCACCAGGATTCTACACCACAAGAACTGGCTTACATTTTGAATTGAGGCCTCAAGAGTTGACCTAATGCATACCTCAAGATCTACAAAACAGATGCCATGAAATATGGACTCAGTACTCTAACTTTTAGGTTATGCAAACATCTGACACACTTTTGATGTTGGAGTGAACTCTCCGTTTAAGGGTTGTACTTGTGCTGCATATCTGCTACCTGGGGTGTAATGGCTGGTCATTTGCCGTGCATGTTCTGACGATGCAAAAAAGAAGCCACTGCAAAAGCACTCTGAGCTAGCACACCCGTTCAGGGGAGTGTCTCGTGTCGCCGCCACGCCCTCTACCCACTGATTGGCTGATTGATTGGCTCCAGGGGCGTGCTGCACCCCCGCGCTGAGCCGACCATAATACATTAGAATTCTGAAAATAATCAGAGTTCCCGGCAGAGGGAAGGTACTGGTTAGGGTTACCAAAGGGTCAGTCTCACACATTCCACAGCATTAATAATAGTTATTGGTTTAGTACAACCAGGTCACAAACAGGACAATCAATACCAAATAACATTTGGTTGAGGGTGTGTGGGGTGTGTGTGTGCATGTCCATGTGCTTGTGTGTGTGTGTGACTAGGACAAACCTCCCTCTTATCCAGCCCAAAATATCTAAAACAGTTCCAAAGCACAGCTGTTTGAAGATGAGGTTTGTCAGCCAAAGCTTCACAACAATGGATCACAAAGACAAAAAAAGACCAAACTTCACAATGTGAGTGTGTACAGACAGACAGACGGTAGATAGGTGTGTCAGGTTAAGACGGAGGACTCACGAGGACAGCACCACGGCCACGGCGTCGTTGAGAACGCTCTCTCCAAACAGCAGAGCGTACAGATCCACGTCCACCTGCAGCTCGTTGAAGATGGCCAGCACCGTCACTGCAGGACATGAGACACAGTAAAGAAAAGGCTTCCACATGCTTCAGTTCGGCTGCATACTCCCTTAAAAGACCACCTGAAAAACTTGAAAAAAGCAGCAATAGTACTATTTGTCCATTTTGAGACGCCGTAGCCTAAGATAACTCAAGGAATCTGTCATTCATTTTACGTTTTTGCTCAGGAGATCTTAGTCACGCATTTTTACATTTAAAGATGTTTGGTGCAGTATTTCTCAATGAAAAAATGTGCCTGAAAACAAGTCGTCTCTCGTTGAATGACAACAAAGACTTTATTGAAGAATCACTACTGTTGACCAATCACAGACAAAGGTGCGTAGACTTCGGCTACCGACTTCGACTTGCCTACAGAATTTATTTTGTGTGCCTTTACACTGTTTTCAGAATGACATGCAGATGGACCAGCAAGACCGCATTCGAGAATGTTACCACGTCAACATAAAGTTGTCCTCTTAACATTCTACTAGAATGAACCAGCAAATAGAGCCCTATAGGTTAGAAATTGTTGGTGCTGTGTGCAGTCACTACATTTTGTACAACGTCAGCATATGCTATATTTCTCAACTGCAAGACAACTCACAGTACTCCAAATACCTAGTGGAAGTGCATGTTTTTGCAGCTTGTGAATCAGGAAAACCCCCTTTGAACAGAAATATGACTAAGCATATTCCTACTGAAGCAAGCAGTTGAACCATTACCGCGTGGTCCATTACTATGAGTGTACTAAAGAGGTGACTGATATGAACAGAGTCTGTACCGGGGTCAGTAGCAGAGACAATGGCTCCAAACAACAGACAGTCAGTGAAGAAGAAGTCCCCGTCAAGCTGTCCCACCTGCTTCATCAGCGTGACACAGCCGTACATCAGCAACCTGCACAGAGGTACAGATTACATTACTTCAGTTCAGCATTTCTCTGACCGGTCACACAAAGGACTAAAGGTGTATGAACACACAAAGATGTAAAGCATACATAATACAGTATATCTGGGTATAAACTTGCAGGTTGGCATTTGTTGTCATGAATCTTGCCCTGGAGGCAGCTCTGCAGATTTGTCACTAGCTGGCACAGCCACAAAGTCATAAAATCGGATTTTAAACCTAACCCTAACCTTAGCTCCAACTTTAACCATACTGCTAACCCTAATGCCTAACCTTAAATTAAGATCAAAAAGCTATTTTTTGTTTTCATGAATTTTGACTTTGCAGCTGGCCCATCTAGCGGAAATTGCTCAGTTCAGCCTCTAGGGCAAGAGTCATGACAATAAAAGTCCACCTGCTATAAACTCACCCAATGATGAAACATGATATGACTGTTCCCAGAAAGGCGTAGGCCAGGATGGACCCCATGTTCCTGAAGAAGTGCCTCTGGGAGATAGAGTTATGTTAAGGATTAGGCCTAAATATTACCCAAGAACAAATCAACACTGTGATATAACTACTGTTTAAACTTTCAAACAACTAACTACATGCCTTACCCTCTTCAGACTGTAGCCGGCATGGAAGATGATGGGGGGCAGGAGGATGTTGAAGAACACCTCGGGGTCAAAGGTCACCTGTGAGAAAAGAGGAAAAACTCAGAGGGGTTGTTTTACATCACTGTACAGTGTCCCACTGACTATAATAAAATGTGCTATTTTTTTTAGTTATAACCTAATTATAACTACCTGTAACAATAACTAACTAGGGTCCAAAATCCCATTTCAATTTCAATCATTGTGTTGGATGAAAATAGCACTAGTTGTTATTTTTGTTAAATCTAATGTCCTACAGTTGGGCTTAGTTCTGATCAAGCATCCTCTGTGTTGGGTGGTTAAAAACCAAAGTTTAATGGTATCATGGAGTTTTCTTTTCTCTGATCAGGTGACACAGCATTGGCATAGAAGTGGTTCACACAAAGGGGTACTAGGACCCCCGGGGGTACTTGGCCTATCCACAGGGGCAAATTAAGAAGATTCATGAGACCATAGGCCTACTGGTAAAATCCACATAAGGGGGTAATCCGGGCAGCGTAAAAATCTATTGGTGGTACAGTAACCAAAAAAGGTTGGGAACCACTGGCACATAGCCGCGGGAAGTAGGGGTCCTGCAGCACCCCCTGAAAAATCATAATAAAAAAAGACATATACATTTTAGAACACCTACTCATTCTAGGGTGTTTCTTTATTTTTACTATTTTCTACATTGTAGAATAATAGTGAAGACATCAAAACTATGAAATAACACATGGAATCATGTAATAACCCAAAAAATTGTTCAACAAATCAAAATATATTTTATATTTGAGATTCTTCAAAATAGCCACCCTTTGCCTTGATGACAGCTTTGCACACTCTTGGCATTCTCTCATCCATTTCAATAAACAGGCGTGCCTTAAAAGTTAATTTGTGGAATTTAATGCGTTTGAGCCAATCAGTTGTGTTGTGACAAGGTAGGGTTGGTATACGGAAGATAGCCCTATTTGGTAAAAGACAAAGTCCATATTATGGCAAGAACAGCTCGAATAAGCAAAGAGAAACGACAGTCCGTCATTACTTTAAGACATGAAGTCAGTCAATACGGAAAATGTTGCCCCCCCACCGGCCCCACCTCCTTATGAGGAAGAAGGGGCTGGAGGAGGAAGGGAAGAGGAAGGTGAGGAAGAGCCAGAGGTAGAGGAGTACAGGACAAGGGCAGAGAAAGTCAGACAGGAGAGAAAAGAGAGAAAAGAGAGAAGAGAGAGAAGTCCATCCCCCAGCTTTGAGCGTGAGGAAGAGGAAGATAAGGCGTGACTAGTCCTTGAGGGAGAAATAGTAGACTCTAGTGGGGGGAAGACTAAGGAACCCTTTGATCCAAATTGTGAGGTGTTTGAATTGGCTACTATTGACTTAGCACTTCAACAGGAACAGAAACCTTATTTGACATTGACAGTAATGGGTAAGAAAATGAAATTCCTTTGTGATACGGGAGCCTGCAGGACAGCAACCTGTGCAACAGACAAGCCAGATGGAGTCAGGATTGATGGGGAGAAAATCATAGTGCGATCTGCCTCTGGTCATCAATTTATTGAAAGGTTATCAGCCCCAATAACCCTAAAACATGACCAATCAGGAGGAGAGGCAACCATACCCATCCTGATATCTAAGCTGTGTCGGGTAAATTTACTAGGACATGATGTAATGACTAAATTGAATGTGGCTGTCATTTCCGCTGAGAGGGGAATGAAAGTACACATAGTCAGAGACAATATGGTGGTCTGTGGGGAAGGGGAGCCATGTTATTGGTATAGGCAAGAATTGTTAAGGGGGGGAATAACTGATATTCCCCGAACCTTGATGGAACTTGCTGATGATGTAGTACCAGGCCCCACTAAAATGTCCCCCGATGAGGAGAGGAATACCTGTTGACAGAACAACAGGAGTCTGACTTAAAAGAAGTTCCAGAGCATTTGTGGTCCCGGGGTCCAGCATACGTAGGATTAATAAAAGGGGTAATTCCAGTACAGGTGATACCCAAATCTAATCATAGGCCGTATCAGAAGCAATACCCTATGAAACCAGAAGCAATAAAAGGTTTGCAGTTTACCAAGAGCAGATTGTGAGGGACCTTGAGGGAGGGCCAATTCTCGGGGAGATAGTGAGGCCAGAAACAAAGGTGCAGTGTCCTGGAAATCAGTCAGTTTTTTTTTTTTCAGTTCTGCTGGGAGTACATTGGATGATGGGGTTTTGTGTTGAATTAGAGACAGTGAGACTATTAGTCAATACCTAGGAGAGAAGAGAGGTTACGGTAGCAAAGACAGACAAGAAGGAAATGGTAATAGTGGAGACAGGAGTGAGTGGAAGTGTTACAATTGTGACAAAACGGGACATTTTGCTAGAGAATGTGAGGAACCGTGTAGTTACTGTGCAAGGAAAGGGCACCAGTTAAGAAACTGTAGGCAGAAGGGGAAGAGAGAAATCAGGAGTCCTCATGACCTGGCTGTTTGGTTGTTGTTTTTTAATTGGGGTTTTCAAATAAAAAACAACACACCTAGTATGATGTTTATAAAGCCTTGTTGTTTCAATTTTGGGGGGTTTTCAGCAGGTCAAGGGTGATAGGTCTTAGAGGAGCACACAGTGAATTTTATGGAGTTTTTTAGGTTTTGGCTGAGTTTGGGGTATATATGATTTCTTATGAGAATGAATGTCATGAGGATTAATGAACACTTGGGATAAGTAACATTTATTAAATATTTAGAATAATGGTAATGTTTGGTATACTATGGGATGGAATTTCAATTGCCTCTGAACTCTGTTTTAACTTTCTGGTGTTAATTAATCATCCACACTGGTAAATTCTAAAGGCATGAGAGGAGGACTTTAAGATAGTTTATTTTACCAATAAATAAAAATAAGGGATGGCAATTGGATGATTTTTTACCAATATTACCTAAGTGATTGTTAGGTAGGTGATAATATTGACACATGGGCAGTGACATGTGTCAAAAGGAGGGATGGATGGTAGAACAGATTAGACAACACTTTATTGCACATGGGATTACTAATTATAAAAAAATAAAAATAATAACAAAAAAAACTTTTGTTCAAGATGTGTTATCTGTGCTCAAAATAATCACCAGGGCAGACAAAGGGCACCTCAGGGTGAGTATCCTCCGGCTAAGTACCCTTTCCAGCAATTGGACATTGATTTTATAGAGTTATCACGGAGTGAAGGGAAGAAATTTAGAGTAACCCCAGATAAAGATGGGTTATCCCCCTTTGAGAAAGTGTTTGGAAGACCTTACAGAATGCCACAGTTGGCAGGACCAGACAGGCAGACATAGAACTAGAGAGCACCCTAGCAGAACACGTGAGAAGGTAGTTTATTAACCGCACCTGTATGTCAGAGGTTTTGTGCCCCACAGGTGAACTAAAGGAGAAGGTGACCCACTCTATCTAACCAGGAGACTGGGTGTGGATCCAGTCCCTAAAGAAGAAAAACTGGAAGCAGCCCCGTTGGGAAGGTCTATATCAGGTCCTGTTGGTGACGGCCTTCGCTGTAAGAATCACCGAAAGATCCACCTTGGTGCATGTCACTCACTGCAAAAAGGTAAACCCAGTTACACCTGACGAACAAACACAGAGTTAGGAGAAAGAACCGATCACCACTAGGGCTCGGGGGTTGGCTCCTTAACGAAGATTCCCTTACCCTGTCTGATCATCCCTGTGTGAGTTCGATAGAAGGTAAAGCAATGGGTTGGCCTCTGGCGTCTGACATGTTCTCAGGGCGAGGGTGGGGATTCACAGGTCTCCTGACGGTAGGTAGCTGTCTGATTGTGGGGGCCATATTCCTAACACACTCAAACCCTCCTGATCCGCCAGAAGTAGTAGTTAACCTAACAACAAGTTGATAAAATAATACCTTAACACAGTCTATGAAGGCATAGGAGACAACTAGACGTAGGGAAAGGGGAAGTACTAGGGACTGTAGGGAAGGACATCACCATATGTATGTCACCATGTATATCCTGGGACTATGTAGTTGCTCATATCAAGCGGGGGGGATATGTCAATCTCCATACACAGTTTAAGGACAGGTGTAGTATTGTGAAAGTAGGGAATTACCAGAAATGGCAGTGCAACCCATATAAGGGTAGGTACTGTCTGAAAGTCTGAATTACGCTAAAACAGGTTACAGACCTGAACAAGTGAGATATCCTCTTCAACTGGGGCACCCTATAGAGTAAACCTCTCGGAGGGAGGTAGTCAGACCGGGGCTGTGGTGAAGGAGTCTTGTAGTAACTTGCACTATCTATATCCCCCGATAACAAAGTCACCCCGACCTAGGTTGCCTCCGTTTGAAGTCTCAGGGGATTCTTATTGTTTTTCTAGGACTAGTAAGATAGGATACAGGGTTGGGCATCTTAGCTCCTGCTCCCACACAGAGAATGTCACAACTAAAGAGACCATGACTAATCTCTCCTCTTTGTTGCAGCCAGAGGATTTTAGGAACCAAAACCAGGCCCGTGCTGACATCTGATGGTTGTGTGGTGATAACAGATTGTGAACTCACCTACATACGCAAACAATCAAACGTGTCAGAGACTGGTGAGTTGTCACGTAGAAAGTGGGACCTCCTCCCGGGATCCTTTGATGAAAGGATATATATTGATGGGATAGGAGTACCTCGAGGGGTTCCAGAAGAATTCAAAGCTAGGAATCAAATCGCAGCTGGGTTTGAATCAAGTATTTTCTGGTGGTCAACAATTAATAAAAGCGTAGGTTGGATAAATTATATGTACTATAAGCAGCAAAGATTTATAAACCACACTCGTGATGCAATAAAGGGATTAGCTGAGCAGACAGCGGCAACTAGCTTAATGACATGGCAGAATAGAATAGCTTTAGATATGCTTTTGGCTGAGCGGGGCGGAGTTTGTGTTCTGTTTGGATCTATGTGCTGTACTTTCATCCCCAACAATACAGCACCGGACGGGTCCGTTCAGGGACTCACCACGCTGGCAAACGAACTGGCTGAGAACTCTGGTATTAATAGCTCCATAAACGGTTGGTTTGATAACATATTTGGTAAATGGAAAACTATTGTTGTAACTATTCTGGGTGAAGTTATAGCTTCTATGGGTATACTTGTTCTTTGTGGATGTTGTCTTGTTTCCTGTGTCTGAGGGTTGGTGAGAAAAGGAGATGGAGAAGGTGGTTTCCCAACAGATGGTGAGATACGGCCCAATCCCGGACTCCGACCTAAGGAATTAAGGATATGACCTACCAGGCTTGGTGGAGGACGACGACGATCCAGATAATTTGAGACTGGATGTTTTCCTAGAACTATAAATCTCTAGTTTAAAAGTTATTGTAATGATCTTTTGTGTATTAAAGTCTCATTTTAAGTATGATGTACTAGTTACCATTGCTAAAAAGTAACGTTATGCTTTTAATCATGGGGTAACCCTGATGAACCTGTAATGTTTTTATATGCAAACCAACTTATATACTTCAATGAGTGTGATTCATTTCTATAACAACATATATTTTGTATGTGTGTAATATTTAGTCAAAGGGTGGAATTGATAGATTAATTATTAATGACTAATTATTACACCCTGAAACTGTGTATAATGTATTAGAAATGTGTGAGTGTAGGACCAGTAAAGGCTATGGCATTGAGCCACTATTTAGCAATGTGAGTAAGAGTTAGGCTAGACAACAAAGACAACTGAGAAACTAAGATAAAGAGGGCTCCCAATTTAGGGAGGGGAGAAACTGTTATGAAAACATGGTGCAGAATATTGTGAGAACGGCAATAACTGAGTAAAGCAGGGAGTAGGATATGTGTGTGTGTGTGTGTGTATGTATGTGTGTATGCATGTGTGTATATGTGTGTGAACTGAAGGTCAGTAGAGCAGTTTTAGAGTGGAAAACTACAGCCCGCCTACAGAGGGAAGGGATTTATTTTTGTATGACGTATGAGTATAAAAGATGGACTCTGAAATTGTAATGGCAGAATTCTCAATGAATAAATATCTCTGACTATGCAGACTGGGACTCTGGCAATTACTTAAATCCCAAAAGACTTACAACCTTTTGGGAGACGCACAGAGACACTAAAATAGTTTGTTAAATAATTCACATAACAAGGGGACTGTGTGAATCAGGCCTTCATGGTTGAATTGCTGCAAAGACACCACTACTTAAGGACACCAATAAGAAGAAGAGACCTGCTTGGGCCAAGAAACACGAGCAATGGACATTAGACCGGTGGAAATGTGTCCTTTGGTCTGGAGTCCAAATTGGAGATTGTTGGTTCCAACCACCTTGTCTTTGTGAGACGCGGTGTGGGTTAACGGATGATCTCCGCATGTGTAGTTCCCACCGTGAAGCATGGAGGAGGAGGTGTTATGTGTGGGGTTGCTTTGCTGGTGACACGGTCTATTGATTTATTTAGAATTCAAGGCACACTTAACCAGCATTGCTACCACAGCATTCTGCAGCGATACGCCATCCCATCTGGTTTGGGCTTAGTGGGACTATCATTTGTTTTTCAACAGAACAATGACCCAACACACCTCCAGGCTGGGTAAGATTTATTTTACCAAAAAGGAGAGTGATGGAGTGCTGCATCAGATGACCTGCCCTCCACAATCCCCCAACCTCAACCCAATTGAGATGGTTTGGGATGAGTCGGATGGTAGAGTGAAGGAAAAGCAGCCAACAAGTGCTCAGCATGTGGGAACTCATTCAAGACTGTTGGAAAGGCATTCCAAGTGAAGTTGGTTGAGAGAATGCCAAGAGTGTGCAAAGCTGTCATCAAGGCAAAGGGTGGCTATTTGAAGAATCTCAAATATATTTTGATTTGTTTAACACTTTTTTGGTTACTACATGATTCCATGTGTTATTTCATAGTTTTGATGTCTTCACTATTATTCTACATATATAAAAAAATGTATTCACAAAAGTAGTTGCATTGAACATATACAGTGGGGAAAAAAAGTATTTAGTCAGCCACCAATTGTGCAAGTTCTCCCACTTAAAAAGATGAGAGAGGCCTGTAATTTTCATCATAGGTACACGTCAACTATGACAGACAAATTGAGAAAAAAATAATCCAGAAAATCACATTGTAGGATTTTTTATGAATTTATTTGCAAATTATGGTGGAAAATAAGTATTTGGTCACCTACAAACAAGCAAGATTTCTGGCTCTCACAGACCTGTAACTTCTTCTTTAAGAGGCTCCTCTGTCCTCCACTCGTTACCTGTATTAATGGCACCTGTTTGAACTTGTTATCAGTATAAAAGACACCTGTCCACAACCTCAAACAGTCACACTCCAAACTCCACTATGGCCAAGACCAAAGAGCTGTCAAAGGACACCAGAAACAAAATGGTAGACCTGCACCAGGCTGGGAAGACTGAATCTGCAATAGGTAAGCAGCTTGGTTTGAAGAAAACAACTGTGGGAGCAATTATTAGGAAATGGAAGACATACAAGACCACTGATAATCTCCCTCGATGTGGGGCTCCACGCAAGATCTCACCCCGTGGGGTCAAAATGATCACAAGAACGGTGAGCAAAAATCCCAGAACCACACGGGGGGACCTAGTGAATGACCTGCAGAGAGCTGGGACCAAAGTAACAAAGCCTACCATCAGTAACACACTACGCTGCCAGGGACTCAAATCCTGCAGTGCAAAACGTGTCCCCCTGCTTAAGCCAGTACATGTCCAGGCCCGTCTGAAGTTTGCTAGAGTGCATTTGGATGATCCAGAAGAGGATTGGGAGAATGTCATATGGTCAGATGAAACCAAAATATAACTTTTTGGTAAAAACTCAACTCGTCGTGTTTGGAGGACAAAGAATGCTGAGTTGCATCCAAAGAACACCATACCTACTGTGAAGCATGGGGGTGGAAACATCATGCTTTGGGGCTGTTTTTCTGCAAAGGGACCAGGACGACTGATCCGTGTAAAGGAAAGAATGAATGGGGCCATGTATCGTGAGATTTTGAGTGAAAACCTCCTTCCATCAGCAAGGGCATTGAAGATGAAACGTGGCTGGGTCTTTCAGCATGACAATGATCCCAAACACACCACCCGGGCAACGAAGGAGTGGCTTCGTAAGAAGCATTTCAAGGTCCTGGAGTGGCCTAGCCAGTCTCCAGATCTCAACCCCATAGAAAATCTTTGGAGGGAGTTGAAAGTCTGTGTTGCCCAGCGACAGCCCCAAAACATCACTGCTCTAGAGGAGATCTGCATGGAGGAATGGGCCAAAATACCAGCAACAGTGTGTGAAAACCTTGTGAAGACTTACAGAAAACGTTTGACCTGTGTCATTGCCAACAAAGGGTATATAACAACGTATTGAGAAACTTTTGTAGGTGACCAAATACTTATTTTCCACCATAATTTGCAAATAAATTCATTAAAAATCCTACAATGTGATTTTCTGGATATTTTTTTCTCATTTTGTCTGTCATAGTTGACGTGTACCTATGATGAAAATTACAGGCCTCTCTCATCTTTTTAAGTGGGAGAACTTGCACAATTGGTGGCTGACTAAATACTTTTTTCCCCACTGTAGTAGTTGCATTGAGCTGAATAATAGTGCTCTGTAGGCTACCTCAGGACACGACTGATTACCTATGTTATGCACCGAGTTAGACAGTGTGCATATGTGTCTGTGTATTAGACAGTGATTATGTGTGGAAAATACCTAGGGAAGGATAGAAAGGAAATCTGTAAAGAAAGACAACCAATATGTCTGAGCTGTACAAACACTCCCAAACAGCAGTTTAGATTTGAAAGACCATGTTCAGACAATAACCATGACATATGTGGAAGCATCAACTTATGGTCAGTCAAGCCATAATTTCACGTTTCACGTTAATAATGACCACGTGTTTGGGACTCTACCTTGCGAAGCATCTCGTTGTCTTGTACATCACTGATCTCAGAGGCGCTGATCTCGCCCTTCAGCGTGTACTCGTAGAACTTGCCGCTGACGTTGACGAGCAGTGTAGGCGGGCTGGCATTGACATGGCAACTGAGGGTGACGTTACTAATGTCACGGGGTACGTGGATACCATAGCGCAGGACCACCCCAACTAGCACACCTGGAGGGAGAAGAGGGAACTAGGGTTAACAAATACCAAATTGCATCTATCAGTTGTACTCTCTGCCCTTCATGCCGGAACAGCACCATGTGCATTGTAAATAAATAACCAGGTAACATTCCACTGAACAATGCAAGGTGACCGCTATGGTGCTTCATGAAGTGCATGAAGTGTTCAGAGCAACTAAAGTAAAATACTGTGAAGCAAGTTGGACCTTCCTGTGTATGTGACACTGAACGGTATGGGTTTAGTGCCTGCACACAGCAGCATAACTGATAAGGCATGAATATTATTTCCCAACACCAACAACAGAGATCTTACTTAGAGATATGGTAATTGTAGGCCTCATATATGCCTGAGCCTTATGTTGTCTCTACAGCATCCCTATACGAATGACAACAATGTTACCAGATTTCCAGTAAATGTTAATACACATACAGTGCGTGACCTGTAGCTACATAAACAGTATGACGTAGCCTCTATGCAACCAAGAGACTTTTGACATTGTGTTGGACTAGTCAGACACTTTCGGGAGTCCAACATTATTGCTGTAGTCTCTTGGTTGCATCGAAGCTAAGTATGACGATGAGTAATGACGACATCATGCAGTCTCCTGACATGGGGGCCCTCTCACCCATACTCACCATAGATCATGGCCAGTCCCGTTTCATGCAAAAACCTGAAACGACGGTGCTTGAATAACCATATGGTTAAAATCGTGAGGGTTAGGAGCATGATGAAAATCAGCAGGTCGGCACTGTCTTGTCTGTGGTTATCCTCAACCTTCCTCTCTGTTACCATGTTCTCCATGGCACTATCCTCTGCCCTGCAAACACAGATGCAGAACGACAAACAGGCTAGAACGGTCAGGGCTAACGTCTTCGACATCTTCCGAGTAGCGTTGACCCTGAATCTATTGTAACCCATGTTGACAATTCAATCTTCAAGAAAGTACGTCGTCGTTATTCGTGGTTTCTAGAAAGATATTTCATGCAAGCTAGCTAAACGGAGACAGCAACAGTAGATGGATGATTCCGGAAGGAAAAGCGTTTGTTTTTATTTCAAAGTAAAAGTCCTTTAGGATTTTGGTATGAAAAAAATGTATGATGATAATGCTGCTTATTGTATGTGCCCATATAACCGTATTGGTGACTAATGTGGCAAACTATATATAGATTTGGGAACGAACTCAATATACTTTAAAACGACTAAAACCAAATCTAACGTTAACATGGAACAAGACAACTCAGAACTCGGACATTTCCGATTTGGAAACTCCTTGTAGAAAGATGTGCAGCGTTCACGTCTTGACGGACATTCGGAAATTTCCGACTTGCTTACTCGTTTACATCATTTAGCAGACGCTCTTATCCAGAGCGACTTACAAATTGGTGCATTCAACTTATACTTGTTATAGAAATATGATACCCGAGTTTCCCACTTGTATCAGAAATACGCTAATAAATTACGTTCATTTTAATTCGAATGTCACAGTTACCGACATGACGTGAACGCGGCATTCAGCTCGGACTTTCCCACTTGGAAAGTACCGAATCAACCAATAGGATGCTCTACGCAAATTCTAATATCGAAAGCACCATGAAGCTTCATTCCAGCACAATTAGCTGCACCTATCTTTTCCTTCCTTTGCAAAAAATAAATACATTACATTTTAGAGTTTACATAGGTTTCCACAAGTTAGGTGCTGGTTATTGCTTTTATCATATAATTTTGTAAAGATTCTACCACTTATATATTTCTGATTCGCTAAAGTACGTATGAAAGGGGCTAGGGGTCGGTTTGGAATGCTACCGTCCTGCTCCCGTCCTGCTCCCATGCCGTCCAGTAGGTGGCGGAATGCGACGTTTGAATTTTAGGTAAGACCTAATTAAAGAAGAGTTTTCCGGTTTGCTGTGTTGTTTTTAGCTGTGTGCATCGACAAGGCTATTTATTTTTCATGTCAAAGTAGTCACCATGCAGAACAAAAAGTTTTGTTGACATGGAATATTAGTACGTTCATCTTCGGTGAAGCTACGTATTGTTACTAGAAATTCTCAGACAGCTAACGTTACAGAAACTAGCCAGCTAACAATACTGAAAAAATATATAAACGCAACAATTTCAAAGATTTTACTGAGTTACAGTTCATAATAAGGAAATTAATCAATTGAAATAAATTCGTTAGGCCCTAATCAATGGATTTCACAACTGGGCAGGGGCGCAGCCATGGGTGAAGCCAGGCCAACCCACTGGGGAGCCAGGCCCAGCCAAATTTTCTAAAACGACGTTGAGGCGGTTTATGGTAGAGAAATGAACATTACATTCTCTGGCAACAGCTCTGGGAGACATTCCTGGAGTCAGCATGCCAATTGCACACTCCCTCAAATGTGAGACATCTGTGACATTGTGTTGTTGGACACTTTTTATGCCACACCTGTCAGGAGGATGGATTATCTTGGCAAAGGATAAATGCTCACTAACAGGGATGTAAACAGTATGAAAAATGTATGCACTCACTAACTGTAAGTCACTCTGGATAAGAGTGTCTGCTAAATGACTAAAATGTAAAAATGTAAACATTGGGATGTTTTATTTCAGCCCATGAAACATGGGACCAACACTTTACATGTTGCGTTTATATTTTTGTTCAGTATAGGTAGCTAACCTACCATTAAAGTTGAATATTATTCTTCTTATTATGCACTGATTTGCAGTGGGAAAGGTCAGTTCGGGGGGGAAAAAACAAAGATGACGCACCACATGAGCTGGAGAGTCAATTTGTCCTGCAGCTGCCCACGGGAAGGAAAAGGATGGAATGGTTGTGAATAGATGGAGTACAGCAGTGGTTCCCAACTCTGGTCCTCCAGTACCCCCAACAGTACACATTTTTCTTGTAGCCCCGGACAAGCACACCTGATTCAACTTGTCAACTAATCATCAGGCCCTCAATGAGTTGAATCAGGTATGTTTGTCCTGGGTTACAACAAAAATGTGTGCTGTTGGGGGTACTACAGGATAGGAGTGACTTTTCGTAAGCGGTTAGGAGAGCATTTTAGCTAACCCTTTTCCTAACCTTAACCTAATGCTCCTAACCTGCTACATTTAATTATCCTAACCTGGGTAATGGCTAGAAGGGATCTAGCCCTTGATCATGACTCTGTTTCATTCCATTATGCATAAGTCATTGGACGAAGGCGTCTTCTGTAGGGGGGGTGGTTGTTAAGATCCCTGACGCTCAGTCTGAACATTAACATGCATCGCTTGCGGTACGGACCATATCTTTCATATCAACAATAAATCATTTGATAGAGTTGGTGTTCCCACTGGGCCATATCTCCATGTTACAGCTCCTGTTTATGGAAACAGACTGAAGACAAGAGGCGACCACCTGTGGTAATTAGCTATCTAGCATGCTCCGAACACCTGTGTGTAAGCGTAACTCGGGAAGTGTAGCGGAAGTGTAGTTTTGTCGGATGGAGGCACACATAGCTGTATGATCTGTGCAAAACTGCTACAATAAGTGACTGTGAGCCAGGCCTAATCGCCCAACATCAGTGCCCGACCTCACTAATGCTATTGTGGCTGAATGGTGGCAAGTCCCCGCAACAATGTTCCAACATCTAGTGGAAAGCCTTCCCATAAAAGTGGATGCTGTTATAGCAGCAAAGGGGGGACCAACTCCATATTAATGCCCATGACTTTGGAATGAGATGTGGCCACATACTTTTGGTCATGTAGTGTATCTTTTTTATTTGAAGGAATCTTTAATGCTGAAGAAAGATAAGGGCCATATGTTTCGAAAGCCATAGCGCAAGCGATGATTATTGAAGTTTCTAAATGTCAAAACGCAGCGTCGGGATTGTAGTTGACATGAGGCAGTCGTGGGCGAAGCTAATGGCTGAGAACTTTAAAGGTGGAATGCCGCTAGGCGGGATCCAGCTTTTGTCAAATTAACGTTTTAGCTAACCTAACCCTTTTAGCTAACCTAACCCTTTTCCTAACCTAACCCTTTTAGCTAACCTAACCCGTTTAGCTAACCTAACCCTTTTCCTAACCTAACCCTTTTAGCTAACCTAACCCATTTAGCTAACCTAACCCTTGACATGTATGTCTATCTAATTTGCATTATCTATATCAAAGGAATATGCCTCAATGGTGAGACGGATTGCCCAGTCTAGCAGCATGAACCTCAAAGACAGACTCCCCATAGAACTGCACGGTAGGTCAAGCTCTATTCAACTCATTTATGGTCTAATATGTATTGAGCCTTCATGTGTTGGTAGTTCAAGTGTACCTTGTTGTCCTAACTGTTCACTCACACTATTACCACACTTTAATGTAGAAAGTTAGGCTTTGTAATTTGCATAATTCAAACAAGGATCATATAAAGTGGCCTCATTAATCATGCTGATGAAGCCATTTGAAACTAAAGTAGGAAGAACCTTGTTTAACCCTAAAGCTTATTTAATCATTTTGGTCCATATGAAGTTATTCAATTCAATCTCCCAGCATCACATCAGAGAATGTCCATTCCTTACCAGGCATGTAGGACATAGAGCATATGCATCTATAGTATAATAGTGGATCTGTACTTCTGGTGGATCTGCCCTGCATCCTGGAGTCTCTGAAAACAGTCCTTCTAGAAGACTGCTGACGTCTGTCAGGTAGGACAGGAAGGAGGCTCTCATACAAGCGCCATATAAGAGTAGGATGGTGTATAAGGTGTCCCAGACCAGTTGTCAACTGCTGCAGTGTCTGCTCTAGTATTCAGACTGCCCTGTTCTACTATGTATTGTTAATGACCTCGCATAGTATCGTTTTTTGTAGACTTTTCAAGCATTCTAAAAGGTAGATTTTTCATTGCTCTTTGGTTTATAATGAATTGATATTCATTGACCCTGTTCTGTGTGCGGCAGATGCTGGTGTGCACTTTGGATGGAGACCTCTACCCTCCCCTGGAGGAGCCCACCGGTACTGTAGACCCCAAGAAGAAGAAGGTCAAAGACAAGGACAAAAGGTTTGTGTGGAACCACGGCAGTAAGTAGGCCTATATCGCCTCTGTATTGAAATTTGCTGAGTGTAGCACTTTGTAGCCCGGCTGCCGAGACTTAACTTCAAGCCTCAGCAGGTCTGGAAGTTTACTTTTTGATTGAGCTGTTAACTTTAAATCATAATGTTTTGGTCTCCAGTCACCTGCCCTCTAAAGAACACAAGGAAGAGAAGATTGAAGAAGATGGTACTGACATTTGTTTCCCCTTAAGCGCTCTCTCCCTTCATCTCGTGAATATTTTCTTATGATGATGCCTGGATCTCGTCCCAGGCCCTTTATTCAAACAACATAAAAAAAGCAACAGCAGCGGAAGTAAAAACTACGATTTACATATACACTGAACAAAAATATAAACACAACATGCAACAATTTCAAAGATTTTACTGAGTTACAGTTCATATAAGCAAATCAGTCAAATGAAATAAAACATTAGGCCTAATCGATGGATTTCACATGACTGGGAATACAGATATGCATCTGTTGGTCACAGATACCTTTAAAAAAAAAGTAGGGACGTGGATCGGAAAACCAGTCAGTATCTGGTGTGACCACCATTTGCCTCATGCAGCGCTACACGTCTCCTTCGCGTAGAGTTGATCAGGCTGTTGTTTGTGGCCTGTGGAATGTTGTTCCACTCCTCTTCAATGGCTGTGCGAAGTTGATGGATATTGGTGGGAACTGGAACACGCTGTTGATCCATAGCATCCCAAACATGCTTAATGGGTGACATGTCTGGTGAGTATGAAGACCATGGAAGAACTGGGACATTTTCAGCTTCCAGGAATTGTGTACAGATCCTTACGACATGGGTCTGTGCATTATCATGCTGAAACGTGAGGTGATGGCAGCGGATGAATGGCACGACAATGGGCCTTTAAGGTCTCGTCACGGTATCTCTGTGCATTCAAATAGCGATCGATAAAATGCAATTGTGTTTATCCATAGCTTATTTTACATTTACATTTTAGTCATTTAGCAGACGCTCTTATCCAGAGCGACTTACAGTTAGTGAGTGCATACATAACCCCACCGCCACCATGGGGCATTCTGTTCACAACGTTGACATCAGCAACCTGCCTTCCCACATGACGCCATACATGTGGTCTGCGGTTGTGAGGCCGGTTGGACCTACTGCCAAATACTCTAAAAAGACGTTGGAGGTGGCTTGTGGTAGGCTTGGCCCCAGTGATGTACTGGGCCGTTTGCACTACCCTCTGTAGTGCCTTGCGTTCGGAGGCCAAGCAGTTGCCATACCAGGCAGTGACGCAACCAGTCAGCATGCTCTCGATGGTGCAGCTGTATAACTTTTTGAGGATCTGAGGACCTTTTTGTTCAGTGTAAATAAAGGCCTGTCTTCATTTGTCCCAAAGATATGCATGAAAGCAATCTAACTCCGCTTTGATCGAAGTGACAGAGAGCGAGTGAGAGAAAGGATTCCTACTTTGTCTTTTGAATAAATCTTTAAGGTGCAGGGCCATATCGATTTGGCACGCTATTCTATTCGAAATGTGTTTGCTGGCACGTGGCCAGCCGTTCGCTCTGAGTGCAGTAGTGTTGTGTGCCGAGGCGATGTGCAGTAGTATGGAGGCCAGAAGTAAGTGTAACCTGATTTCCTCTGCAGTACATAGAGTCTCCCGGCGTGAAGAAGGTAAAGAGATTGCTACGCACCGACGCAGAGGCCGTTAGTGTCCGTATCCTTTTAGCTCACGCACTGGGGCAAACACACAGAATGACTTTGACACGTGCCTAAGACATACATTGTAAATTAAACACAACATAGCCTGTAGCTGTTGAGAGACCGGCGGGAGCCTACTTTCTGCTCGGCTGGGCCTCACCTGAACTGACTCCTGCTAATGTCTTAATGTCACCTGCACCAACACCTTCTCCTATTAGCACTGTAATGAAACGATAAAGCAGCAGGACAGAATAAGAGCACAGAACAGGGTACAGAAGGGGTAGGCAATCTTTGTTCCTGGAATGCCGCAGGATTTGGTTCCAACTAGGCACCACACCTGAACAACTGAGCTAATTGATCAGTTCAGTGGTCATCTAAATTCAAGACACCTAGTCTTCCAGGTTGGTTACATCAAAAACATGAAATGCCTGCGGCACTCCAGGACCAGGGTTGCCTACCCCTGGGGTACAGCATCAACATCAGAGTGCAGCTCCCTGAGTGTTGATTTAAGTGGACACTGGTACTTTAATATATCATTGTAGGCCCATAGTGAAGCCAGTATGTTTGTAACATGACATAACTTAATGAAAGCAGTGAGGTAGTGTTTGGTGTACAACGTTTCCCTAACCTGGTGTTCAGGCTGGGAGGTGATAGCCGAGGATGAGACCAAGGAGGCAGAAAACAAAGGCTCTCTGGTCAACCTGGACTCATCACCTGGGACATCAGATGGGGCATGGCTTCTCTGGTAATCACCATGGAAGTGGGCAAAACAAGCTCCTCTCACATAATAATACTTTAATATGGTCATATAGCAGATGCTTTGGTTCCATACAGAGTGGCTCATTATCCAGTTAATACGAGTTTATTCAAGCAATTGCAAGGGAGATCACACTCAGGATCATCCAGAGAGGAACTCAAAGGTTACAGATTCACAGTCATTATATACTTCTACACAAAGAGCTGCTTGCCTCTCCTAAGGGGAGGCAAGGTTACACGAGAGATAGCGGGACATGGCTCCACTTCTTTAAAGCATTGTACAAACAAGAACAGGTTCTAATCAGTTCTCATGGCCTACGCGACTAAGTTAAACAACAGTGTTTTTCCACTCTAGTACATACAGTAAGTATAGTACTCAAGCATTTACATAGCATTAGACTGTAACAGAACCATTTTGCCCCAACAACACCCATACAGAAGTTGGAACAAACAGTATGTCACATAACCTTACACTGCCCCACTCCCAGCGCAGTACAGTAGGCCATAGTGGGTCCATAACTGTCCTACAGGGAAGACTGTGTGTTGGTGGAGAGTAGTAACAGTAAGAACACTGAAAACAGAAAAATATATTTTCTTAACCAGATATTTGTATTTATTTGACAATGTATGTTTGGTTCCTTCCAGCCAAACGTGACGAGCTGAGGGAGATCTTGAACGACATCAGCAGCAGCAGTGACGAGGACGAGGGGGGCCTTCGCCGTGAGGATGAGGACCTGAACATCATGGACATGGAGGAAGACTTGGTTAGACAGCTCCAAGACAAACTCAATGAGTCATCAGACGGAGGCCGTGACGAGGCAGACCGGAACAACCTGATAGGTGAAATGAAAGAGGGAGAGGGGATGGGAGAGAGAGTGGAGTGTATGGAGGGGAGGGGAGGGGGTAGATTGCAGTCATACATATTCAGAGGTTGGCATACTGTCTCCATGTTGGCAACTAAATATTCCTTGGCAATAACATTTTCAATCTATTCTAACTGGAGAGTGATTGTCTTGTAATTGGTATCAACGTGGCGCCTATCAGAATGATCTGTCTACGTTATTGGAATAGCAGCCAATGTGAGAAGAGGATGGGGGGGGGCTGATATGTGGGTGTAATATCAGAACAGAAGCACCGCCTAAGGACGGACAGACAAGATCGGACATCAAATCACATTAACCACTCTTTATGTCCCCTTGTCAAAACGGAGGACGGCAATACCCAACCCTACACAAATGAGCTTAAGTTAGAATAAAGCTGAGTTTTCTGGGACAGACAGACGTCTCTATCCCTTCATCTCCAGTTATCTCCCCACTCAGAAGACTGACAGGTGCTCTCTCTCTTCCTGCAGCCTGGTTCGGTCACAGCTGGGCTAGCTCTCTCGCTCTGACAGCTCGGTGCACATTCACTGGCTCACATGGAGCTATCCGTCACACAGCTAATGCTGCATCCCAGTCCTGCAGCTTTCCGTTAATCTGTTGTTAGGCTGCCTCTTTTAATGGGCCAAAGTCTGGCTGTGACTGTCCACACACATGCCTGTGAACCTAGTGCCTTTAATGAGGAGCCCATGAAATCTGTACTACGTTTTTTTAAATCAATACTCTCACGGCTCGTGTCTGACGGTGTTTAATGAACGGCAACTAAGACTGTGGCTTTTAATGTGTACAGTGGGGGAAAAAAGTATTTAGTCAGCCACCAATTGTGCAAGTTCTCCCACTTAAAAAGATGAGAGAGGCCTGAAATTTTCATCATAGGTACACGTCAACTATGACAGACAAATTGAGAATTTTTTTTATCCAGAAAATCACATTGTAGGATTTTTAATGAATTTATTTGCAAATTATGGTGGAAAATAAGTATTTGGTCACCTACAAACAAGCAAGATTTCTGGCTCTCACAGACCTGTAACTTCTTCTTTAAGAGGCTCCTCTGTCCTCCACTCGTTACCTGTATTAATGGCACCTGTTTGAACTTGTTATCAGTATAAAAGACACCTGTCCACAACCTCAAACAGTCACACTCCAAACTCCACTATGGCCAAGACCAAAGAGCTGTCAAAGAAACCAGAAACAGAATTGTAGACCTGCACCAGGCTGGGAAGACTGAATCTGCAATAGGTAAGCAGCTTGGTTTGAAGAAATCAACTGTGGGAGCAATTATTAGGAAATGGAAGACATACAAGACCACTGATAATCTCCCTCGATCTGGGGCTCCACGCAAGATCTCACCCCGTGGGGTCAAAATGATCACAAGAACGGTGAGCAAAAATCCCAGAACCACACGGGGGGACCTAGTGAATGACCTGCAGAGAGCTGGGACCAAAGTAACAAAGCCTACCATCAGTAACACACTACGCTGCCAGGGACTCAAATCCTGCAGTGCCAGACGTGTCCCCCTGCTTAAGCCAGTACATGTCCAGGCCCGTCTGAAGTTTGCTAGAGTGCATTTGGATGATCCAGAAGAGGATTGGGAGAATGTCATATGGTCAGATGAAACCAAAATAGAACTTTTTGGTAAAAACTCAACTCGTCGTGTTTGGAGGACAAAGAATGCTGAGTTGCATCCAAAGAACACCATACCTACTGTGAAGCATGGGGGTGGAAACATCATGCTTTGGGGCTGTTTTTCTGCAAAGGGACCAGGACGACTGATCCGTGTAAAGGAAAGAATGAATGGGGCCATGTATCGTGAGATTTTGAGTGAAAACCTCCTTCCATCAGCAAGGGCATTGAAGATGAAACGTGGCTGGGTCTTTCAGCATGACAATGATCCCAAACACACCGCCCGGGCAACGAAGGAGTGGCTTCGTAAGAAGCATTTCAAGGTCCTGGAGTGGCCTAGCCAGTCTCCAGATCTCAACCCCATAGAAAATCTTTGGAGGGAGTTGAAAGTCCGTGTTGCCCAGCGACAGCCCCAAAACATAACTGCTCTAGAGGAGATCTGCATGGAGGAATGGGCCAAAATACCAGCAACAGTGTGTGAACCTTGTGAAGACCTACAGAAAACGTTTGACCTGTGTCATTGCCAACAAAGGGTATATAACAACGTATTGAGAAACTTTTGTTATTGACCAAATACTTATTTTCCACCATAATTTGCAAATAAATTCATTAAAAATCCTACAATGTGATTTTCTGGAAAAATATTTATAATTTTGTCTGTCATAGTTGACGTGTACCTATGATGAAAATTACAGGCCTCTCTCATCTTTTTAAGTGGGAGAACTTGCACAATTGGTGGCTGACTAAATACTTTTTTCCCCCACTGTATGTGGTTTTGATTGAATTCAATGGATTCCACATAACGTGTTTTCAGGCCATCTCCCTACTAATGAGAGCCCATGTGGGCCTCAGTCACTCAGCCTGGTCCTGGTGTTGGATTCACTTTCAATTGGCCTATTGCTGCCTTAAAGGGGCCATCTGCGATTGATACATTCCTTTTTGGACTTTTAAATTAAGGATATACAGTGCCTTCGGAAAGTATTCAGACCCCTTGACCTTTTCCACATTTTGTTACATTACAGCCTTATTCTAAAATGGATTAAATAAATAAAAATCCTCACCAATCTACACACAATACCCCATAATGACAAAGCGAAAACAGGTTTTTAGAATTTTTGCAAATGTATTAAAAATGAAAAACAAAAATACCTAATTTACATAAGTATTCAGACCCTTTGCTATGAGACTCGAAATTGAGCTCAGGTGCATCCTGTTTCCATTGTTCATCCTTGAAATGTTTCTACAACTTGATTGGAGTCCACCTGTGGTAAATTCAATTGATTGGACATGATTTGGAAAGGCACACAACTGTCTATATAAGGTCCCACAGTTGACAGTGCATGTCAGAGCAAAAACCAAGCCATGAGGTCGAAGGAATTGTCCGTAGAGCTCCGAGACAGGATTGTGTCAAGGCACAGATCTGAGGAAGGGTACCAAAAATGTATTGAAGGTCCTCAAGAATACAGTGGCCTCCATCATTCTTAAATGAAAGTTTGGAACCATCAAGACTCTTCCTAGAGCTGGCCGCCCGGCAAAACTGAGCAATCGGGGGAGAAGGGCCTTTGTCAGGGAAGTGACCAAGAACCCGATGGTCACTCTGACAGAGCTCCAGAGTTCCTCTGTGGAGATGGGAGAACCTTCCAGAAGGAAAACCATCTCTGCAGCATTCCACAAATCAGGCCTTTATGGTAGACTGTCCAGACGGAAGCCACTTCTCAGTAAAAGGCACATGACAGCCCACTTGGAGTTTGCCAAAAGGCACCTAAAGACTCAAAGACCATGGGAAACAAGATTCTCTGGTCTGATGAAACCAAGATTGAACTCTTTGGCCTGAATGCCAAGCGCCACATCTGGAGGAAACCTGGCACCATCACTACGGTGAAGCATGGTGGTGGCAGCATCATGCTGTGGGGATGTTTTTCAGCGGCAGGGACTGGGAGACTAGTCAGGATCGAGGCAAAGATGAACGGAGCAAAGTACAGTGAGATCCTTGATGAAAACCTGCTCCATAGTGCTCAGGACCTCAGACTGGGACAAAGATTCACCTTCAAACAGGACAACGACCCTAAGCACACAGGCAAGACAACGCAGGAGTGGCTTCGGGACAAGTCTCTGTATGTCCTTGAGTCGCTCAGCCAGAGCCCGGACTTGAACCCGATCAAACATATCTTGAGAGACCTGAAAATAGCTGTGCAGCAACGCTCCCCATCCAACCTGACAGAACTTGAAAGGATCTGCAGAGAAGAATGGGAGAAACTCACCAAATGCAGATGTGCCAAGCTTGTAGCGTCATACCCAAGAAGACTCAATGCTATAATTGCTGCCAAAGGTGCTTCAACAAAGTACTGAGTAAAGGGTCTGAATAATATAATAATATAATATGCCATTTAGCAGACGCTTTTATCCAAAGCAACTTAGTCATGCGTGCATACATTTTTTTTTTTTGTGTATGGGTGGTCCCGGGGATCGAACCCACTACCTTGGCATTACAAATGCCGTGCTCTACTAGCTGAGCTACAGAGGACCATGAATACCTATGTAAATGTGATATTTCCGTAAATAAATTAGCAACAATTTCCAAAAACCTGTTTTTGCTTTGTCATTATGGGGTATTGTGTGTAGATTGATGAGGGAAACAAACAAATTAATCAATTTTAGTATAAGGCTGTAACATAACAAAATGTGAAAGAAGTCAAGGGGTCTGAATACTTTCCGAAGGCACTATATATATATATATACCAATTGATTCTTTAAGAATATCACTTATTAGAATATCACTTAGTTCAACTCCCCACTGGAACCCAAAATATAAGCTTGTTTTACTCCAACGTTTGTAAACAAAGTAAATGTAAACTAACACTAAAACATGGTTAAAACTAACATTTTAATATCATGGATGGTCAGTCTTTGCATCCATAGCTCTATGAATTAGAGAGTGGTTACATTTCTCCAGCCCCATCCCTCAGCTTTTCACCGAAACGGAGAACACTTTGTTATTGTTTCTACTGCTGATTCCTGGAGGCAAACTACCTGATTGCCGCAGGTTTTGATGGAAGAAGGAAGTGTGTCCTTTGTGTGTTCTGATTAGTGCAAATCAGAGGCCCTTGTTGGTTAATTCAATTTCAGTTGGCATGTAGCAAATGGCCGTGTCTTGGTGCTGCTTTGTGTGGAAGAGTCAGTGGGTTGAATCTCCATACAAGTTGCCTCCTTTTAATGTTTCCTTTCCCTGCTTCATACACATCTTAAAGAGGATCAAAAGAGGATCCAGCTTATTGCTTTCACTCAATGTAGATTTTAAGAGTGGAGACGAGGAATACACTCGATTCCATTGAGATATTGAGTAGCCTGTGTGTTCGTGAGGAAACCTAAGCAGTAAATGGTTCCTCTGTGTCTCTCCTCCCGTAGTGATGGAGTACCAGGTGCAGGTAGACTGTGTGAAGGCCAAGCTGAAGAAGACGCGCGCCCGCGAGAAACAACAGGAGGACCTCATCATGAAGGTGGAGAACCAGGCACTGAAGGTGAGCTATAGACACAACTTTTACATGCCATTTGTGTCATTTAGCAGAGTGAGACGACCACAGACTGATTCATATAGGCCTTCAAAAATAAGTCTTAGTAGAAGACTCTTTCACTCAAACACACACACTGACACACACTCTCACACACGCACACACATACAAACACACTGAGGCAACCTCGGAGGGAGAAGTATTTATGTGGAATATAACCATTCTAAACTACTGCGTGTAAAACTTCAGACCGCAGGGCAACTCGAAGATGTAATTTTTTTAGAAGGCATAAATATTACATTTCTGCCATCAGCCGTTTGTGCGTTCCTCGTGGGAAAAAAAAGGTATCAAAATTCATACATTTAATTCCGCCAACTGCTCTTCGGGGCAGATTTAGAACGTGTGAGACACGGGCAGACTCGAGGCTTGTTTTACCATGTCGTTTCAGCTCTCTGCTCGGCTGGCTGAGTTCTCTATCTTCCACCATTATTATCCCAGCCACAGGAAAAGGTCACGGGCATCTGACTGGCATTCCAAATGGCCTTTCTGTCAGGTGAAAGATACGCTCACTACGAGCAATGGCACGACGGCAGGCTCCAATTTCAAACATCAAAACAAGCTAAGCGAACTGTCTAATGCTGAGTCAGACTAAACTCCGCTCTTATTTAGCAGAACCGCTTTCAGGCTCTGCTCAGTGAAATCATTCATCAGGAGGAGAGCGAGATGGAGCAGGTAAGGTTGGCTGAGCAAGACGGGAAGGTGCATTTAAAACCACATCAGTTTTATGCTCTTGTTGGTTATGATTGATAATGTTTTTATTTGGTATTAAGCAGTATTTTCTATAAAGGAATGTAAAGGGGAAAGTATACTGTTGCTACATTACAGTGCAACTAAGACGTTTGAATTGAATAGACAAACAAGCACACCAAAACGTTTTTTATACGAAGCACTTTATTGAACTACCATTGACTTCATCTAGCAACTGAACATCCTTACAGATCCAATGACGAGGGTTTTCTTTATTTCCAACATCCAAGTCAATTCTTTGACTCAATCGATCTTAATTAGAATTGTCAAGAGCTCTTAACACCAATCCAAGTATCTGTATTCAAGTCTTGTCTCTGTCTTCACATCAGCTTGTTTTGCTGTTTGGATTGACAAATGAATGGTATAGGAATAATGTTGGAAGATGTGCTAATCATCATCCACTTAGCCTACTAATTACACCCGGGCATTAGGCATCAATCAACCCTCCCAATCTCTGCTCCAACAGCTGGCCTTCTTGCTTCAGGAGCAGCTGGACTCACTGATCGAGATGTGACCCAAGTGACCACCAGGGGGCAGCCAAGTGTCAAATGGGTACTGTGAGACCGACTGGGGAAGAGAGAAGAATCAACTGCCACCATTGAAAGAGCTCTTCTCCTTGACATACAGTGTCCTTCCATTATATATTTTCCCTTTCGCCTCCAGACATCATGGACTTGTTGGAGGATTCAGTGTTTTCTGTTTTTGTATTATTGTTATTTTATTTCTGCTATCTTAAAGTGTTAATAGGTTTATAGAATGATGAAGGTTGGTAGATCTCTATGAATTAAACCCTTTGTTAAACCATTGAATCGTGTGTCTGTGTTTGACATTTCCTAGTGACAGATCAACACTATCTCACCTCATTTGTGGTCCTCTGTAGCTCAGCTGGTAGAGCACGGTGCTTGTAACGCCAAGGTAGTGGGTTCGATCCCCGGGACCACCCATACACAAAAATGTATGCACGCATGACTGTAAGTCGCTTTGGATAAAAGCGTCTGCTAAATGGCTTATTATATTATTATTATTTGACCTAGCAATGGAAACCACTGAGTCTGACTATACCAATTACAGAGGCAGAGTAGTTTGTCATCAACCCCTGTTGACTAGACAATGGTCTCCCACATTCTCTAGGATTACCCTCCTACCTTCTAGAAAGATTTTCTTCCACAGTGATCCCGCTCTGCCTCGCCCTCACATGTTCCCCTGGTCACCCGCCTCTTCAATTTACAGGGGATTATTCTGAGGATTTGGGGGGCAGGGGATGGATTAGCATGCCCAGATTAAAGTGGCCATCTTCAAACCCTGGTAATCCAGCCATCTGTCAGAGAGCAGGAGGACTGCACCGGGCTGCCTCAGAACGCCAACACACTCCCTCCTCCCTAGGCTAATTAGGGAGAGCAGGAGAGAGGAGAAAGAACCACACTGCTGCTTCTTCCCCAAAGCCTGCAGTGTTGCCCCAGGGTTTAAAACACACCTTTACCTACCCACAGTTTAGAGAAAAGGAAGTTTGGTCCCCAAAATGGAGGAGATGTACCTGCTGAACTACCCAGGGGTCAAGAAGAAGATTCTGTCTGGAGGGAATGGCCCAATGCCCCACTTTCCACCGGGGACCAAGGTAAGACATAACACCCTCAGACATGACAGTGTGCGTCTGTGATGGCATCCTATTCCTTCTATAGGGCAATACTTTTGACCAGGGCCTGCGTAGGGCTGTGGTCAAAAGTAGTGTCCTATATAGGGAAAAGGTTGCCATTTCAGAAACTGCTGAACTCTAGATATGCCTAGGGTTTAATGTGTGGAGGAAATTATGTAATGTATAATTAGCATTGTGTAGTAATGAATACTTCACAGAATTATGTATATTTTTAGAGAGTTGTATTTCGCTGCCCACCTCGATTAGAATAATTCATGCGAGGGGGTAAAATATTCTGTATCTGGGTGTAACACACAATGTGAACATTTGGTCAACACAATTGCTACAAGGCGTATTGGCATCTGTGGGGTTTAAACAGTCACGGATCAGTGTGTTCGTGCACAGGCTTTGTGGTACTGATCTATGGCTGATGACGTCCCCTAACTACACACACACACACACACACACACACACACACACACACACACACACACCATCTCATCATGTCCAGCCATATGGCCCCAGGCCTGGAGTCCAATGATGACTAACATTTTCCTGGACAATGAAAACCTGAATATCTGTCCCGTTCGCCAGCTGTGTTCTGTGTTGTTCCCATTCTGTCGGGAGCCTCCTACTCGCTGTCACACAGTTCAAACAAATGACTCCCGTTAAAGAGAGCAAAGGAAGGTTGGGGCCATAGCATTCAAAACACACAGAGTTGAGCAGAGGGTCAGCCAGAATCCAGACACACACAAACACAGTCCAAATGACACTATGTATGTGTAGGTGCAAGTGCGTACATATGTGTGTGTGTTGACGATGGAAAGCTCTGGAACATATGACCACAGTTATCCCTCCCCTCTCTCCTCCTCTCCATCCAAGCTGGTGTTCCACTTCCAGACGCTGTTGGACAACTTTGAGCGCACAGTGATTGATGACAGTCGTAAAGCCAAAGCCAAGGTGCCAATGGAGATCTTTGTGGGGAAGATGTTCAAGATGGAGGTGTGGGAGACGCTGCTGACCTCCATGAGGATAGGAGAGGTGGCCGAGTTCTGGTGCGATGCCGTTGTGAGTCCAGGGACCATTTAAATACACACAAATAAACACACACAGACGCCTTCACCTCCCTATGCGAAACAGAGGCCACAGTCAGGAGATCCAGGGACCCCAAATTGTCTGGTAATTAGTGTTCACTGGGATGGCGGAGGAAGCTTTGCTCTCCTCATACTTATGCAGATGAACCAACCTCTGTGGCCTCCTACATACACTATTAAAAACTAAAACAGATACATCTTTTTGGCCGCAACAATTTCTCTATTTCTCTCTCCTTCTGGGAAAAGCAAAGAGTAGGAAACATTTGCAAGTCAAATGGGGGTTGTGATTCGTTAGTTTAGGGCCGCTGGTTCAGCAACCAGCAGGGCGGAGGTGAAAAAGTACCTCCAGAGTCTATTTTAGTCACATTGATGTTGTGCGTGTTTGTTTCTCAAATTGACTCTGTGTCACAACAGAGTTGTTGTTTGTGTGTGTGTGTGTGTGTGTGTGTGTGTGTGTGTGTGTGTGTGTGTGCAGCCTAGTCTCATAGACTAGACATAACATAGTAAATGTAAATCCGGGACACTCAAATTAGTATGATACTGTATGTTACGTTTGGTATGGTTATATAAGATAGAAGGTTACTTAAAGCAAAAACGAAGAAGGGTGGTTGGTCGGGGTGGGCGTTTAACACGAACGTCTAGCAACCCAAAGGTTGAGTGTATGAATCTCATCACGGACAACTTTAGCATTTTAGCTAATTAGCAACTTTGCAACTACTTACTACTTTTTAGCTACTTTGCATGTTCGCTAACCCTTCCCCTAACCTTAACCCTTTTAGCTAACCCTTCTCCTAACACTAACCTTAACCCTTTTAGCTAACCCTTCCCCTAACCTTAACCCTTTAACCTAACTCCTAACCGTAACCTTAACCCCTAGAACAGGGCTCTCCAACACTGTTTCTGGAGAGCTGCCCTCCTGTAGGTTTCGCTCCAACCCTAATCTAGCACACCTGATTCTAATAATTAGCTGGTTGATAAACTGAATCAGGTTAGTTACAACTGGGGTTGGAGCGAAAACCTACAGGAGGGTAACTCTCCAGGAACAGGGTTAGCGACCTAGCTAACGTTAGCCAAAACAAATTGCAATTCGTAACATATTGTCCTAATTGCAATTCGTAACATGCCATACGAAATGGATGATGGACATCCACAAATTAACACATACCATACGAAACGTAACATATCATACTAAATGGAGTGTCTCGGATTTACGTACAGAATAATACGAAATGCTCTGAGACCACGTTGGTTTGTGTTTCTGACACTATTTGAGTTACAGTGGTGTCTTTTCTCATCTCAGCACACAGGCTTGTACCCCATCGTGTCCAAAGGGATGAGGCTGATTGCCCAGGGCAAGGACCCCCTGGAGGGCCAGAGGCACACGTGTGGAATGGGGAACATGTTCCACTACAACACTACTGGCTGGCCTGAGCTGGATGAACTGATGAGGACACCTCAGGCACTGATCTTCATCATGGAGCTCATTCAGGTAACAAGCTATTACATTATCATCATTACTTTTGTTATTAACCCTTCATTTACTTGGTGAATTGACAGTGACATTTACATTAAAGACCTGGGGAGGAGTTGCAGGAAGAGGAGAGGGGTTAAATGCGTTACACACAACACACATTAAGTTAGCACAGATGGAATACCAAGCGCCAGTGGTTATACACCTACTCCATTAGAAGTACACACCCCTCAGTTTATGAAAACATCTCTCAATGTGAACAGCAACACACCTCTGCCACTCACACACATCTGTCCAAAGAAACACATCTCGGCGCCCACAAACAAACCTCCAGACAATAATTTCCACCCGTTACATTACAAGCCGACTCCAAACACAGCCTTCTCTCTCTGTCTCCAACAAACAACAGCTCATCCTACCTCAACCACTCAGTTCACAAACAAAACGGCTTATGTAACCAGCCACTAACCACCAGGGGGGCTAGCGGAGTTAAAGGCAACACATTCAATCCTCAGCCAAGTGGAGCCGGGTTGTGTTCAGTAGGTACCAAACAGAAGACAACGGGGAGGGACTAACAGGTCTTGTCCAATTTCCATTGCAAAAGATTTTGTTACCATGTGCCTGAATGAACCAGACCCTGAATTACTTTTTCCAATTGTTCTGCCTGTCGCCCCTGATCTCCCCAGGTGGGAGACCCCTTCTCGTACAAGCGGGAGTCGTGGATAATGGACAAGGATGAGAAGATGAAGGAAGTGCCCTCGCTCCACCTGCAGGGCAATGCGCTGGTCAGACAGGGATGCTTCAGAGAGGCTGCCAAGAAGTACCAGGAAGCTGTGGTGCTACTCCGGATCGTACTGTCCAAGGTGAGAGGAGGGAGGGGAGGGAGGGATAGAAAATAACAGGAGAGGTTATGACATGAAGAGTGAAAGAAAGGGGTATGGAGGGAGGGGAGGGATTGGATTGGAAAAGATAAATGTAGGGAGCGAAGGAGGATATGATGGGAAGGAAATAAAAAGAGATGGAGCGGAAAAGGAGGCAGAGCATCCATGACATACAACATGAGGAGGGAGGGAGGGATAATATCAACATGATAAAGAAACAGGTTACAGACACTAATTTAACCCTTTCCCAACCTGTAGGAGATGCCAGGTGATGAGGACTACATAGCCGTGGACAGGCTCATCACCCCCCTAGTGTTGAACTACTGCCAGTGCATGTTGGAGCTGGAGGAGTACTATGAGGTTCTGGAGCATACCAGTGACCTGATACACAAACACAAAGGTAACACATACAGATACACAGACACACACGTGTGACTCTGCCTTATATATGAGAGAGAGAGAGAGAGAGAGAGACTGCCAAGTGCCTTCCTCTCATCTCCTCTCCTTTCTGTCCTTCCCCATCTCTCACTCTCTCCCCAGCCTCTTTCATTTTACATTTACATTTTAGTCATTTAGCAGACGCTCTTATCCAGAGCGACTTACAGTTAGTGAGTGCATACATTTTCATACTGGCCCCCCGTGGGAAACGAACCCACAACCCTGGCGTTGCAAGCGCCATGCTCTACCAACTGAGCTACAGGGGAGTCATGTCATTGTTACCTTGTCGTCTTTATCACTTCCAATCTGCCATTCAACCTTTCATGAGCGTCCCCTCCATCCCTCCATCTGGGATACATCTTCTTTCTGAGGGGCACTCTGAGTCGGTGAAGGCTCTCCGTGGCGCACTGGCTCTGTTATTGCTAGAGGCTATGAAAAAATCTATTTAAATGTTGGCAGAATGAAAGATTTAGAGGGGAGTGGGGATGAAATAGAGAGGAGAGGAGAGGAAAGCCATCAATGGGGATCTAAACCAGGCCCTCCAGCCCACTCCTCTCCACTCCTCAGAGAGACAGGATTAGGTGGTGTGTGTGTTCTGAGACAGGGGGCCTGAGACAGGGGACCTCTCTTTTTTATGTATCTATTATTCTTTCTCTTAGACTCCCTCTGTCTCTCTCTCTCACTCACACCCTAAGTGGGTATCTTTTCTCTCTCTGACGTGTTCTCCGCTGATAAGAAATACAGTAATTGGCGATGTCATATTCAAGCATGCACAGCCCTAGATGAGTAAAAATGGCTATCTTAGCTACTGCATATTGGTTAGTGACACTACACTAGCGCATCCATTCTAATGAAGCCTTACTTTCGAAGATAGTAGTGAATATTGATGAATATCTCTCTCTCTCTCTCTGTCTCGCCACCCTTTCCATCTCCCTCCCTCCCGCTCTCCTACAGACTGTGTAAAGGCCTACTACAAGAGGGCCAAGGCCCATGCTGCAGTGTGGAACGAGAAGGAGGCCAAGAGAGACTTCAACATGGTGGCCAATCTGGACATCACTCTGGCCCCTCTGGTGCACAAAGAGCTGAAGTTCCTCGCTGATAGACTGAAGGAGAAATACTGGGAGGAGAAGGAGAAATACTGGAACTGCCTGGAGCAAGAGGAGAAACAGGGGAAGAAAGAGGAAGATGAGGAGGAGGAAGATGATGAGGGGGAAGAGGGCAAGAAAGGGAAGAAGGAAGAGAAAGAGGATGGTGAGAGCACAGAGACCAAGGTGAAAGATGAGGAGGAAAGCAAAGATAACTCGGCCTCTTCCAAAGAGGAAGTGAAACATGACAAGCAGGATGAGACAGGATGGAAAAAGGCTATAGAGAAGGATGGAACAACCATTACTGCTACAGTGAAGGATAAGGCTAAAGTGAAGGATAGAACCGCCAATCAGGCTACAATGAAGGATGAAACAGCCAGTAGGAGGACAGAGAGCACCCCGGAAACCCAGCCAGAGACTAATCAGAGTGCTCTGTCCGTGATAGAGGGGATGGATTGGCAGCAGAAGTTACGACACATCATGTTCCTGGAAAAGGAGGGTAACTTCCTGCTTACAGAGCAGAAATACAGCGAGGCCACAAGAAAGTTCAAGGAGGCTCTGGAGTATGTGGACTTCATTCAGAACAAGGTTTGTGTCCATTAATTTGCAGCTTCATTCAATGGTGTGTTATTTTGTTCAGTGGTCAGTTCATTCAATGGTGTGTTCATTCAGTGATGTGTTCTTTCAATAGTGGAATGTTCATTCATTCAAATCAAATCAAGTTTTATTTGTCACATGCGCCGAATACAACAGGTGTAGACCTTACCGTTAAATGCTTACTTACAAGCCCTTAACCAACAATGCAGTTCAAGAAATATAGTTAAGAAAATATTTACTAAATAAACTAAAGTAAAAAATAAACTAAAAAGTAACACAATAAAATAACAATAACGTGGCTATATACAGGGGGTACAGGTACCAAGTCAATGTGCGGGGGTACAGGTTAGTTGAGGTAATATGTACATGTAGGTAGGGGTAAAGTGACTATGCATAGATAATAAACAGCGAGTAGCAGCAGTGTAAAAACAAGGAGGGGGGGTTAATGTAAATAGTCCGGGTGGCCATTTGATTAATTGTTCAGCAGTCTTATGGCTTGGGGGTAGAAGCTGTTAAGAAGCCTTTTGGACCTAGACTTGGTGCTCCAGTACCGCTTGCCGTGCGGTAGCAGAGAGAACAGTCTATGACTTGGGTGACTGGAGTCTGACAATTTTTTGGGCTTTCCTCTGACACCGCCTAAATATAGGTCCTGGATGGCAGGAAGCTTGGCCCAAGTGATGTACTGGGCTGTACGCACTACCCTCTGTAGCGCCTTACGGTCATTGGTGTGTTCATTCGGTGTTAGGTCTTCATTCAGTGTGAAACAACCAATTCATCTAGCAGTCACTGCTGTTGAACATCAGAGAACTTATAATACAGAGATAAAATAATTAGTTATTAGAATGACAGGCTGAAAAATAAAATAAAATGTTGTTATGAAATAGTTAAGAATGATGACGACAATGCATTAAGGCAATAGGACATTTGTTGGGTAATGTTTGTGTTTTGGATAATCTTTTGAACATACAACTGCCAACTTTGGAATGTTGGTCATTGTTTGAACAGTGTGCAAGCGCCTCAAGAAGACTCCTCAATGATACATGTTACATAAGAGCCATTGGTTCTTGGCATCTCACAGGCTCAATTCATTTTACATTGCTGCCACTCCACTGAAGTGAGAAGAGCAAGGCTATAGGATTGAAGGTACACTGGCAGAACAGAACAGGAACAGGAAGAGGAGAGCTAAAAATAACAGAGAGACCCTTGGAGATTTTTTGAGTGACAGCGCTCACCCAAGCATCTCTTTCTCTAACTCTGTCGTTCCCCTCCATCTCACTTTCCTCTGTGTATCTCTCTTTGTCTCTTCCTATTCCTCTCTCTCCCCTCCCTCTACCGCCCTCTATCTCTCCCCCTTCGTCTCTTTCTCCCTCTCTCTGTCTCCCCCTCCCTTCCCCTATCTCTCACTTCCTCTTTCCCCTTCTCTCTCTCTATCTCCCTTACTGTCCCTTTCTCCACTCCCTCTTGCTATCCCCCCTCTCTTTCTCTCTCCTTCTCCCTCCATCTCCCTGTGCAGATGGTGTGCTATAAAGAGAGGAGGGAGGACTGGGACTCTCTGGAGAAGGTGCGTGTGCCGATCACGCTCAACCTCAGCCAGTGTCTGCTCGAGCTCAGGGACTACCAGGAAGTGGTGGCGCTCAACACCAAGCTGCTCAAGAAACACAGAGGTACTTTCTCACACACACACTACCTTTCTTTCTCTCGGTCTGCCTTTCTCTTCCTTTGTCTCTGTCTCTTTGTTTCTTACCTCTCCCTACCTCTGTCTCGGTCTCCCTCTCTCTTCCCCCGTACCTCTGTCTCCTTGTTGTCTTTTTTTCTCTCATTCACTTCCCCCTCACCCCTTTTATACATTTTTATCCCACTCTCTATCTCCCTCTTTCTCTCTCTTCCCTACTTCTCTTATTCTCATGGCTGAGAAGCAGCTGCCATTGCCCTCGAGAACCCAAGGCATTAACAAGGCATTCTGCCTTATCCCAAGGGTTCTCAGAGCACCGCTTACAGGTGGGACCATGTAATGCAATCCAGACGCTCTGTTTTAAGTTTAGAAACGTCAATAATCATTGCTTGCGATACGATTTTCGAAACATATGGAACTTATCTTTCATATCAGTGAGAAAGAATCTTTCAAATAAAAAATATACACTTACCCCAGCTAGCACATCTGATTCATTGGAAGTTGTGGGAACATATGTTTTTGGTTTCACATTGGTTGTGGGAACGAAGCCATACGTTTCCTGACCTGTAAAACTGACCGTTTTCTAAACGTTCTGAGAACAGAAGTGACCATTTCGCCTGTTCTGGGAACGTTTACTTTTAGTTTGCAGGGAGGTTCTGAGAATGTTTTCTCTGGTTCCTTGAAAGTTTTCCAGGGAGGTTTTATTAACGCTCTGAGAACAGAAATGATAGGTTATTTGGAGGTTTTTGAATAACTTCCTTAACTTTCACTGAATGTTTCAATAAGCATGCCATGTTTTTTTTTTATGCATACAAAACTGTTCATTTTAGTCTATTAAAACCCCATTTTAAAGGAATCAAGCACTCATTAAGATCAGGTGTGGCTAATTAGTGGGCACACCTGAACATACTTAACAAGATAGAGGATGGAGAGAGTTTTGTTGATGCTGAGAATGGAATGTATATGTTTTTAAATAACATTCTTAGAATATTCTCTGAACGTTACAACAATTTTATTTTGGTTTTTATGGAACGTTTTCTTAACGTTCTCGGAACAATGAAAACAATACTTTAAATAGAACCATGAGGAAACCTGTAGGAAATGTTATGCTGAAATTCTCACAGAAGAACGTTGTTTCTTAACATTCTGGAACAATTTGAGAACATGACTATAAATAGAACCATGAGGAAACGTTATGCTGAAGTACTGAAATTCCCACAGAAGAACGTTGTTTCTTAACGTTCTCTGAACTATTTGAGAACATTCACAATGTCAAACCAGTTGGATAACGTTTCTAGAACATTATCAAAATTGAAATTAAACGTAACCAAGTTTTAACTTTTAGGAAATGTTCTGTTAAAGTAATGAAATACCAAGAAAATAACTATCCTGCACCATTCCCAGAAAGTTGTGGGAAGGTTGTATGCAAAATAACCATAGGATAACCACGCTCTCAGTTGGAGAACTCTAAGAAATATATGGTTCTCAGAACGTTATGTGCTAGCTGGGCTCTGTTTGGACTTTAACGCTCTACATCTGTAGTAAAAATGCTTGGACTTGAGCAGACCTTGCCATTGTGTTGCTCCCCGACTTGATTTTTCAATCTTTCTCTCTCCCTTTTTTCTGGAAGTTGCCAAACCCACTTGCATTATTGTGTTTCTTCCTTGGTACTGTACTCTTAACACAACAGTCAGGAGTGAAATTAATTGTTTTCTGTTTTCATGACTTGCCCTCATGGGTTGAGGATCAAACATTCCTGCTAGCCAAGGTTTGAACTCCCCCTTTCCTGGGGGCCAGTTTTATGACTTAACAGCCGGTCATAAATAGTTTGCAGAAGAGGACTCCTTTTGGTCTCTAGTATGGGAAGAAAGAATGTCCCTGTGAGACAAAGGAAGTCTTCCTGCCAAGACTCCAACATCCAAAAATGGATAATGAAACAATATTCCTACTTAAAAGAATGTGGGAAATGGTCAGTGGGGATCTAAAGAATAATCATGTCATATTGTTTATTATTTTGTGATGTCATTAAGGATGGTATCAAGTAATAACTGTAACTCGGAAAGTGTACATATTCTATCTGTCAAGTTTACATCTAAATGTTGTATAAAATATTTGATTAAATATTAGCGTATTTTGGTGAAGATAGGAATGTGATTTTAGTCTTCTAATGAGATAATAGCTTTTCATATAAACTATGCACAGTGACTAGCCACGCCCCGAGTGACATCAGAGATCATGTAAACATGATGGAACGCCCCTTTTACCCCAAGTGCATAAAAAGCCTTGTGACGAAATTCACCTCAGACCAGCAGACGTGAAGCGTGAGCTAAACATTGCAAATGGTTGAATTTCTACCAGACCAGTAAGCCCCACGGCTTAAAATGTTTGACACTCTACAAGACCAAGAAGCGTGAAGCTGAAGCTACACGTTACAAAATGGTTAGACTAGAAAGACCAGAAAATGTGAGACGTTAGTCCACACGTTTGAAATGGAGAAACTCTGAAACTCTCAACCTCTACACGAGGTGAAGAAGAAGACAATGCACTAGACCTTATCATCTCAGTCTGCAGCTGGCATGTATAGTCATCTAGAGAACTTTCACTAAAGACACGAGTTGGAAAGGACAATCCCTCTCCGACAACCGCTGGTACATCTGAAGTATCCATTCTAACCACCACTACAACCAGAAACTCTACCAAGGACATTGAGATCTCTGGTGGGCAAACCAGAGTCCTACATCATCAACTCAACTATCGAGGACAGCAACACATAAATACATGTTACATTTCTAATCCGAATGAGCGTTATTAGGGTGCATAAGTATTATGATTACTGTGAGCATAGTCTCCAAAGTAACCACAATAGTTTGAATCTCTGTCTCTCCCTTCCACTCTGACTCTCCTTCTACCCAAGCATTTATGCTAATGTTAGTCCAGTCCACTAGGGACCTGTTTTCATTGTATTACGTTAGTAATCAATAACCTATGTGTGTGTTTGTATTGTATTGTGTTATTATTTATTTATTTAGTTAGTTAGTAAATAAATAATTAAGCCATGTATTTAGATTGTAGGTAGGTATTGTAGTTAGGTATTGTAGGTAGTTTATCTAGGTAGTTATTGTAGGTAATTCTTGTAGGTAAGTATTGTATTCGGCTGAGCCCGGTGAAGCACGAGGCTAGCTAACCCACTACCTGGATCAATAAAGCTAGCTAGCTAGCGGGTAGCTACTGGTAACTATTAGCAACTGTGGATAGTTGTTTCCAATGTTATTTCACGCTTAAGAGTACCTGTAATTATGCCAGCTAGCTACCTACCATTCAGCTGTTTTTCTAACCTCATTATCTGAAGCGTTAACGTTAGGTAGTTAGTAGCTACTGTACTCGAAATGTAGCTAGCTTGTTGCTACCTGGATAGCTAACTAAACAATAGCTGGAACGATCTTGCTGTAATGTTTGGAGACGCTTTCTCTCCGTTGGGACAGACGCGAACTGGCTGAATCGATTCAGTGGCTAGCTTTGCACTTAACTGGCTAACAGTAGCTACTAAGGGTAAGTTATAACCGACATTTATTTTAATTTAGTTTTTACATACTGGTAACCAGAGTCGTTCCTAGGGAATTTGGGACATGGGTGACTAGTTAAGGTTAGCTTGGCTCTCTCTGTGTGTTTCGTGCCATGGGAGGAGGGGTTGGTTCATTGGCAGAGAGCAATGGCTAGCTAGTATGCTAACTATTCTAGCTAACTAACTGGATGAATAAGTTGACGACATACTCACTCAAACTGTCAAAACTAACCCAAAACTTTACACAACGTTAGACACGGACACGACTGATCTGTTTGGCGTGTTAACACACTGTTGGTTTGTTGTAACCGAGTATTGGTGCTAAACCGTGTTATTGGAGGCTGGCATGCTAGTTGGCTATGGCTTCATAGGATTCGGTGCCCTGGGCGGTTTTCACGGAAGAATACTGTACCAAGTTAGCTAGCTGAATAAACTAAGTTAGAGTCTATTCCTAGAAAACATTGAACCGCTGTAGTTTACAACAATTATAATTTCTAAAGTGGAAGTTGGGAGAGTTATATTTAAGTGTTTCAGTGAAACGTAAGTGAGGGAGGCCCCACTCTCTCGCTTTCCCAGATGTTTAGTTCATTTCATTCCGATCTCCTTTGCATTATTGTAGCCTTTTTCTGTAGCCTGTCAACTATGTGTCTGTCTATCCCTGTTCTCTCCTCTCTGCACAGGCCATACAAATGCTTCCCACCGCGTGGCTGCTGCCACTCTAATCTGGTGGTCCCTGCGCGCACGACCCACATGGAGTTCCAGGTCTCCGGCAGCCTCTGGAACTGCCGTTCTGTGGCCAACAAGGCAGAGTTAATCTCAGCCTATGTTACCCTCCAGTCCCTCGACTTCTTGGCGCTGACGGAAACATGGATTACCACAGAAAACACTGCTACTCCTACTGCTCTTTCCTCGTCTGACCATGTGTTCTCACATACCCCGAGGGCATCTGGTCAGCGCGGCGGTGGCACAGAAATCCTCATCTCTCCCAAGTGGACATTCTCTCTTTTTCCCCTGACCCATCTGTCTATCTCCTCATTTGAATTCCATGCTGTCACATCAAATAGCCCCCGCGATATGCAACTTTTCAGGGAAGTTAGGAACCAATATACACAAGCAGTCAGGAAAGCAAAGGCTAACTTTTTCAAACAGAAATTTGCATCCTGTAGCACTAACTCCAAAAAGTTTTGGGACACTGTAAAGTCCATGGAGAATAAGAGCACTTCCTCCCAGCTGCCCACTGCACTGAGGCTAGGAAACACTATCGCCACCGATAAATCTACAATAATCGAGAATTTCAACAAGCATTTTGCTACAGCTGGCCATGCTTTCCATCTGGCTACCACTAACCCGGCCACCAACTCTGCACCCTCTGCTGCAACTTGCCCATGCCCCCCCCCGCTTCTCCTTCACACAAATTCAGACAGCTGATGTTTTGAAAGCGCTGCAAAATCTGGACCCCTACAAATCAGCTGGGCTAGACAATCTGGACCCTTTCTTTCTAAAACTAGCCGCTGAAATTGTCGCTACCCCCTATTACTAGTCTGTTTAACCTCTCTTTCATAACGTCTGAGATCCCCAGAGATTGGAAAGCTGCCGCGGTCATCCCCCTCTTCAAAGGGGGTGACACTCTAGATCCAAACTGCTACAGACCTATATCCATCCTGCCCTGCCTTTCGAAAGTATTCGAAAGCCAAGTTAACAAACAGATCATCGACCATTTCGAATACCACCGTACCTTCTCCGCTATGCAATCCGGTTTCCGAGCTGGTCACGGGTGCACTTCAGCCACGCTCAAGGTCCTAAACGATATTATAACCGCGATTGATAATAGACAGTACTGTGCAGCCGTCTTCATCGACCTGGCCAAGGCTTTCGACTCTGTCAACCACCGCATTCTTATTGGCAGACTAAATAGCCTTGGTTTCTCAAATGACTGCCTCTCCTGGTTCACCAACTACTTCTCAGATAGAGTTCAGTGTGTCAAATCGGAGGGCCTGTTGTCTGGACCTATGGCAGTCTCTATGGGGGTGCCACAGGGTTCAATTCTTGGGCCGACACTTTTCTCCGTGTATATCAATGATGTCGCTCTTGCTGCTGGTGACTCTCAGATCCACCTCTATGCAGACGACACCATTTTGTATACATCTGGCCCTTCATTGGACACTGTGTTAACAAACCTCCAAACGAGCTTCAATGCCATACAACAATCCTTCAGTAGCCTCCAACTGCTCTTAAACACTAGTAAAACTAAATGCATGCTTTTCAATCGAACGCTGCTGGCACCCGCCCACCCGACTAGAATCACCACTCTCGACGGGTCTGACCTAGAGTATGTGGACAACTACAAATACCTAGGTGTCTGGTTAGACTGTAAACTCAACTTCCAGACTCACATAAAGAATCTCCAATCCAAAGTTAAATCTAGAATCGGCTTCCTATTTCGCAATAAAGCCTCCTTCACTCATGCTGCCAAACATGCCCTCGTAAAACTGACTATCCTACCGATCCTTGACTTCGGCGATGTAATTTACAAAATAGCCTCCAACACTCTACTCAGCAAATTGGATGTAGTCTATCACAGTGCCATCCGTTTTGTCTCCAAAGCCCCATACACTACCCACCACTGTGACCTGTACGCTCTTGTTGGCTGGTCCTCACTACATGTTCGTCGTCAAACCCACTGGCTCCAGGCCATCTATAAATCACTGCTAGGTAAATCCCCGCCTTATCTTAGCTCATTGGTCACCATAGCAGCACCCACCCGTAGTCTGCGCTCCAGCAGGTATATCTCACTGGTCATTCCCAAAGCCAACACCTCCTTTGGCCGCCATTCCTTCCAGTTCTCTGCTGCCAATGACTGGAACGAATTGCAAAAATCTCTGAAGCTGGAGACTCTTATCTCCCTCAATAACTTTAAGCATCAGTTGTCAGAGCACCTTACCGATCACTGCACCTGTACACAGCCCATCCGAAATTAGCCCACCCAACTACCTCATCCCTATATTGTTATTTATTTTGCTCTTTTGCACCCCAGTATCTCTATTTGCACATAATCTCTTGCACATCTAGCATTCCAGTGTTAATACTATTGTAATTATTCTGCACTATAGCCTATTTATTGCCTTACCTCCATAACTTGCTACATTTGCACACACTGTATATATATTTTCTGTTGTATTTCTGACTTTGTTTTTTTTTACCCCATATGTAACTCTGTTGTTTTTATTGCACTACTTTGCTTTATCTTGGCCAGGTCGCAGTTGTAAATGAGAACCTGTTCTCAACTGGCTTACCTGGTTAAATAAAGGTGAAATAAAAATAAAATAAAAAAACTAGCCCATTCAAGCTTAACATCCTTGTCATTTATCGCCCTCACAGTTCATCAATGAGCTTGACGCCTTGATAAGTTCCTTTCCTGAGGATGGCTCACCCCTCACAGTTCTGGGTGACTTTAACCTCCCTACGTCTGCCTTTGACTCATTTCTCTCTGCCTCCTTCTTTCCACTCCTTTCCTCTTTTGACCTCACCCTCTCACTGTCCCCCCCTACTCACAAGGCAGGCAATACGCTTGACCTCATCTTTACTAGATGCTGTTCTTCTACTAATCTCACTGCAACTCCCCTCCAAGTCTCCGACCACTACTTTGTATCCTTTTCTCTCTCGCTCTCCTCCAACACTACTCACTCTGCCCCTACTCAGATGGTAATGTGCCGTCGCAACCTTCGCTCTCTCTCTCCCGCTACTCTCTCCTTTTCCATCCTATCATCTCTTCCCTCTGCTAAATCCTTCTCCCTCCGATCTCCTGATTCTGCCTCCTCAACCTTCCTCTCCTCCCTTTCTGCATTTTAGACTCTCTATGTCCCCTATCCTCCCGGCCGGCTCAGTCCTCCCCTCCTGCTCCGTGGCTTGACGACTCATTGCGAGCTCACAGAAGAGGGCTCCGGGCAGCCGAGCGGAAATGGAGGAAAACTAGACTCCCTGCGGACCTGTCATCTTTTCACTCCCTCCTCTCTACATTCTCTTCCTCTGTTTCCGCTGCTAAAGCCACTTTCTACCACTCTACATTTCAAGCCTCTGCCTCTAACCCTAGGAAGCTCTTTGCCACCTTCTCCTCCCTGCTGAATCCTCCTCCTCCTCCCTCTCTGTGGATGACTTCGTCAACCATTTTGAAAAGAAGGTTGACGACATCCGATCCTAATTTATTAAGTCAAATGACACTGCTGGTCCTGCTCACACTGCCCTACCCTATGCTTTGACTTCTTTCTCCCCTCTCTCTCCAGATGAAATGTTGCGACTTGTGACGGCCGGCTGCCCAACAACCTTCCCGCTTGACCCTATCCCCTCCTCTCTTCTCCAGACCATTTCCGGAGACCTTCTCCCTTACCTCACCTTGCTCATCAACTCATCCTTGACCGCTGGCCATGTCCCTTCTGTCTTCAAGAGAGCGAGAGTTGCACCCCTCCTCAAAAAACCTACACTCGATCCCTCCGATGTCAACAACTACAGACCAGTATCCCTTCTTTCTTTTCTCTCCAAAACTCTTGAGCGTGCCGTCTCTAGCCAACTCTCCTGCTATCTCTCTCAGAATGACCTTCTTGATCCAAACCAGTCAGGTTTCAAGACTGGTCATTCAACTGAGACTGCTCTTCTCTGTGTCATGGAGGCTCTCCGCACTGCTAAAGCTAACTCTCTCTCCTCTGCTCTTATCCTTCTAGACATATCCGCTGCCCAGTGGCGGCTCCTGAAAAAATTCTCAGGGGGGGCAATTTTTCTGATGATTTAGGTGACCTACACACATTTTTAAAAAGATATGTCCAGCAACAACATGAAGACAGGGGCAGCATATAAGTCAATACCAGAAGCATTTATTGACTGATCTCAAAAGTGTTGGCTTACCAGGGTTGGTGGAGCCCTCAGTTTCATCTTTGCCTCGCAAAGCTAACTCAAACACTCCGCAAAACTTCACACACTGGATTAGCCGGCTGAGGATGTGGCGGTTCTTGCTAATGTCGTAGGAAATATATTTGTTATAGTGAATATGGAATATGATATGTTGAGTAAAATGTTGTGCTAAGATCTATTTAGGTCAGGAGCTGGTTATAAGTTCTGTTCCTATCCAATAACAATGGACAAAAGGGTCCTATCTTGTCAGCCTTGTCAGTTTCAGTTCTCCAGTAAACTTGTGATTATCAACACTAACCTCATCATTGTGGCGGCGGACAGCTAGCCTGTATCCCTCATCCAGTTGAGTGGGAATGTTCACTCTCCCCAAAGCAGACAATCTCAAACAGCTATCCATGTGGGTCTTTGACAGCTCATGTTTCTTAATCTTTCCTGAAAGATGGTGCATGTCCGTTACACACCAGTCGCTGTCCAAGCGGTGCTGTCTGCCGTGCCGCCTTCAGGGTGAAAGAGTAAGCAGGGGGTAGCAGAAGACTGCATTAGCTACATCGCAGCCTGCTAGCCAGGTTTTTCGTTCGTACCAATTTTTGGAAAATCCTCGGGTGTAGGACTTCCCCCCTTTAGTAGAAACCTGTTGAATTATTAAATTTGGTCTGGGAGGTCCTAATTGTTTCGTTGCCAATTTATCTTCATTTGTTCGCCGACAAAAAGGAACTTCTTTCAAAGACACAATCGAGTTGCACTGAAGCCTAGCCATTTTGATAGAAGTAGTGAATTGATTGACGCTGCTACCCGCTCTTTTCTTAGTTACGTTCATGGTTATATGTTACGTATGACGAAAGCGCGTAAGTGCAAGCCCTCAGAAACCCATAGAGATTGTATTGAAAGCTCTGATATTTGAAAAAAATAGATTTTACATGGGAGTCTATGACAGACTTCTGGGCGATTTTCAACCTGACTGAAATCGCCCCAAAAGGGGGGGGGGCCATTTGAAGCACGACTTTAGCCTGATTGGACATTTAGTGGCACTGTGGCAGATCAGACGTCTAGATTGCAACACTGATAACTACTGTTGCCGTGATATAATTGATTAGAAAAAAAATCCCTTCCTTTTCCCGTTTGGCAGTGCGTCGCCCATATCGCCCTATTGAACACACCGCCCCTGCCGCTGCCTTTGATACTGTGAACCATCAGATCCTCCTCTCCACCCTCTCCGAGTTGGGCATCTTCGGCGCTGCTCACTCTTGGATTGCGTCCTACCTGACAGGTCGCTCCTACCAGGTGGCATGGCGAGAATCTGTCTCCGCACCACGTGCTCTCACCACTGGTGTCCCCCAGGGCTCAGTTCTAGGCCCTCTCCTATTCTCTCTATACACCAAGTCACTTGGCTCTGTCATATCCTCACATGGTCCCTCCTATCATTGCTACAGAGACGACACACAATTCATTTTCTCCTTTCCCCCTTCTGATAACCAGGTGGTGAATCGCATGTCTGGCAGACATATCAGGAAGGACTGCCCGTTCCATGATCTCGCCATCACGGTTGACAACTCCATTGTGTCCTCCTCCCAGAGTGCAAAGAACCTTGGCGTGACCCTGGACAACACCCTGTCGTTCTCCGCTAACAACAAAGCGGTGACCCGATCCTGCAGGTTCATGCTCTACAACATTCACAGAGTACGACCCTACCTTACACAAAAAGCGGCACAGGTCCTAATCCAGGACTTGTCATCTCCCGTCTGGATTACTGCAACTCGCTGTTGGCTGGGCTCCCTGCCTGTGCCATTAAACCCCTACAATTTATCCAGAACGCTGCAGCCCGTCTGGTGTTCAACCTTCCCAAGTTCTCTCATGTCACCCCGCTCCTCCGCACACTCCACTGGCTTCCAGTTGAGGCTCGCATCTACTACAAGACCATGGTGCTTGCCTACGGAGCTGTGAGGGGAATTGCACCTCCTTACCATCAGGCTCTGATCAGACCCTACACCCAAACAAGGGCACTACGTTCATCCACCTCTGGCCTGCTAGCTCCCCTACCTCTACGGAAGCACAGTTCCCGCTCAGCCCAGTCAAAGCTATTCGCTGCTCTGGCACTCCAATGGTGGAACAAGCTCCCCCACAACGCCAGGACAGCGGAGTCACTGACCACCTTCCGGAGACACTTGAAACCCTACCTCTTTAAGGAATACCTGGAATAGTATAAAAGTAATCCTTCTTCCCCCACCCCCCATAACATTTTTTAAAAATGGTTGTCCCACTGGCGATCACAAGGTGAATGCAACAATTTGTAAGTCTCTCTGGATAAGAGCGTCTGCTAAATTATGTAAATGTAAATTTGTGTATTGCTGATTTATCAATAAGGTTAGGGTTCTTGCAGGTTCAAGGATTATGCGACGTTCAGAATGAGACTGATGAGAGGTAATTATTTAATAACTGACTTATCGATATATTTAATATATCTTCTAAGAGTTTAATTCGGAAGATGGTAACTCGTTAAACAACTTCTTCCGTGCTGCCCCAAATTCCTAATGAGTTAATTGTTACATGATTCATTTAATCGAGTGACAATTAAACATAGTTAGGTGATTCGATAAATAACAGTCATACATTAAAGTAAAGTCACGTCACGACAGCGGAGTAGATGTGATATGCATGGGTTTACTGATCGTAGTCTTTTACTTAACAATGAGTCGTCAAATTCTCTCTCTTTTCTCTCACTTCCTTTGTATTTTTTTTGTTCTCTCCATTTCTCGCTTACCCACTTTCTTGGTCTGTCTCCTCTTCTCTCGCTCACTGTCTAACTGCACATATTTTACTGTCTCTGTCTCCCTCTCCCTGTCTCTTCTAATCTCCCTCTATCTCTAATTCTCTCTTAACTCATTTCTCTCTTCCTTCTCCCTGCTTCTTCTCCTCTCTCAATGTCCGTCCTTACTTCTTTGTAATGTCTCTCTCTTCCATCTCTTTCCCGCTACAAATATCTTCCTCTACTGTACCCACTTTCTCTCCCTCCTATACCTCCCTCTCTGTGTAGATAACTTCAAGGCGGTGTACCAGCGGGCCAGGGCGCACTCGGCTCTCTGCAACGAGGAGGAGGCCAGGAATGACTTCCAGAAGGTGGAGCGTCTGGAGCCCAGGTTCAAGCCCATCGTCAATCAGGAGATGAAGAGGCTAGGCGAGAACCTCCGGAACAAACACATCAGCGACAAGAAGAACTACTGGGAAGCTACAGAGGAAAAGTGGGGCCTCAATGGCACCAAGACCAAGGCCAGGAAAGTAAAGAAAACAGTGAAGTTTCAAGAGGAGAAAAAAGGAGAGGAGGGGAGCGTTCAGAAAGAAGGGGAGACTGTAAAAGAGGGAGGTAGTGATGGAGTGAGAGAGGAGAAGAAGCCAGAGGGAAAAGGAGAGGAGGGGAGTGCGAAGAAAGCAGCCATTGCTGAGAAAGAGGGAGGTAGTAGGGGAGTGGAGAAGGCTAGTGGGAATAGAAGAGAGAGTGTAGAGGTAGAGAGAGATGGACAGGCGGGGGTAGTTAACAGAGCAGGAGATAAAGAGACCGATATGGCACAGACCAATGCAGGAAGAGATAATGTAGCTACAGAGAGATCAGGGAAGGATACGGCTGTGGAAAGGGGCAAATGTCACTCAACTGCCGCCCAGGAAGTAACCAAGGGAAGCACAGGGAACAAAGGCACCAATGAGAGTACAAGAAGCAGAGCCATTCAATCCCAATCAACCAATAGGAGTCCATTAGCCACTGCAGACCTCCCTAACCTACAGGCCACTGAGGTACTTTCGGAGGTAGCTGAGGAGATAGTCAGGTTAGACACACAGATGGATAGACCTAACAAAGGAGAGGCAGAGGAAAGCAAAATGGATGAAGGGAGTAAAACAGAGGGAAAGCGTTCTGACGAACAGCCGTGTCCATCGGAGGGGGCGATCCACACCAAATCTGGGGTCTCGACTGGAAATATCAATCAGTCTTTCAAGTCCAAGTCCAAGCGTAAACACAAGAAAAAGAAATAAAGGATACAGGATACACTGGCATTGATATGAGCATTAAGTATCATGTGATGATTCTCATAATTCAATTCAGGATCATCGCTTGAGGCATACACACAACACAAGCCGACGTTGTGTATAACAAATACAAATTTTATTTATCCTTTGTACACAAAGAGTAGAAAGCAGCCAGTAACCCACTCGTTATTTAAAAGCATTTCTTTCACAAAGGTTTTATACAGATTAAAAACCGGCCGGGAGGACAGCAATAGGGAGGAATGTTAGTACAGTACATAAACAAATAAACAATTAAATAAATGACACATAAACAAAGTCATAAACAAAAATAGACTTCAGATCGACATTCAAATAGAAATGATGAGTCTGTGTTTTGCGGTGGCGGGGGCATCTACCTGTGTGTTAGCATAGGCTAGTGTATGTTGTCATAGCTCTGATTCCCATAAGAGTTCAGATGATTCATGGCCCTGCCGTGTTACAGAACGCTAACAACCCTCACTGTGTCTCGTAACGATGCCAGAGTGCACGGAACTCAAACATGGAAGGTCTCGCCGCTTACATGTTGGGAACAATGAGCGTGCTCGTTAACGGGTTGACCCCACTATATATAGCAGGGGGCACCCCTCGTTGGCCATGTTCTCGAAACTGTCTCTGCCTCGCTCTGTCTCTGGAGATGAGCGCTTCTCTTCAATCCCACCGAAGATGGTGGGACTGGTTTCCCGCATGCGGTCGCCCTTCTGGTAGAGCTCCACAGTAGTTCTATCTTAGAACATTAGATGCCTCAGAAAGGGATAATCACATGACTACAGAGAGACGTGGTGTGGGCAATCTAATTTAGTGTTAACACTCCCTCAGAGAAAAGCCTTTTGATGGGTTGGTCTTCAAAGGGCTACAACAGAGGGCCACTACAAAGACAGTATTGGCTTCTGGGAGTTTGAGTAAGAGGGGTACAGTGAAAAGCTACAGTTCTGCTGCATTACAAACAGACCATAGGAATATATATGCTTCTGTCTGTCTGACAAACTGCCGGCTACAGTGGTATAATCATTAATTCCACCTAGCCTCTCCTACCTCACTATTGTCTGAAACACACAACACATTTATATAGGTCTACAGGAGTTATGGGTAGTACCTTTTGGTTTCTAGGCCTAATCTCTTCCCCCAGTTATAGTTCAATAGATGCATTATTTCAGAGAGAGAGATGCTGCATATATTCAGAGCCTCAAGTACTCTATGTTCAGGGGGATCATCAATGTGTAATGAGATGTGTGTTTAACATTAAAGAGTTTCCAAAGAGTTAACATTCTTCGCGTTGGGTGTTTTTCTTCACTCGAGCACTTCTTAGTTCCTGGATCCTGACATGTTAAGAAAGGATGCCGGTGCATGTCAGCGCTTGGCAAAGGTAGAACAGATGTCAATGATAATGACTATCTACTGTATGCCAGCTAAACACTAAACAGTGGCAGGCCTCATTCAGCGGGGGTGGTTAAGGGAGGGGGGGTATGGAAATGAGGCGCTCTCTCTTCCCAATATGGTTATTAGCATTTCCATTATGAACGGCGCCCCACCTTGCCGACTCACAATCTGCAGCGCCGTGTCCTTGGGGACAGTTCCCTAGCAACGGCATCAAAACAAACAGACAGGCGCAGCAGCGCTCAACGATGTCAAATGTGAACACTGGCGCCTGGAGGAGATAAAGTCTAACGAATACCGGGATGGGATTCAAACAAATCTTGTTCTTGGCAATAAGGTCAGAACATTCTCTGAATTAATCTAAACTATTCGCATCATGCCTCCCTGCGAGTGTGGGTGTAATAACTTGATGGTTATGGAAGTGGTATGCTACATAAAAAACCCAGAGCATCTTTCCTCTTTTCCAGGAAATCGCTCGCATCCTGTCTGTCTCTTTCTGGAGATTTGCTGTGGCAAGCACATCAAAGTGGATCGCTCCTTTCCGCTCAGCCCAGGAGTGCTAAATGAACTATTTTCTTCGTCTTTCCTCGTCTCTCAGATCTCCACCCCCTCCGAGCTTCCCTTCCACCTCTCTTCCACCTTCCATCCATCCTCCCTCCATGCCGCCAAAACCCTATTTGACCCCAGCCTTTTCTAACTAGTCTCTCAGGTGCTAGGCCACTCTAGCGCTGTGAATTCCCACTGTCTTCCCTTTCCTTACTCATAAAGCCTCTCTAAATCCACCAATACAATGCAAAATGCCACAGAACCCAGACCCCGAAACAGAATCTCACCTTTGTATGACATCCACATCCACCCACTGATGCAATCTTGTCCTCCGATTGTGAAAACGCTGAGTGAACACACTGAGCCAGTCCTTTCACATCTGGCCACAAGCATAAAAAGAGAAAAGAAGAGCGGGAAAGCGGGAGCCAGGGCCAACTCCATTCAATAATGTTTCAGGCAGCAGCATGAAAACACACTTATTCGTCCGTGACGGGCTCTGTTTGGGTTTAAGGCAAATAGACTGTGCTCTGTCTGGAGTGTCACATGATCCTGGTGTGATGGTAGCCCAACCCCACATCAGACTATATCCTACTATCCTAGGCATTTGTGTACCCCTGAAATGTTTATATAAGCAATATGGTGAACTTTCCACCCAGCAGAGGGAAAAGTGAAGTTATTAGCATATTGCTTATCTGATCATTTCAGATGAAGTGCCATGTGGAAGGGGCTAAGATTTGATTTGGAATTGGGCCGCTGTGTGGAGGTGGTGGTGCCCCTCCCTAGCCCCCCTAGTGTCCTGGGAGGGGGGGGGGGGGGGGCAGTCTAGCAGCTCTAGAGCCTGGGGCACCCTGCCTCCCCTTCTGTGCACACAGGGGGAGTGAGGAGCCAGAGTCCACAGTGGAGGGCCCGGCGTTTAACGCTAGACGCTTTCTCAGCTAAACACACTGAGCCGCGATACAAATTGTCCTCGACTCGAGACCCTCTTCCTGAACACTACGAGGCAAAATCACGGCCTCTCTCTCTCCACTGTTTGTGGATGTGGGTGTATCTGTTTTTTGTATGCCTGTGTGATATGAATGTGTGTATGTGTGTTAGTACAGAATGAGCGTTCATCTGAAACAATGTGTACATGTGTCTGCGTGCTGCGTGTGATGGAAGCAGTGAAACTCACTGTGCACAGAAGCAGCGCTGCCTGGCCTGGCGGGCACTTTGGCTGTCTTAAATAAATCCTGGGTTTTTTACTGATGATGTGTCAGTTCCACAGTGTCAATAAGCTTGCTGTGGGTCCCGCTGGCTCCCCGGCAATCTGCGCTGTTCTGCTCTGGGTACGCCTGCCACAGCCCCCCGAGCACTGCTGCATGAAATGCAGCCAGCCTGGCCCAAATCGAGTCAACGCTGGTGCGCATGAACACCCCGTAAAAAAATAGAAGTTTGAAACGCATTGGGGAAAAAAGGAAAACAAACATAAATACCGAGATACGCAAACAGTTACTGGCACTCGGACGGGACAAAACATGTGGAAAATTCCTTTTGCATTGTGTAAAAGTCATTTTCGTGGAACGTCCTTGTGCTGTACAGATATAAAGCTTCACACCTTCGGGCGACTACAAAGACGCTGGTTAGCACAGTGTCTTGGCTGGGCTGCTAGCGTTAGCCATAGCAAACACAGTTTCTGCCTGGCTGGGCTGCTAACATTAGCTGTTAGCTTCCTTAGCTGGTTAACACAGTGTCTGGCTGCACCGCTAACATTATCCATTAGCCTTAGCTTGTTAGCATAGTGCGTGGCTGGGCCTGGACATTGGCATTAGCCATTAGCCTTTGGCTCCCATAGGGGTGATGGAGAGGGGTCAGCTCTCTGTGAGCTGCTGTATGGGTCAAGGGCCTGGTGCACTCTCTGTCCCTCTGACGGCAGCTATATGGGGCACGGGCCATCAGGAATCCCATTAGGCATCACTCTGCACTCCAGGCCCCGCCCTGGGTTAGATGAGTGATGTGGCTCCTGGAAGAGGAGAGAGGGAAAAAAAAGTATCCATTAAGGGTGAATATCATGTGTTTTAGAACACATGCAGAATAGCCAAATCTGTACTAACAGATGAGGGCTTGGCTGTGGACACACTGGATTGACCTTTACTCTGGTTGCCTTGAGGCCCAATATGTATTAAAGGCAATGAATCAGGCACCTACAGTGGGGAAAACAAGTATTTAGTCAGCCACCAATTGTGCAAGTTCTCCCACTTAAAAAGATGAGAGAGGCCTGTAATTTTCATCATAGGTACACGTCAACTATGACAGACAAAATGAGATATTTTTTTCCAGAAAATCACATTGTAGGATTTTTAATGAATTTATTTGCAAATTATGGTGGAAAATAAGTATTTGGTCAATAACAAAAGTTTCTCAATACTTTGTTATATACCCTTTCTTGGCAATGACACAGGTCAAACGTTTTCTGTAAGTCTTCACAAGGTTTTCACACACTGTTGCTGGTATTTTGGCCCATTCCTCCATGCAGATCTCCTCTAGAGCAGTGATGTTTTGGGGCTGTCGCTGGGCAACACAGACTTTCAACTCCCTCCAAAGATTTTCTATGGGGTTGAGATCTGGAGACTGGCTAGGCCACTCCAGGACCTTGAAATGCTTCTTACGAAGCCACACCTTCGTTGCCCGGGCGGTGTGTTTGGGATCATTGTCATGCTGAAAGACCCAGCCACGTTTCATCTTCAATGCCCTTGCTGATGGAAGGAGGTTTTCACTCAAAATCTCACGATACATGGCCCCATTCATTCTTTCCTTTACACGGATCAGTCGTCCTGGTCCCTTTGCAGAAAAACAGCCCCAAAGCATGATGTTTCCACACCCATGCTTCACAGTAGGTATGGTGTTCTTTGGATGCAAGTCAGCATTCTTTGTCCTCCAAACACGACGAGTTGAGTTTTTACCAAAAAGTTATATTTTGGTTTCATCTGACCATATGACATTCTCCCAATCCTCTTCTGGATCATCCAAATGCACTCTAGCAAACTACTGATGGTAGGCTTTGTTACTTTGGTCCCAGCTCTCTGCAGGTCATTCACTAGGTCCCCCCGTGTGGTTCTGGGATTTTTGCTCACCGTTCTTGTGATAATTTTGACCCCACGGGGTGAGATCTTGCATGGAGCCCCAGATCGAGGAAGATTATCAGTGGCCTTGTGTGTCTTCCATTTCCTAATAATTGCTCCCACAGTTGATTTCTTCAAACCAAGCTGCTTACCTATTGCAGATTCAGTCTTCCCAGCCTGGTGCAGGTCTACAATTTTGTTTCTGGTTTCCTTTGACAGCTCTTTGGTCTTGGCCATAGTGGAGTTTGGAGTGTGACTGTTTGAGGTTGTGGACAGGTGTCTTTTATACTGATAACAAGTTCAAACAGGTGCCATTAATACAGGTAACGAGTGGAGGACAGAGGAGCCTCTTAAAGAAGAAGTTACAGGTCTGTGAGAGCCAGAAATCTTGCTTGTTTGTAGGTGACCAAATACTTATTTTCCACCATAATTTGCAAATAAATTCATTAAAAATCCTACAATGTGATTTTCTGGAAAGAAAATTCTCAATTTGTCTGTCATAGTTGACGTGTACCTATGATGAAAATTACAGGCCTCTCTCATCTTTTTAAGTGGGAGAACTTGCACAATTGGTGGCTGACTAAATACTTTCTTTCCCCACTGTATATTGTATTTCCCCACTGAGATAAGACCTTGTGTAGCTTATCTTTCTAGACACTCCTCAGACATTCCTTATCTTGTTTCCGCCTCTGTTCAAGGTCATTTTGTATCACTGTCTTCATAGTTAAATTAAAAGTTGTATCAGTCTCATATTATAATTATTTTAAACATTTCGGCAGACGCTCTTATCCAGAGCGACTTACAGTAGTGAATTCATACATTTTCATACTTTTTGCGTACTGAACCAAACCCACAACCCTGGCGTTGCAAGCGCCATGCTCTACCAACTGAGGCATGTATACAGTACATCATTCAGAATGACTATATAACCCTGAGACTCAGAGGAATAATTTTCCTTTGAGCCATTATTCTAGACATCTTAGCAATAGTATGAGGAGCCTGTTAGGACATTAAAAACATTTTCTGACCTTGATGTCCGCCGTCTGATTTGTCTCCTTTTACACCAAAATAACCCCCCCACTCAGTGTTTTCATCAGGTTAATGTTTCTGTTTGGTCAGAGGCTCACCAGGTTCTGAAGGGAAGACATTTCTCAGCTGCTCTATGACCTCCTGCAGCTGCTGCACTGTGTCCTGTTCATGATCCTCATCTCCATCTCCTGTCACATACAGCATCACACAGAGAGAGATTTTACATTTTAGTCATTTAGCTGACGCTCTTATCCAGAGCAACTTACATGAGCAATTAGGGTTAAGTGCCTAGCTCAAGGGCACATCGACAGATTTTTCACCTAGTCGGCTCGGGGATTAGAACCAGCGACTTTTCGGTTACTGGCACAACGCTCTTAACCACTAAGCTACCTGCCGCCCCAGAGATGAGTGACAACGGAACACTCAATCATTCCATTCTGTCTGAACTAATGTTGTTGTGGCCCACAGAATGAACAAAACAATGTTTTTTCAGTCAATAATCCAGTAGGAATTTCTTGGAACTTGCACCCCACCAGTGGGACCTGACCTACTATTTGGGAATATTTGTCTTAGTAGCTCACCCGTTGCATCTGTGTCTGTGGTCTCTTTACTGGGTCCGTCCCCATGACGGCCTCCCCCTGACACCGGAGACGACAGGGACGAAGGTTCCGATCCGTTGGCCTCCGAGTCATCTTTGGGCTGGTGGAAAATAAATAGTGTCATCAATCCCAACAGAATTCCCATTTTGACAGCTACTTCAGAAAACCACAACCGTTTCTTGGAATGTGTTGGGGTTGAAGGATACAGTAAACGTGCTGTAGATGCACTAAATAAGTCAAAGTGTTCCAGTGAAACTGAAGGCTGCGTTGGCTGGGGATTCAGACCTAGTTCTACGATGAACAAAGGAAGACAGAGGTTGACACTGAGAGTTGACTACCCACCCCCACTCCACCACTTCCATCACTTCATATTGGAACTATAAACTGACTCATATAAAGAGCTTATGTGCATGATTATTTCTTAAGAAGAGATTGAAAGACTGGCATTATATGGTCGGGAGGTTCATAGAAGTGGACAGAAAGTTAAAATCTACAACTTTAGAATGTTTGGTATTCTGTCCCTCTGTTCCTATTCCCCTATTCCCACTAAATCAGTCTCTCTTTCAATCTCCGCTCTCTATTACCAATTTCCAAGTCTTTTCACATGAGGAAATGTCTTTCTGTCACTCTCTCTTTCTCTCTCTACCCTAGTGAAGCAGTACAAATTAGCTTTCAGTCCTTCCTCTCCCCCTCTCTCTTCCCCATTCGCACATTCATATACTTCTACAGCAGTGTCATATTTTCTCTCAATCCATCCATTATCTTTGTTATTCCCCTTTCTCTCTTCCTTTTAGCTTCAGTCCCGTATCATTCTGCTTCTTAATCCCTCTTGAGTCTATCCCCCTCTCGCTTTCTCTCTTTACCATAGGTATTTCCCTCTGTCTCTCATGGTATCTATCCCCCTCCCTTCCTGTCTCTGTACCTGCAGTTTAAGTCATTAGTCTTTTTCTATTTACTAAAGTTGTCCCTCCCTCCCCTCTTTTCCAACCCATCTGTTTCTTTCTTTCCCTCCTCTTTCTTACCACTTTCCATTTGTTTCTCCTTCCTCCCTCCCTACCTGCAGCAGTAACTCTCGTAGCCTCTGCAACTGGGACTCCAGCTGTTTGTTGTGGTCCTCCAGGATCTGCATTCGTGTCTCTAGGCGAGTCTTGTGCTGCCGGAGGGCCCTCGCCTCGGCCAGGAGTTCCTCGTCCTGCTGGCCCCCCGTGGGCGATCCCAGACCCTCCTCGCCCCCCTCTGTCAGTTGGGGCGCCGCCGCTGCCTCCTCATGCCTCCACTTCAGCCGCCGCCACTCCCCCTGCAGCACCCTGGGAATAGGAGAGAGGACAGAGACATCAGCAGACAGCATTTTAAAGAGCTGAGAGTTTCACTGACACACACACTGGCCACAATAAGCTTTGATAGTAAATGCTGTGAGATGTCTGCTAAAGCGCCATAGTCCATACAGTGGGGGAAAAAAGTATTTAGTCAGCCACCAATTGTGCATGTTCTCCCACTTAAAAAGAAAGAGAGAGGCCTGTAATTTTCATCATAGGTACACGTCAACTATGATAGACAAAATGATAATTTTCTTCTCCAGAAAATCACATTGTAGGATTTTTTATGAATTTATTTGCAAATTATGGTGGGAAATAAGTATTTGGTCAATAACAAAAGTTTCTCAATACTTTGTTATATACCCTTTGTTGGCAATGACACAGGTCAAACGTTTTCTGTAAGTCTTCACAAGGTTTTCACACACTGTTGCTGGTATTTTGGCCCATTCCTCCATGCAGATCTCCTCTAGAGCAGTGATGTTTTGGGGCTGTCGCTGGGCAACACGGACTTTCAACTCCCTCCAAAGATTTTCTATGGGGTTGAGATCTGTAGACTGGCTAGGCCACTCCAGGACCTTGAAATGCTTCTTACGAAGCCACTCCTTCGTTGCCCGGGCGGTGTGTTTGGGATCATTGTCATGCTGAAAGACCCAGCCACGTTTCATCTTCAATGCCCTTGCTGATGGAAGGAGGTTTTCACTCAAAATCTCACGATACATGGCCCCATTCATTCTTTCCTTTACCAGGATCAGTCGTCCTGGTCCCTTTGCAGAAAAACAGCCCCAAAGCATGATGTTTCCACCCCCATGCTTCACAGTAGGTATGGTGTTCTTTGGATGCAACTCAGCATTCTTTGTCCTCCAAACACGACGAGTTGAGTTTTTACCAAAAAGTTATATTTTGGTTTCATCTGACTATATGACATTCTCCCAATCCTCTTCTGGATCATCCAAATGCACTCTAGCAAAATTCAGACGGGCCTGGACATGTACTGGCTTAAGCAGGGGGACACGTCTTGCACTGCAGGATTTGAGTCCCTGGCGGCGTAGTGTGTTACTGATGGTAGGCTTTGTTACTTTGGTCCCAGCTCTCTGCAGGTCATTCACTAGGTCCCCCCGTGTGGTTCTGGGATTTTTGCTCACCGTTCTTGTGATCATTTTGACCCCACGGGGTGAGATCTTGCGTGGAGCCCCAGATCGAGGGAGATTATCAGTGGTCTTGTATGTCTTCCATTTCCTAATAATTGCTCCCACAGTTGATTTCTTCAAACCAAGCTGCTTACCTATTGCAGATTCAGTCTTCCCAGCCTGGTGCAGGTCTACAATTTTGTTTCTGGTTTCTTTGACAGCTCTTTGGTCTTGGCCATAGTGGAGTTTGGAGTGTGACTGTTTGAGGTTGTGGACAGGTGTCTTTTATACTGATAACAAGTTCAAACAGGTGCCATTAATACAGGTAACGAGTGGAGGACAAAGGAGCCTCTTAAAGAAGAAGTTACAGGTCTGTGAGAGCCAGAAATCTTGCTTATTTGAAGGTGACCAAATACTTATTTTCCACCATAATTTGCAAATAAATTACAATGTGATTTTCTGGATTTTCTTTTCTCAATTTGTCTGTCATAGTTGACGTGTACCTATGATGAAAATTACAGGCCTCTCTCATATTTTTAAGTGGGAGAACTTGCACAATTGGTGGCTGACTAAATACTTTTTTTCCCCACTGTATGTGTGTGTGCGCTTGTGTGTGTGTGCGTGTGTGTGTTGGCCCAAAGGTCAGGGACATGCAGAAAAGACAAAATATAATAATTCAGATGAATCATACCTATGAAGGTTGCCTCTGGTATCAAATTCAGTGAATGGGAAAAGGCCATATTCGATCTAATTTTGACTCTGTTTACATAATACGTAATATAATACACTTATCATAATTTGGTTGTAATCCAGAGAGGTTAGAAAACATATCTAGATCCTCTATGAGGCTGTGGAGGGATCCACATTTTGGATTTAAAAGAAAACATGAATCATCAGCGTACAATTACACCTTTGTTTTTAAGCCCTGGATTTCTAGCCCCTTGATATTATTGTTGGATCTGATTTTAATAGCTAACATTTCGATGGCCATAAAAAATAGATATGCCAATAGTGGAAAACCTTGTTTTACTCCTCTTGATAGTTTAATACTTTCTGAGAAGTAACCATTGTTTACTATTTTAGACCTATGGTTACTATACATAACTTTAACCCATTGTATAAGAGATTCTCCACAAAGGAAATATTCCAGGCATTTATATATAAATTCCAGTCATACTTTGTCAAAAGGCTTTTCAAAGTCAGATATGAATACCAGGCCTGGTTTCCCAGATTTTTCGGTGTTCTATTGTTTCCAGTAATTGTCTTACATTATCTCCAATGTATCATCCATGTAAAAAAAAACCTGTCTGATAATAATAATATCCGACAATACCTTTTTACAACACTGAAGTGTAAGGGGCTTCCAAATTTTTAAATGGACTGAATCTTTATATTTACCACTTGGGTCCTGTTTCAGTAATAATGAAATCAGACCTTCTGATAATCAACCTTCTGATAATCAACCATTTTTATAGGAGTGGTTAAAACATGCTAATACCGGTCCTCTGAGTACATCAAAAAGGTTTTGGTATACCTCAACTGGTATGCCATCAAGCCCTGGAGTTTTCCTGGACTTAAAGGCTTTAATTGCATCAAGAAGTTTCTCCTCTGTAATTTGGCCTTCACATGAGTCTTTCTGTACAGCTGTTAATTATACATTATTCATAGAAAACAAATCCATACAATTAACTTCGGTTAGTGGAGATGGAGGAGACTGAAACGAAAACATATGCTTAAAGTACTTTGCTTCCTCTTTAAAAATGTTTTGGGGTGAATCATGGGTGACTCCATCATTTGTAACAAGTTTAAGTAAATCATTTTAGGTAGCATTTCTATGTTGAAGATTAAAAAATAATTTGGTGCTTTTTTCCTCATATTCCATCCAGTTCACTTTATTTTTATAATATATTACACTTGCTCTTTCTTGAATAAGTTCCTCCATTTCTTTTTGTTTTTCCTCAAACGTATTCTTTGCCTCTATGGTACAGTTTTTATTGCTATCTATCTGTACTGTTAGTCCTTCTATTTCCTTTGTTAATATGGACTCTTTTGACCTGAATTGCTTTTGTTTTAGAGATGAGTATTTAATTGCATGGCCTCTAAAGGCACATTTAAAAGTATCCCATACAATAAGGGGATCTGTTGTACCTATGTTATGTCAGAAAAAGTCAGTTATAAATTCTTCTGTCCTAGTTAAAAAAAAGTTATCATCCAATAGGCTTTGATTAAATTTGCAATATACTCGCCCACGTGGAAATTCTGTATGAGTAATGTACATGCCAATTCTTTGACGGTCCGACCGCATTCTGTCCCCTATCAACACTTTTAAAACTTTTGGTGCCAGCGAGAATGACATAAGAAAGTAGTCAAGACGACTAGCTTGATTGAGCCTCCACCATGACTTTTTCCACATTTTGTTAGGTTACAGCTTTATTTTAAAATGTATTACATTTATTTTTCCACTCATCAATCTACACACAATACCCCATAATGACAAAGCAAAAACAGGATTTTATAAATTTTCGCTAATTTGTTACAAATACAAAACTGATCTCCTCAAGCTCTATCAGGTTGGATGGGGAGCGTTGCTGCACAGCTATTTTCAGGTCTCTCCAGAGATGTTCGATCGGGTTCAAGTCCGGGCTCTGGCTAGGCCACTCAAGGACATTCAGAGACTTGTCCCGAAGCAACTCCTGCATTGGCTTGGCTGTGTGCTTAAGGTCGTTGTCCTGTTGGAAAGTGAACCTTCACCCCAGTCTGAGGTCCTGAGCATTCTGGAGCAGGTTTTCATCAAGGATCTCTCTTTACTTTGCTCCGTTCATCTTTCCCTCGATCCTGACTAGTCTCCCAGTCACTGCCGCTGAAAAACATCCCCACAGCATGATGCTGCCACCACCATGCTTCACCGTAGGGATGGTGCCAGGTTTCCTCCAGACGTGACGCTTGGCATTCAGGCCAAAGAGTTCAATCTTGGTTTCATCAGACCAGAGAATCTTGTTTCTCATGGTCTGAGAATCTTTAGGTGCCTTTTGGCAAACTCCAAGCGGGCTGTCATGTGCCTTTTACTGAGGAGTGGCTTCCGTCTTGCCACTCTACCATAAAGGCCTGATTGGTGGAGTGCTGCAGAGATGGTTGTCCTTCTGGAAGGTTCTCCCATCTCCACAGAGGAAGTCTAGAGCTCTGTCAGACTGACCATCGGGTTCTTGGTCACCTCCCTGACAAAGGCCTTTCTCCCCCGATTGCTCAGTTTGGCCGGGTGGCCAGCTCTAGGAAGAGTCTTGCTGGTTCCAAACTTCTTCCATTTAAGAATGATGGAGGCCACTGTGTTCTTGGGGACCTTCAATGCTGCAGAAATGTTTTGGTACCCTTTCCCAGATCTGTGCCTTGACACAATCCTGTCTCAGAGCTCTACTGATAATTCCATCGACCTCATGGCTTGGTTTTTGCTCTGACATGCACTTTCAACTGTGGGACCTCATATAGACAGTTGTGTGCCTTTCCAAATCATGTCCAATCAATTGAATTTACCACAGGTGGACTCCAATCAAGTTGTAGAAACATTTCAAGGATGAACAATGGAAGCAGGATGCACCTGAGCTCAATTTCGAGTCTCATAGCAAAGGGTCTGAATAAATATGTAAATTAGTTGTTGTTTTTTTTGTTTTTTTAATACATTGTCCGTCTGCTAAATGTCATATTATTATTATGATTATTATTTGCTTAAATGTAAAAAAAACATTATGAGGTATTATGTGAAGGCTACTTGCACTAGGCCTATAAAACAGATAATGATTTCTTCTGTATGGGTCGCTCAGGTGGGTGTCTAGGGGACCGTTCGGACAATAAATAAATATACTATTTTTATTATTTATTTTCAAATGTATATCCCATATCTGCACAACATTGTTTTTATCCCTACCATGTTGATTCCTACCTTTCAGGATTTTGAGTACTTTTGTGTTCCAGTTCCTTGTATTTGAAGATGTATTAATTCAATATTTATCCTTTCTTCTAATGCTGTATTTGATCTATTTATAAATACTATAAATAGAAAGTCAAATACTAATTATTTTACAACATTTCCTATCTTGAATGGTATAGTGTATTTGTAGTTTATTTCTTTATCAATTGTTGTATTTTATTGTTTTCTCTATGGGAACTTTGTAATATTTAGAATAGCCATGGAATAGTCTTGGAACAATTGGTTATCAATGTACAGTTTATTGACTATGAGAGCTACACGTTTCCTTTTTAATCTATTAACCTTGATGAGTGGGTACAGAACTTTGTGCCATTCTGCAATTTCCTTCGGGAACTGGTCATTCATGCCAGCGAGTCTTTTACCCAGGCTTTTAACTATTATTTTATCTTAAAGAATGCACATTTTGCAACGATTGGGCGCTCATATCTCTGTCCGAAACGGTGTACACGTTCGAGTTTGATTTTGAAGACAGTATCGCCTGGGATCTGTAGCACTGTAACAAATCATTAATTCCCCACACTTTCGGGATCTTCACCCTCTTTTTCTTTGATACCAGTAAGTACCAGATTTTCTCTCATAGACCTAGTCTGTATTTCAAGTAAGGATTCTCTCAGAAACATGTTCTCCTTTTTAAGTTCTTTCACGTCCATTTTATTTAATCGTATTGACTGTACCTTTTAGCTTGATTGTTTCTTTCTACATTGTCACAGTTTTTTCATCACTCATCTCGAGGCTGGCCTTCAACTCCTTTATGTCTTTACTGACTAGTTCAAGTCTGCCCAGTTTATCATTTATCGACTTTAGCAAGTCCATTTCTACACTTACCATTCCCGGTGGTGAAAAGCATAAATCGTCTGTGTCTGTCGAGGAGTCTCGTTTTCTTTTGGGGATTGGTTCTCCAAGCTTACTCTCCGACATGTTTGGGTGTTGATTGTATTGGTGATATTGGTCGATACATTTCTCTAGTCTTATAATTTGTTTTGTGTTGTTATCCAGATTGAAGGTTATTTCCAGAGAGTATGTGGAGTGAAGTGCTAATATTTAGTAAAACTAACAGATATTAAATATTACATTTTATCTTGAGGCATTCTGCACCGCTGTGTTCAGTCCGCCATGACACCTCTCCCCTACATTTGAACTTTTATTTAAGGACTTAAGGGTTTACTTAGTGACACACAATATACAACAATCAAATGTAATGTGTTCCAAAGCCCTTTATTTCCCATCACACTAATGTATCATACAATAGTATACTCTATTCACTAGTCACCCTATCATAGGGTCAATAGATCTTGTTTTTATCTGACACCTTTGATTTGTTTATTTCATTTGTTTATTTCATTTGACTCCCAGCAGTGTTCTGTTTGTGTTGTGATTATGTGGATGCTTTGAGGACATGAAAGAGCCGGGTCTTTTATGGGCCACTGCTTTAACAGGTGCACTTTGTAGTCTGTGTGTGGTGTGTTTATGACTTGGGAAGGCATTGTAACCTATGATCATAATAACATAGTGGTTTTAACTAGGTATCTTAATGTTGTCTGGCGGCACTCACCTCATCCACTACCAATGTGTAGTTCTCAAATTTGGTGCCAGAAGCATAAGATGATTGATTATGATGGCCATGGTAGTGGCCCTGTAAGGTTGTAAGACCTAACAGCTCTAAGTCCTAAAGGTTCTAAGTCCTAAACGTTATAGGTCCTAAAGGTTATAGGTCCTAAAGGTGCTAATAAGCCCTAAAGGTTCTAAGACCAAACGTTTCTACGACCGAAATGAGGCCAAAAGGTTGTAAGGCCGAAAGGTTCCAATTCTAAAGATTATAAGACCAAGGGTTCTAAAACCTAAAGGTTCTATTTTCTCACCGGTTCTCATTCTCCAGGCGGGCCAGCGTTCTCTGCAGCTCGTCCTTGTCCTGGCAGTCCAGGTGGGCCAGCAGCATCTGCTGTCCACTGGGGGAGTCCTGGTCCAGGGCGCCGGGGCTGGAGTGACGCAGGAGGTACTGATCTTCATCCCTGAGTCCCCCACATAACACATCACAGGAGACACTCAGCACACTGAGCCGCAGCAAGACAGCACAGGACAGGACAGCACAGAGCAGCACCGAGCCATTGACACACTGGTACAGAGCAGACAGACAGCACAGCCACAGAGCAGGACAGACAGCAAATCAGTAGCAAAGCGCCAAAGACACATTGGTATTGAGGAGCAGTACTGACACACTGACAGCAAAAGACACACAGGCAGCAACAGACACACGGACAGAATAGACGCACATCAGCACAAGCACACTGGCAGTCTTAAGAAATTCAAGACAGTCTTAAGAAATTCTACAAAAAAGTAGTGGCATAGACAAAGGTATGCAGCAATAAAGGACAATAATGAAGCCAGAGCACTGCCAGACATACAGCAGTACTGGGCAGCAAGCTAACAGAGTGACATAAGAAAGAGGGGACTCAGCAGTAGAGACAGAATAGTAGCCCTACTGATAAGAACAAAGCACCCAAAATAGTCTTCCAACAGCACAGAGACACACAGAGCTAAGAGCTCGCAGGCAGCAGCACACTGAACAACTATACAAACAGTCACATTAAACTAGCAGCCTCACACACCATGACATGACCCTCTCTATTTAGCAAATACACACGTGCACATACAGACATACACACGCGGACATGAACACACCCACACATATACACAGAAATGAATACACACACACTGACTTGAACAAAGAAACACAGATGAACACACACACACACGTAAATACAAACACTCTCTCTCTTTCTCTAGACATGAAAAACACACACAGTAAACCCTTTGATCAAGGCCACTACCTTTGTGGGAATTTTCATTTTTTTATAGCAGTAAGTGAGTGCTCATCATGAAAACACACACACACACACACATGCCTCACCCCCAAAACACTGTTTCTCTCTCAGCCAAAGCCTTTGATCAGGGCCAACACCTCTGCGACCAGGCCCTTTCATGAATTGAGTTGGTTTATAGCATTCCTTAGTGAGGGGTTCACCTGATTACCTCTCTCGCCCCCTTCTCCCCCCACCCTCCAGTTTTTGTTTCAGCCAGCCTCTGGCTCTTATCATGTTCTGTGGTATTTCAATGGGCCTCCCTCACTCCCTCCCTCCTCCTCCTCCTCCCTCCCACCATTCTTCCCTTCCTCTGGTCTCCTGTGCAGCAGCCCTTTCTATTTACTCCCACTGCCACAGTCTTTAATCACAAAGACTTTTATATGATGAAGGGGGAGTATGCATTGCCATGGGTCATTTTCATTAACTTGCTGATTTCTTTATGTGATTGCCCAGCCTCCCCTGAATGCGTGTGCACACACTCAGGGGCATACACACAGGTACACACATGCTGATACACTCCCTCTCTCACACACACACACTCATTCATAAACACACACACACATTACATATTTCAGAGCAGGGCCTTGGCTGTAATGAAAGGGTTCAGTGTGTGGGGGAGGTAGCAGTGTACTCACAGACTCTCATCAGGCGACAGACTATCCGTGAAGAAGGAACAATTCTGGTTCTCCATCTCCGCCAACCTGGACCACAAGAAAACACACACACACACACACACGCACAGAGCGAGAGAGAGAGAGAGAGAGAGAGAGAGAGATGAAAGGTAGGTGCTCTGTAGTAAAAGACGTCAAGAGCAAAAACAACAGATTGATCTTATCTTAGAAAGAGGAGAGGTTTTCCTTCCAAGAAGAGCTATTCAGTACAGTAGCGCAGTATTTCAGCACCATGGACAGCTACCACACTGCTCTTCTCCTTCAACCCTGTTACAATGTGGTTGACGATTGGCAGTGCAGCACCTTTGATAGGGACTGTACATTTTTCAGCACCATGGACAGCTACGACACTGCTACAAACTGTTATCCCCCTCCTCCCGTTTTACCAGGCAATTGAATAGGGAGAAGTTTGCTTTTAGCGACACTTCACTCTCTCAGCAGTGGGAATGGCCTTCTGAGGGCGCTGCCAGGAGGGCTGTGTTGGAACCATCAGACACATACAGACTCCGCCAGAGATACTAATGAAATGTGCTAAGTGCCTCATGCTACTCCAGCTCCCCAAACACACACACACACACACACACAAACAAACCACCACCACCACCAAAACTCATCTACTAATGGACGAATGGAGGGATGAGAATGGAGGGATGAGAATGGAGGGATGAGAATGGAGGGATGAGAATGGAGTGATGAAGAGCTTGTCAGAGGGATCTATATTACATCCTTATGCCCCTCCCACCAAGAAAGAGAGCGTACAGGGCATCCACACTCACTGTGGCCAGACCTGGCCTCTATGGCTGACAGCCCTTTATTCAATCAGTCAGGTCATTAATTCGAGGGTTGTTATAGGACCAGAAGGCAGGGTAGAGAGGAGAGTGACCCGCACCCCAGTTAGGGACTACGGCAGGGGGGATGGAGACGCTCACTAACCCCCAAGGGGACTGGAGGGTGAAAGGGGGGCATGGTGGGGTCACATGGTTGTAAATGTGTGAGTGTGTGTGGAAGGGTGTGTGTGTGTGAATCTGTATGTGAGTTGTGAGAGTGAAACTGTGAGAATGAGGCTGTGTGTCTATATGTATACATGTGTGTATTCTGTGTGAGAGCTGTAGACTTGGCCCTTGTCCTCAGGACAGTCCTGAAGATGAGGGAATTTGTGAGTGAGTCCCTCCCTCCCTTGCCCCGTCCATCTCTCCCTCAATCCCTCCCTCTCTCCATCCCTCTCTCAGAACTGGAGTCTGTACTGATGATGAAAGGAGAGCACTCCACTGGCACCTCGGTGCACGTGTGTGATGCGCCAGCAAATCTGGCCCTTAAGAGACAACCAAAACATCAAATACCCACAGTCCTCCTCTGGGACACCATATTTTTACCCTGGATTAACATGAACACCCTCTCATTTGACTGAATGGAGAGACAAACACTATTCTGTGAGGACAGCCTCAGGGACCTTTAATAAAGCTGTATGGCAGTTCTGACATCCAGGTTTTGATATTAATGAGATTTTTCATTACTTTGTGACGGGACAATAATAGAGGGGAGGGGGGTGAATAAATATATATATATATATATATATATATATATATATATAGTCCCTCATTTGATGTATTTTTGAAGAGTGAGGGGAGAGAGGGCTAGAAAGAATACGAGAGAGAGAGCGGAAGAGAGAGAGAGAGTGCGAGAGAGAGAGCGAACGCAAAAGAGAGAGAGAGAGAGAGAAAGAGAGAGAGAACATTAATGAGTCTAATTGGCAGAAGACTAATACAGTGCATTCGGAAAGTATTCAGACCCCTTGACTTTTTCCACATTTTGTTACGTTACAGCCTTATTCTAAAATTGATTAAATAGTTTTTTCCCCCTCATCAATAGCCCATAATGACAAAGCAAAAAAAGGTTTTTAGAGATTTTAGCAAATGTATTACAAAAAACCCCCCGGAAATATCACATTTACATAAGTATTCAGACACTTTGCTCAGCACTTTGTTGAAGCACCTTTGGCAGCGATTACAGCCTCGAGTCTTCTTGGGTATGACGCTACAAGCTTGGCACACCTGTATTTGGGGAGTTTCTCCCATTCTTCACTGCAGATCCTCTCAAGCTCTGTCAGATTGGATGGGGAACGTCGCTGCACAGCTATCTTCAGATCTCTCCAGAGATATTCGATTGGGTTCAAGTCCGGGCTCTGGCTGGGCCACTCAAGGACATTCAGAGACTTGTCCCGAAGCTCCTGGTACCCTTACCCAGATCTGTGCCTCGACACAATCCTGTCTCGGAGCTCTACGGACAATTCCTTCGACCTCATTGCTTGGTTTTTGCACTGTTAACTGTGGGACCTTATATAGACAGGTGTGTGCCTTTCCAAATCATGTCCAATTGAATTTACCACAGGTGGACTCCAAACAAGTTGTAGAAACATCTCAAGGATGATCAATGGAAACAGGATGCACCTGAGCTCCATTTCGAATCCCATAGCAAAGGGTCTGAATACTTATCAAAGCAAAAGGTGGCTATTTGAAGAATCTCAAATATAAAATATATTTTGATTTGTTTAACACATTTTTGGTTACTACATGAATCCATATGTGTTATTTCATAGTTTTGATGTCTTCACTATTATTCTACAATGTAGAAAATGGTAAAAAATAAAGAAAAACCCTTGAATGAGTAGGTGTTCTAAAACTTTTGACCGGTAGTGTATGTAAATAAGGTATTTCTGCTACAATGCAGTAGTAGCTTTGGGACAAGTCTCTGAATGTGATATTTCCGTTATTTTCTTTAAATAAATTTGGTACAATTTCTAAAAACCTGTTTTCGGTTTGTCATTATGGGCTATTGTGTGTAGATTGATGAGGATTCTTTTTACTGAATACATTGTAGAATAAGGCTGTAACGTAACGAAATGTGGAAAAAATCAAGGGGTCTGAATACTTTCTGAATGAACTGTAAATGTGAGAGGACTGTGGAACAGAAGCATATCATTTCAGTCAATGGAAATAATGGATATGATTGACTGGGAGATAAGAAAGAGAGTGAATACAATGACTAAACACACACACACACAAACATATTCAGTGGCTTTTGAAAGTATTCACCCCCCTTGACATTTTTCCTATTTTGTTGCCTTACAACCTGGAATTAAAATAGATTTTTGGTGGGTTTGTATCATTTCATTTACACAACATGCCTACCACTTTGAAGATGCACAATTTTTTTGTGTGTGAAACAAACAAGAAATAAGACAGAAAAACAGAAAACTTGAGCGTGCAAAACTATTCACCCCACCAAGCTCCTTCAAGTTGGTTGGGTTCCGCTGGTGTACAGCAATCTTTAAGTCATACCATAGATTCTCTATTGAATTGAGGTCTGGGCTTTGACTAGGCCATTCCAAGACATTTAAATGTTTCCCCTTAAACCACTCAAGTGTTGCTTTAGCAGTATGCTTAGGGTCATTGTCCTGCTGGAAGGTGAACCTCCGTCCCAGTCTCAAATCTCTGGAAGACTGAAACAGGTTTCCCTCAAGAATTTCCCTGTATTTAGCACCATCCATCATTTCCCAGTCCCTGCCGATGAAAAACATCCCAACAGCATGATGCTGCCACCACCATGCTTCACTGTGGGGATGGTGTTCTCGGGGTGATGAGAGGTGTTGGGTTTGCGCCAGACATAGCATTTTCCTTGATGGCCAAAAAGCTCAATTTTAGTCTCATCTGACCAGAGTACCTTCTTCCATATGTTTGGGGAGTCTCCCACATGGCTTTTGGCAAACACCAAACGTGTTTGCTTATTTTGTTCTTTAAGCAATGGCTTTTTTCTGGCCACTCTTCCGTAAAGCCCAGCTCTGTGGAGTGTACAGCTTAAAGTGGTACTATGGACAGATACTCCAATCGCCACTGTGGAGCTTTGCTGCTCCTTCAGGGTTTTCTTTGGTCTCTTTGTTGCCTCTCTGATTAATGCCCTCCTTGCCTGGTCCGTGAGTTTTGGTGGGCGGCCCTCTCTTGGCAGGTTTGTTGTGGTGCCATATTCTTTCAATTTTTAAATAATGGATTTAATGGTGGTCCGTGGGATGTTCACATTTGTTGATATTTTTTTATAACCCAACCCTGATCTGTACTTCTCCACAACTTTGTCCCTGACCTGTTTGGAGAGCTCCTTGGTCTTCATGGTGCCGCTTGCTTGGTGGTGCCCCTTGCTTAGTAGTGTTGCAGACTCTGGGGCCTTTCAGAACAGGTGTACAGTGGGGAAAAAAAGTATTTAGTCAGCCACCAATTGTGCAAGTTCTCCCACTTAAAAAGATGAGAGAGGCCTGTAATTTTCATCATAGGTACACGTCAACTATGACAGACAAAATGAGAAAAGAAAATCCAGAAAATCACATTGTAGGATTTTTTATGAATTTATTTGCAAATTATGGTGGAAAATAAGTATTTGGTCAATAACAAAAGTTTCTCAATACTTTGTTATATACCCTTTGTTGGCAATGACACAGGTCAAACGTTTTCTGTAAGTCTTCACAAGGTTTTCACACACTGTTGCTGGTATTTTGGCCCATTCCTCCATGCAGATCTCCTCTAGAGCAGTGATATTTTGGGGCTGTCGCTGGGCAACACGGACTTTCAACTCCCTCCAAAGATTTTCTATGGGGTTGAGATCTGGAGACTGGCTAGGCCACTCCAGGACCTTGAAATGGTTCTTACGAAGCCACTCCTTCGTTGCCCGGGCGGTGTGTTTGGGATCATTGTCATGCTGAAAGACCCAGCCACGTTTCATCTTCAATGCCCTTGCTGATGGAAGGAGGTTTTCACTCAAAATCTCACGATACATGGCCCCATTCATTCTTTCCTTTACACGGATCAGTCGTCCTGGTCCCTTTGCAGAAAAACAGTCCCAAAGCATGATGTTTCCACCCCCATGCTTCACAGTAGGTATGGTGTTCTTTGGATGCAACTCATCATTCTTTGTCCTCCAAACACGACGAGTTGAGTTTTTACCAAAAAGTTATATTTTGGTTTCATCTGACCATATGACATTCTCCCAATCCTCTTCTGGATCATCCAAATGCACTCTAGCTAACTTCAGACGGGCCTGGACATGTACTGGCTTAAGCAGGGGGACACGTCTGGCACTGCAGGATTTGAGTCCCTGGCGGCGTAGTGTGTTACTGATGGTAGGCTTTGTTACTTTGGTCCCAGCTCTCTGCAGGTCATTCACTAGGTCCCCCCGTGTGGTTCTGGGATTTTTGCTCACCATTCTTGTGATCATTTTGACCCCATGGGGTGAGATCTTGCATGGAGCCCCAGATCGAGGGAGATTATCAGTGGTCTTGTATGTCTTCCATTTCCTAATAATTGCTCCCACAGTTGATTTCTTCAAACCAAGCTGCTTACCTATTGCAGATTCAGTCTTCCCAGCCTGGTGCAGGTCTACAATTTTGTTTCTGGTGTCCTTTGACAGCTCTTTGGTCTTGGCCATAGTGGAGTTTGGAGTGTGACTGTTTGAGGTTGTGGACAGGTGTCTTTTATACTGATAACAAGTTCAAACAGGTGCCATTAATACAGGTAACGAGTGGAGGACAGAGGAGCCTCTTAAAGAAGAAGTTACAGGTCTGTGAGAGCCAGAAATATTGCTTGTTTGTAGGTGACCAAATACTTATTTTCCACCATAATTTGCAAATTAATTAATTAAAAATCCTACAATGTGATTTTTTCTCAATTTGTCTGTCATAGTTGACGTGTACCTATGATGAAAATTACAGGCCTCTCTCATCTTTTTAAGTGGGAGAACTTGCACAATTGGTGGCTGTATATATACTGAGATCATGTGACAGATCATGTGACACTTAGATTGCACACAGGTGGACTTTATTTAACTAATTATGTGACTTCTGAAGGTAATTGGTTGCACCAGATATTATTTAGGGGCCTCATAGCAAAGGGGGTGAATACATATGCACACACCACTTTTCCATTATTTATTTTTTAGAATTTTTTGAAACAAGTTATTTTTTTCATTTCACTTCACCAATTTGGACTATTTTGTGTATGTCCATTACATGAAATCCAAATATAAATCCATTTAAATTACAGGTTGTAATGCAACAGAATAGGAAAAACACCAAGGGGGATGAATACTTTTGCAAGGCACTGTACTGTACTGTACACACAGAGTGCAGTGATCTATGCCCTGCTCCGCTCTGCTATCGGCATGACTGCCCTGGGTGAGGGACTGCTCTGCCATGCCCTGGCTGTGCCCTCTCTGTAACCCTGTCAGACAGACGCTGATCTGCCCTGGCATCCACCAGGTGCCCAATGGACCCAGTGCCCTGTCACATTGTTATACCATGCCACCAGGCATCCACAGCCAGGTGACCCCTGCTCACCCCAGACCAAACATACTGCACCCTTCTCAGTGTGTGTGTGTGTGTGTGTGTGTGTGTGTGTGTGTGTGTGTGTGTGTGTGTGTGTGTGTGTGTGTGTGTGTGTGTGTGTGTGTGTGTGTGAGAGAAAGAGAAAAAGAGAGAGAGAGAAAGGATACCCGTTGGGCACAACAGTCTCCACTCAAGTCAAAGCTCAGACCAAGATGCAGCCAGATCGATATTTTCATCAGATTGTGGAGAGAGAACTGGGGACGGTGAGGAGAATGGAAGGAGGGAAGGAGACAGATGGTTCTGTACTGGAGTGAGCAGAGGAGTTAAGCAATGGGGTAGGGTAGGACGTGAGTATTTATTTTGGACTGCGGTGTGTGTGTGTGTGTGTATGTGTGTATAACACCCTACCTGCTAGCGAAGTGCTCAATTCTGCTGTGTGTGTCTGCATGGGGTAGCTTGGGAGAGGAGCACGGCCTGGTAAAACACAGAAAACCATCATCAATACCTCTAGTACTGGTACTTTCTGGTGTGTGTGTGTGTGTGTCTACTTCTTAAACACGTATTGAATCCCCCTCATGTACAACCAACCGCACCAAAACAGAAGTGCCCTTTTCCCCTCAACATCATAGAATATTGCAAACAAAGCTTACATCGTAATATTATTGGAAAATGTATTACTGAATGGCTGTCATATATAAGCAGTCTCCCTCTCTCTGTCAAATCATTTCCCGTCTTCTCTGTGCCAGTCTGTCTCTACAGGGTTATGACTCACGTCTCAGAGCTCTCGGCCTCCAGCACCGACTGGACAGGCAGGTAGCCCCGCTGAGGGTGCTTGCTGAAGTATTGCTTCGACCGGAACTTGTTCTTCAGCGTCTTGGCAAAGTCCCGCATCTTCTCTCCTGAGGTGGTCTGCCACATGATTTAGATGAGGGGACCGGAATGGAGGAGAGGACAGGGGGATGGGGGGGGGAGAGGAGAGGAGAAGGGAATGGTAGTGGGAGGACAAGAAGACAAAGTGCACAACTTTAGAATTCTCTATACTACACATGCACACACACACACACACACACACACATGCACAAAGAGAAAGAGAGAGAGAGCGAGAGAGAGACTTGTCTTGAAGCAAACTGCTGCTAGTCCAGTTGTCTTTCCCCTCTATCTCCCTCTGACCTCACTGGACTACAGTCTCACAGTCTGCTACCCACCTCGACTCCATCATAGAACCCAGCACCATAGGTAAAAAACTCCAGCCTAGCTCCACTTAAACCTTCCCCTGTTTGAAATACTGCCCTGGGAGAAATCATTTGGCACATAGCTCCCTGCCATATCCCACAGCCCTGCAGTGATTGGAGCTGAAGTAGTGAGCTAGTGTGATGTCCACTTTGTGCACTCTCTTAAAGGGGCCATCTGTGATTGCTAAATCCATATTTGGATTTTTAAATTCATGAAATATACCCATTGATTCTTGAGGAATCTAACTTAAAAATGCCTCGTGGGCTTAGTTTAACTGTCGTACCCCATCAGAACACGAAATATAAGCTTGTTTTACTCCATTGTTTGTAAACAATGTAATACTTAACAAACACTGTAGGGGAGAGTGGGGTGTGTTGAGCCCTTTTTTACATTCATCATTACTACATCAAGAGAAATATAGGATTCTTTCTATCAAAGATATCTACATATATTTCAGGATGTTGTGTATCCCTGGAAATAATCAGAATTCATGTAAACATGTGTCCTGTGACAGTGGGTGATGGTGCTGGTAGGTCAAAGTTGAATTCATGGAATGGGGGTGTGGTATATTGTATATCTTTAATGTATGCCTATATTCAGATATAGAGCTCTCTGTTCAATATCACTTACCCTTCCATTTCTTGACCAGTTCTCTGGGACAGGGATGTTGTTTCGATGTGCCAATTCTTAGGCAAGTTCTCTGCATTTGAGGCTACTAAGCCCATGAAACTGGTCCACAAGATTCTTGATAGCTCAGACTCCATGTCATCAGATAAGACCTTGTGTGCCTCTGCTACTCTATAATAGCCTCTCGCACAGGTACATGTTCATTTTCTTTATTGTCAATGTACCTCTTCAGTGTCATTCAAAATATTATTTCCATCCCTTGCTGCTGACTTCTTCCCTTCTCTCACTTCATTGGCTGCTCTCTCAAGAACCTCAAGGGGGGCTAGACCCCTGCTTGTTTTACATTTGTATACACAGGGCATGATGATATCTGCTCTGTAACAATACAAATTCACTATCTTGAGTTCATATGCATGACACAAATACTATTCATATTATGCATAGTGGCCATTGGCTCACCTTACCCCAAGGCAAAACTTTTGACTATATTAGCCCACACAGCTACAAGGATGCACTTTCATGCTAGGTTTAAGACCTCATATTGTAGCTTAAGAGACCCCAGCTAATGTATAAAACAATCTTAAAACGATCTACTTTGGTTTAGATACAAGCCTCATGAAACCTATAACACAATAAATTAATTTGACTTTGTGAAATTCTTTTTACATTTTTCCTAACTTGCTTACCACTTTTTCCATGTGGTTTCTTCCTTAAGACTCCATAAAAGCTTCTTTAAGCTTTTTGAAATCATTCATTACCAGAACATTTTTTTGTCAGAATATTAAAAAGAAGAAAATTATTAGATTAAATTAATTAGTCATATCCTTGTTTTGAATGTGACCTGATAAACTGAATAAAACGCTTGAATATGAAACTGACACATACACAGAAAAGGTTACCTTCAGGTTTCTGCTTAGTTTTTGCTGCTATTAGGAAGTAAGAGATATAAAAGAAGGGACTGAGTCCATTTGGATGAAATTCCTCAGTCCCTATAACACACACACACATCAACCAATCTATTATGTAAAACCATTCCAGTCAGTACAATTATGAGTTTGTTTGAGACCCTGCTTCTTGGCATCCCAGCACACTCCCTCTGTCCAACACCCTTACAGCAGAGCTATGGAGCAAGCAGGCAGGCCTATACTGGTGCACTCTGAAATGAGTTCTTGGAAAACCGTATACAGTACATGTAGCTAAGTAGCCAAACCCTGATCTTGTCACGGTTCAGACAGACGACCAGAGGACCACAATTGCGTCACACCAGAAAGTTTATTAAAACTTAAGGGAAAAGGGAAGTAGGGAGTGAATGAAGGCTCCAGGGGTAACAGGGATCCCGTCCAATGTGCTGGGTCTGTGCCCCCCCCAGTGGCAGCGATGCGTCCTAAGAAGCCGGTGGTGGGTGGTCCAGAAGTCCTGGGGGGGGGAGACACAGACACAACAGGGCGGAATGAAACAAGGCAGCAGTACAGTTCAAGGGAAATCCAAAATACGTAGTAGCAAGGCAGAAGGCTGGTCAGAGTTACCGGGATTGAAGAGTAGTCAGGAGTCGTTATGGCAGAAGCAGGTCTGGATCTCCTGGGGCAGAAGAGTATCCAAAAATCAGGCAGGTCCGGGGTCACAAAACCAGGGTGAGCCAGAAGCGCGAGCAAACAGGTTCCGGGTGTGAGCTTTGCAGACGATCTGACACCGGAGAGCTGAAAGACAGGGCCTTAAATACTGGGAGAGGTAGTGGGTAATGCAGCGCAGCTGGCAGAGTAATTAGAGCAGAGCAGAGCAGGGACAGGTGGAGCTAGTTAGGCTGAGTAGAGAGAGTGGTGAGCAGAGTGGAAGAAAATTAAGGTGGTAACCCGGTGGAGTGAGAGGCTCATGACAGAACCCCCCCCCCCCAAGGGACGGCCCCAGAAGTCCCAAGAGCAACACCACGCCGGGCGGGAGGAGGGGAGCCGGTCCGAGTGAACGTCCTCATCCTCGGAGGAAGCCGGAGGGCCGTGGTCGGGAGATGGGACAGGTCCCGAGACAGGATCAGGCACAGGACAGGAAGCCGAGCGGGCAGGACGGTTAGGGACCCCTCTGGGGCGGCCCCTACGGATTGCAGGTTGATCAGGATGCCGTTGGTGGAAAGCGGTGATGAGAGTCCTATCCACAATCCGACTAGCTGGCACCCAGGTCCTTTCCTCAGGTCCATAGCCCTCCCAGTCAATGAGGTACTGGAGACCCCTACCCCTCCGTCTGGACCGAAGCAGGCGGCGGACGGTGTAAACCAGACCACCATCGACGAGCCGTGGAGGAGGAGGACAAGGCGCAGCAGGGACCAGCGGACTCTCATGGATGGGCTTAATCTTAGACACATGGAAAGTGGGGTGCACCCTCAGGGAATTAGGCAGTTGGAGCCGGACAGCAGTTGGGCTAATCACTCTTATGATAGGGAATGGGCCAATGAACCGAGGTGCCAGCTTCTGCGACTCCACCCTGAGTGGCAGGTTCTTCGATGACAACCACACCCTTTGACCAACATGGTAGGTGGGAGCAGGAATTCTCCGACGGTTGGCCCCGGTAGTGTAGCTGGCAAACGGATCTGAGGAGTGTGGCTCGGGCTTGTGACCAGGTGCGGCGACATCGACGGGCAAAAGCAAGTGCAGATGGGCAAGTAACCTCCTCTTCCTGGCTGGCAAATAGAGGAGGCTGGTATCCATAAACACATTGGAAAGGGGACATACCGATGGCAGAGCAGGTCAGAGAATTGTGTGCGTACTCCACCCATGTCAATTGCTGCGACCAGGAGTGGGGGTTGCGTGAAGTCATGCATCGCAGTGCCTTCTCGAGCTCCTGATTAGCCCGCTCTGACTGCCCATTGGATTGGGGATGGAATCCGGAAGTCAGACTGACTGTGGCTCCCAGCAGGTGACAGAACTCCTTCCAAAAAGCGGAGGAGAATTGTGGACCACGGTCAGAAACTACATCCTTTGGCAGTCCGTGGATCCGGAAGACGTGTTCCAGGACCACCTGGGCGGTCTCCTTGGCGGTTGGGAGCTTGGGGAGGGGAATGAAGTGTGCCATCTTGCTGAAACGGTCAACTATGGTGAGAATGACGGTCATGCCACTTGAAGGGGGCAGCCCCGTGACAAAGTCAAGGGCGATGTGAGACCAGGGACGTCTGGGCACAGGCAGGGGCTGCAGCAATCCGGCTGGGGGCTGGCAGGACGACTTGTGTTGGTTGCAGATGGGGCAGGCTTGGACGAATTCCCGTACATCCTTTCTCAGAGAGGGCCACCAGAACCTCTGGGCGAGCAGGTTGTAAGTGCGGGTGGAGCCAGGGTGACAAGCTAGGTGGGAGTCATGTCCCCACTGAACGACCTGGGACCTCAGGTCTTCGGGGACAAAAAGGCGGTCAGCTGGGCAAGTGCTGGGACCTGGCTGGTTACGGAGAGCCTCCAGCACCTGTTCCTCAACAGCCCAGGTCAGAGCTGCAACGATGCAGGGACTTGGCAGAATCGACACAGGGTCCTTGGAGGGGGTGTCATCCTTCTGGAATTGACGGGAGAGGGCGTCTGGCTTGGTGTTGCGTGATCCAGGCCGGTATGACAGAGTGAAATTAAACCTGGTGAAGAACAGGGCCCAGCGGGACTGCCTGGAGTTCAACCGTTTGGCCGTGCGGATGTACTCCAAGTTCTTATGATCGGTCCAAACGAGAAATGGAATGGTGGACCCCTCCAGCCAGTGACGCCACTCCTCCAAGGCAAGCTTCACAGCCAATGTCGTAATTGCACTCAGAGGGGGACAACCGACGTGAGAAAAAGGCACAGGGATGGAGCTTCCTATCCTCCGCAGCCCACTGAGAAATCACAGCACCAACTCCCACATCCGAGGCGTCCACCTCCACAATGAATTGCCGGTCCACATCAGGCATCTGGAGGATGGGAGCGGAGGTGAACCTCACCTTGAGGGTACTGAAGGCTTTGTCGGCTGCTGGGGTCCAGGTGAAGGGTTGCTTGGTGCTGGTTAGAGCAGTGAGAGGGGCAGCAACGGTACTGTAGTTCCGGATAAACTTTCTATAGAAGTTAGCAAACCCCAGAAACTGTTGTAGCTTCTTTCTGTTCTCCGGAACTGGCCATGAAGTGACTGCTGATACTTTGGCAGGATCCATTTGGATACTTCCCTCTGCCACTATGTACCCCAGGAAGGCCACTGTCTTGACGTGAAACTCACATTTCTCTGCCTTGGCGTAGAGGGAATTCTCCAGAAGACGATGAAGGACTTGCTGGACATGGCGGGTGTGTTCAGACAGGTTTCTGGAGTAGATTAAGATGTCATCCAGGTAAACGAAGACAAACTTGTTTAACATGTCCCGCAGTACATCATTCACTAGAGCCTGGAACACAGCAGGAGCATTGGTGAGGCCAAAAGGCATAACCAGATACTCGTAGTGGCCTGTTGGTGTATTGAATGCGGTTTTCCATTCATCTCCCTCCCGGATCCGCACTAGGTGGTAAGCGTTTCTGAGATCCAACTTGGTAAAAACAGTGGCTCCCTGGAGCAACTCAAAAGCAGAGGTGAGCAGAGGCAGAGGGTAACGGTTCTTCACTGTGATGTCGTTGAGTCCCCTGTAGTCGATGCAGGGGCGAAGAGATCCGTCCTTCTTCCCCACAAAGAAGAAGCCAGCACCAGCAGGAGATGACGATGAACGGATTAATCCTGCGGACAGAGAGCCATTGATGTAGTCCTCCATGGACTTTCTTTCAGGAGCAGACAACGAATAAAGACGACCCTTTGGAGGGGCTGTTCCAGGGAGGAGGTCGATGGCACAGTCGTACGGTCGGTGAGGGGGCAGAGATGTGGCTATTGCTTTGTTAAAACACCTCTCTGAGACCATGGTAGCATTCTGGGACATTGGAGAGGTCAGGAGCGGAGTTAGTAGGTACTGGCCGAGGGGGTAGTGCGGCAGCAAGCAGGCAGGTTCGGTGGCAGTCCTCTCCCCACTCCCTGATCACCCCGGTCACCCAGTCGAGCTGAGGGTTGTGCCGGCGGAGCCATGGGTAACCCAGGATGAGGGGTTGGCCTGGAGAGGGGAGCAGGTGAAACTGGATAGTTTCTTGATGGTTACCGGACAGACCCATCGAGACCGGGGCCGTGACATGAGTGACCGATCCGAGTAAGTGTCCGTCCAGTGCCCGGGCAGGAATAGGAGGTGTCAAACGGAGGTTCTCCAGTCCCAGTTGGCGTGCCAGCTTGATGTCCATTATGTTGGCTTCGGCGCCAGAATCCACCAGAGCAGCCAGGGTGTGAGTTGAGTCAGAGAGGCGGAGGTGAACTTGCAGCAGGGGTTTGCGGTCGGAGGACTGGATGGTCATTGAACTCAACCGGACTCCCCCTATGCCCGGTGAGCTTCGGCCCTTTAAAGGGCAGGTTACCACACGATGTCCATCACCTCCACAATAGAGGCAGAGGTTTGAGGTGAAGCGGCGCTGGCGCTCTGCAGGAGTGAGAGAGGCTCGCCCAATCTCCATAGGCTCAGACTGATCAAGCTGACCTGGGTGAGTGGCAGTAGATGACAGGAGCCCAGTCGGATCTCTCCGAATGCCGGTAGTAGGTGGACCTTGGCGCCCCCTCTCACGACGACGGGTCTGTATCCTTCTGTCGATCCTGACAGTCAGTGCGATGGCTTCATCAAGAGTGGAAGGCAGTTCATGGGAGACCAACTCGTCCTTGATATAGTCAGCCAAATATGGAAGAACGCGTCCACCAACGATGGTGTGTTCCAAGAACTTCGTCTAGCCAGGGTTCGGAAGTCGATGGAATGGTCTGCGACTGTACGTCTGCCTTGTCGAATACTGAACAGTTCACGAGACGCTTCTGCGGTTGGTGAATCCAGGTCAAACACCTTCAGCATCTCCTCAGCAAACAGGTCGAAGGTTGCACATGCGGGGGTTTGACGTTCGAACTCTGCTGTTCCCCAGAGTCGAGCTCGGCCCGTCAGGTGAGTGATGGCATACCCAACTTTAGCCCCCTCCGTGGCGAAGGTCCTTGGCTGCAAGGAGAACTGAAGTCGGCAGCTAGTCAGGAATGGCCGGACCTGGGTTGAATCGCCGTTGAACCGCTCGGGGTTTCCAATCTTGGGTTCCGGAGCAGCGGCTGCAATGACCGGGGCAGGTAACTCGGGGGCAGGGCTGGTGGGCAGACTGGCTGGGGTAAGGTTGGTGAGGAGTTGAATGATCATGGCGAGTTGTTGTTGCTGCTGCTGGAACTGCAGCTCATGCTCATCGGTTTCCATGTCGGGGAAAGTGTGCGCTGAGTCCATAATGGTCAGATCGTACTGTCACGGTTCAGACAGACGACCAGAGGACCACAATTGCGTCACACCAGAAAGTTTATTAAAACTTAAGGGAAAAGGGAAGTAGGGAGTGAATGAAGGCTCCAGGGGTAACAGGGATCCCGTCCAATGTGCTGGGTCTGTGCCCCCCCCAGTGGCAGCGATGCGTCCTAAGAAGCCGGTGGTGGGTGGTCCAGAAGTCCTGGGGGGGGGAGACACAGACACAACAGGGCGGAATGAAACAAGGCAGCAGTACAGTTCAAGGGAAATCCAAAATACGTAGTAGCAAGGCAGAAGGCTGGTCAGAGTTACCGGGATTGAAGAGTAGTCAGGAGTCGTTATGGCAGAAGCAGGTCTGGATCTCCTGGGGCAGAAGAGTATCCAAAAATCAGGCAGGTCCGGGGTCACAAAACCAGGGTGAGCCAGAAGCGCGAGCAAACAGGTTCCGGGTGTGAGCTTTGCAGACGATCTGACACCGGAGAGCTGAAAGACAGGGCCTTAAATACTGGGAGAGGTAGTGGGTAATGCAGCGCAGCTGGCAGAGTAATTAGAGCAGAGCAGAGCAGGGACAGGTGGAGCTAGTTAGGCTGAGTAGAGAGAGTGGTGAGCAGAGTGGAAGAAAATTAAGGTGGTAACCCGGTGGAGTGAGAGGCTCATGACAGATCTATTGATTGGTGTGAATGTTCTGGTAGTGAGAACATCGGTGGTGTGCTGTTGGCCACCGTCAGCCCTGGCTAACCTCTTCCTAAATATTTGGTCACATGATACATTTTGTGTGTGTGGTTTCCTAGAAACAAGGGGTGGCTCAACTAACCCCTTGGCTCAACATACCCCACTCTCCCCTATAGCCTCAAACCATGGTTAAAACTATAATTTTTATATCATGGATGGTCAGTCCTTGCACCAATAGCTCTGTCTATGGATTTGAGAGTGGTTACATTTCCCCAACCCCATCCCTCAGCTTTTTTTTTTTTTTTTTTTTTATGGGGGTAGATCAGCTTAATATTGCAGATAGATTGTAACTTCTATCAATGTAATTGTCTGCATCACTTCCAATCCCCCATGTTTTTTATATATATACTCCCCTTTATTACTTTTCAACCCCGCCATCCTTTCCCTACTTGGGGTACATTAGTGAACAACAATGCCCAGGCCTCTACTTCCAGCCTATACTTACTATCTACACCTTATGGACACAGTCAATTTTACAATAATTCAATTTTTTTTATTTAATTTTTTTTGCTCCTGAACTTCTACTCTCAACCTCTCCGGTCATTTTCATGATGTCCATCCGGTTTGCTTCTATATGCCATATCTTTCTAACTGTGCTCTTTCCCAAAAGCTCCCAACATACAACCTATATACTTATTATGGACTCAGCTTTTTACCAAAACAGTGGAGGGGTGTCGCTTTGTTATTGTTTGAACTGCAGATCGCCCCTTTAAGATGGTAGTGTAGAGCGTAGTGTGGGCTGTGTCTGAAATGGCACCCTATTCCCTGTATAGTGCACTACTATGTAGTACTATGGGCACCCTATTCCCTACATAGTGCACTACTTTTTTATTTTAATAGGGTGCCATTCGTGAGGCAGCCTGGGTGTAGCACTCCTTCTTACTGGGGTATAGTACTCCATGATGGGGTAGTGGAGCTTCTTTCCCTTGGTGGTGCGTCCTGTGAGGAAGCACGTCTGGCAGATGTCCACATTGAATTGTTTAAGACTGCGGTACCTGTCAGGATAGATCAGCAGAACGGATGATCATGTCACAGTCAGTACATTAGAGAGGCCCTAGTAATAGCTCTATTCTCAACCCAGATGTTGTTTTTGTGTGCGTGCGTGTGCATACATCCACCTTTTTTCATATTTGATAGAGGTACAATAGACCAACCTGAATCCCTTGATGGGGCACTGTTTACAGATGTAACACTTGGCCTGGTGCTTGGCTGACTCGGACACAGCCACACGCTGCAGAACAGCCAGCCACACTACAGACTGGGGCTCCAGACTCATCCACTCCAGGAAGTGCGATACCTCGATGGCTAGCTTCCCTGGGGCCTACGGGAGGAAGAACATGGGAAACATTATACCAGAGTAACTTATGTTTGTTTTTTCTCCTGTTTGTTTGTCTGTAAAATGCTATTATCTAGTACAGGTATGCAGTACAATTAACTTACCACTTCATCAAATTGCCTGTATTTACTGTAGGCTACTTATTACAAGGTAATGGCATATTGACTTAAAGTTACCCTGGAAGAACTCGTATATAAACTGCTGCAGAAAGCACAAACAGAGAAAGAGGAAGTTGATAGCGGCCAGTGAGCGTGGTGACTTTGTCAGAGGACCTGTTGCGGTTCTAACGTTCCAAAGCCATTCCGGCATTCCAGAGACGAGCAGAAAAATAGGATGAAAGGGAGTCAGGCTAATAAAGGAGAGACTTGCCAAGCGCAGAAAATCCGTAACGTGTAAAATTCTCATTAAGTGTGCATCAGAATGCATTAAAATATTGATTTCCCTGGAGTCTCGTCCCAACTCAACCAAAGCAGCGTAATTAATGTGTGAATGTGTGTGTGTGTGTGTCTGTGTGTCATGGCCGAGGAGGAGTGCTAGAGTGAGAGTTCTCCAGGGGAATGAGGCTCCTCTCCTCACTGCTCTTTTCTCTGCCCTGCTCACCTCTCCTCGACTCTCCTCTCCTCTCTGCTCTATGTTTCAGTAGCCAGCTCTGATTGTGGGAGGATGAATATTTCAGCATATTGAGCCCACTGAGTACACTGAACACTGCAAAGTATACATTGATTAAAATAATAATCAAATCAAAGCATATATAGATTATTCTGGCCACATCAAAACTTAGCTAACACACTGACTACACAAAGCAACAACACACAGAAAACACACAACTCACACACTGCATCACCTCACAGAGCACAACAGGCTGGTCTCTCTATACACACAGACCACCGAGCGCCAAAGCACAGCATGCCTACAGTAGTGAAACTCCCTCCCTCTCTCTGATCCTCCCATCCTCCATGTAGAGCCAAACCAATCTGCCCCGCTGTCATCAATGACTCCAATACACCTCTCCGCCCTCCGCCCACAGGAGGTGCCAGCGCGTCATCCCCTCACTTTGACTTCATTACCATGCCAATGTGATAAATTGTCTATTTGGGCACTACACTGATCATTCAGGCTGCTCATAAAAGCATTGGCATAGAGCAAATAGTGATATGAAGGGGTTTAAATCACCCCTAGTTGATATCAGAAGTATGGATGGGAATAGAGTGAGATTTATTTAAGGATTGGCTGTAAAAAAAAGGGAAGAATTAAGGGTTTTAGGATGGTTTTAAAAAGGCCACCTCCCAAAAACCTGGTCCCCGCTCATCCCAAATCTATAATTCGTTTCTCTCCTGAGCTAAATGCCACGAGGCGGGATTCCAAAAAGCTGAACCCCCCATGTATGAGAGTGGAAATGACAATGCCCTCAGCAGCAGCAGTGGAATGGGAAGAAAGAGTTGTTTACAGTTCTTGCATGTCTCCATCTTGCAACAGCAAAACTAAAAAATGTGTTACACCCCATAGATTCCATATGGTTCCACCTACACAAGTCTTTTGAACCAAGTTCCACCTACACAAGTATTTTGAACCAGATACATTTCTCTAAAATTCTTAAAGGGCGACTGCACTAAGAAATGCTAGCGGCCAAGACTGAAGCCAAACGAGTTGTCTTGGGGTGTGGTTTGATGTGGATATGTTCACATATCGTACCCTGGCAGGCACTGTTGTTTGTCCCTCCTGAGTCACCGTAGCAACAACATAGCCACTTCCTCATAATTGTCACTTCCTTAAAATAGTCAGAATTAATTAAGATAAATTAAGAAATCTGTAACTAACCCATAAGAGTCTAAGCCATGTCTGAGCCAGGGGAAGGGGGGGAGTCATATTATATGAGGATTTTTATATTATGCTAATTAGATTTCCGCGGGGGCGCGGACATCGACTCTAGGGGGTTAACCTCTACGGGATCAGTGTCCCGTATATGGGATGGTTGAGCTAACGTGCGCTAATGTGATTAGCATGACTATTGTAAGTAACAGCAAACTTTCCAGGACACAGCCATGTCTTATATGGACAGAAAGCTTAAATTCTTGTTAATCTAACTGCACTGTCCAATGTACAGTAGCTATTACAGTGAAAAAATACCATGCTATTGTTTGAGGAGAGTGCACAGCAACAAAAAACGTATCACGGCAACTGGTTTGATACATTCACCTCTGAAGGTAAATAATGTACTTACATTCAGTAATCTTGCTCTGATTTGTCATCCTAAGGGTCCCAGAGATAAAATGTAGCATAGTTTGTTTGATAAAATCAATTTTTATATTCAAATGTAGGAACTGGGTTCTACAGTTTGAACCCCTGCTGTCTCTGGCTCCACACCCACCCCGCCCGGCCATCTAGATGTGTGAAAGTTAGTGTATAAGCTAATGATCCATCATGTATGACATTCCTGGGAGTGTGTAAACTTACATTTTGTATTACCATATCATTTTTGTATGGTCTCTATAGTTATGTACTTGAAAATGTATCAATTTACCAATTCGGCACATTTGGGCAGACTTGATACAAAATAGTCCAGTATTGCAATGCTTCACTGGATCAATCTGAAACTTTGCACACAAACTGATGCCATCTAGTGGCTAAATTCTAAATTGTGCCTAAACTGCAATATTATATTGTGGCCTTTCTCTTGCATTTCAAAGATGGAACAAAATGTTTTATAGAAAACACATTTTTTTGTTTGTATTATCTTTTACCAGATCTAATGTGTTATATTCTCCTACATCAATTTCACGTTACCACAAGCTTCAAAGTGTTTCCTTTCAAATGGTATCAAGAATATGCATAACCTTGCTTCAGGCCTTGAGCTACAGGCAGTTAGATTTGGGTATGCCATTTTAGGCGAAAATTGAAAAAAAGGGTCTGATCCTTAAGAGGTTAATTTAGACACGTTTTTTTTTTTTTTGCCGAGGAAGTCTTAGTCGCACAATTCTACATCTACTGTAGCTAAGGTGTTTGGTGCAGTATTTTTCAAGTAAAAGAATTTGCATAAAAACTAGATAGTGCATCGCTCAGGACTGATTTCTGAGAACAATAACATGTCTACAACTTCATCATCTGCAAGCTGTCAAACTATCGTAAATAATGCACAAGCTACACACTGCTAGCTAGCTAAGTTCCAACTGTGTTTGTCAATGAATCTAGCAAGTAGTAGCTAGCAGGCACATTGAGCAGCCAGGCCTCAATCAGCTTATCAAGTGACTGGTGAGTGGCGACGTGTGTGCTTCGGTGCTGTTTAGTTTTTTACAACTTTCTCATTATCTATTACAAGAGTAGGGGTCTGTCTGGCAGTGTTTCATAGGGAATCGCAGGGGAACACAAGATGCTCAGGAAAGGTTTTTGGAATATTGACAAGTTGCAGTTGGGATACAAGTGCGCTCTGATCGTCTCAATTGTCATTTTGCCCCAAAAAGTGGTGGATTCAAGTGATTGACACTATCAAACACATCAGCAAGTGGCCACTCCATAAAGGGCTTAGGGCCAGTGGCGACCCGTCATTCAGTGCAGGCGGGGCCGAAACTGTTTAGCAAAAATATGTCACATATCAGTTCGCAACATTAACAACATAAAAAAATATATATTCTTGAGTTAATAAAGCCGCATACCAACATGGTCTCTTTCTTGAGTAAGGCAGCTCCAAAATGCAGGTGTTTCAGCCTAGCTCAGTGCTTTCTGTGGTGGAAGGGCAGTCAGCAAAAATACAGAGTGTAGGTGTTGGTAATCTTCTCTAGTTGTGCTGTGATTGGCTCAGTGTTCTGTCACTCATGGAGACACTACGTCACCGCCGAATCTACACGGAGGCAGTATAAGCCTCCTTGGGTGCTGCCATAGATGTACAGTACATTAGAAGTGCCCATCCAAGAAGGCTCAAGGTCATTGGCCACAGATAAAATGACGTCAAATCACATTATACATACCGTAGCTTTGATTGGACTGATAATGTCAACATCATACTTTCAAAATCTTACAAGCAGTCATCATCATTACATTTGAGTCATTTAGCAGACGCTCTTATCCAGAGCGACTTACAGGAGCAATTAGGGTTAAGTGCCTTTCTCAAGAGCACATCGACAGATTTTTCACCTAGTCGGGGATTAGAACCAGCGACCTTTCGGTTACTGGCCCAACGTTCTTAACCACTAAACTACCTGCCGCCCTACGAATCATGAGTCACGTTGACAATCTACTGGCAAATCCTTTTCAATCCTTGTCATATGAAGATAAATTATAGATAAAACATATCTGTGCTCATTGGCCATTGGCCATAAACATTACACAACAAGTCGGAAATCGCAAATTCAACAATGAGTGGTTTGGAAGGAATCAAAGGATAACTGCAGCGTCCCAAAGCAATCACTGCTTCCTCTGCCTGCTATTCGGTAGAGACGGTGTGTGGTCCAAGTCTGGGTTTAAGGATTTAAAACATCTGTCTGAAAGGGTCTCTTTTCCAAGCTTAAAAGGATAAACATTTACACGCAACACCATGGGGCAGAAAAGGTTGAATACATTGTCCATGCTGTAAATCCAGCATGATTTCTGCCGCGTTCAAAACAACTGGAAACTCGGAACTGGGAAATCGCAGACTTCAGTACGTTCAAGACAACTGGGAACTCTTTCTAGAGCTCCGACCTGAAGAGCACTGATGTCATGATTCAACCTTGTTTTTTTCAGAGTTCCCAGTTGTATTGAAAGCACCATAAATCCAGAGAATGCCAGACTTTGATGACAAAGTTTGCCCACAAGAAGGACCGCCGCGCGATGTTCAAGTGAACACAGCACAACAACGGTCCAAAAATACTGTATGTCTTGTATACTGCTGCATAAATGATGCAATATTTCTGCCAGGGAGATATGTATTCAGTAGCTAAAAAAAGTAATACTAAGTGTATGTGGTGTAGTATGCTGTTAGTAGCCCATGTGTCTTACCTTAAGAATTTGGTCTCTCTCCCACTCAGAACTTAACCTACTGTTCTGACTTGGTGGGGCACATTACATTTTCGTCATTTAGCAGACGCTCTTATCCAGAGCGACTTACAGTTAGTGCATACATTATTATTTTCATACTGGCCCCACGTGGGAATCGAACCCACAACCCTGGCGTTGCAAACGCCATGCTCTATCAACTGAGCTACCTCCCTGCCTGCCATTCCCTCCCCTACCCTGGGCCAATTGTGCGCCGCCCCATTGGTCTCCCGGTTGCGGCCGGCTACAGCAGAGCCTGGATTTGAACCAGGATGGCACAGCTAGCACTGCGATGCAGTGCCTTAGACCACTGCGCCACTCGGGAGGCCTATGGCCTGTTTTAGAGAAATGTCATCATTGAATATCGTAAGCTTTCATTGTCTGTTTATATGTCCCCTTTATTTATCCTACGGTTCTGACTTGGTGTACTGGGAGAATACTGTAAGAACGGCCCATGTTCTGAATTCTGTCACTGTACATTTCAAAAGTACTGAACAAATAGTTATATCGACTACTTTGTCATTTATGTCTTAATCGAAATTACGGCTTGCCTCTTATCCGCTCATCGTTCCCTTATGCCATAGTTTGTACATCTCAATTGTTATATTTCTTATATAGGCCTATATCATTAGTATCTTATTCATCATTGTAGGCAACAGTTTGTGGAAGGCCCTTTCCTGTTTCAGCATGACAATGCCCCCATGCACAAAGCGAGGTCCATACAGAAATGGTTTGTCGAAATAGGTGTGGAAGAACTTGACTGGCCTGCACAGAGCCCTGACCTCAACCCCATCGAACACATTTGGGATGAATTGGAACGCCGTCTGCAAGCCAGGCCTAATCGCCCAACATCAGTGCCCGACCTCACTAATGCTTGTGGCTGAATGGAAGCAAGTCCCCACAGCAATGTTCCAACATCTGGTGGAAAGCCTTCCCAGAAGAGTGGAGGCTGTTATAGCAGCAAAGGGGGGACCAACTCCATATTAATGCCCATGATTTTGGAATGAGATGTTCAGCACGTGTCCACATACTTTTGGTCATGTAATGTATCTAATTGTGCTCTTTCCCCTGAAGGAATTAATTAAAATGTATGGAATTGAACTAAATGGAATTGAGGTAATTCATAGCCTGTGTTACCATAGTATCCTTAACCAGTGTATGGTGAGGTTATAAGGAGTGTGTGTGTGCATGCGTGCCTGCGTGTTTGTATTTGCGCGCGTGTGTCAGTCTGTGTGTGTGGTCTCACCATGCGGAAGCAGCTGCGTACACTGGGCTCCACATTGCTCCCTCCGAAGGCGGCCACCTCTCCCAGCTGTCGCGGGATCTGGATGGCTTCATAGAGCAGCATACTGAGGTGACGCTGGTCTGTCAGACCCCCTGGACCAGACACCTGCCTGAACAGGTCTGATAAAACATAGAGGGTTAATAAAACGTGTGTGTGTTTGTGAGTTCGTACACAAGATTGTTTATGCAGTGTATCTGTATACCTGTGTGAATGTGTGGATGTGAATCTGTTCACTTCTATATGTGTCTATGCAAATCTATTCACTTCTATAAGTGTGTATGCGAATCTATTCACTTCTATATGTGAAGATGTGTTCCAGATTATGTTTACCAGAGCTGGGGTCAATTCGATTTTGAAGGCAGTCAATTTAGGAAGTGATTTTAATTTAAAATTCAAAAATGGAAAAAGAGAGAGAGAGAGAGAGAGAGAGAGAGAGGGAGAGAGAGAGAGAGAGAGAGAGAGAGAGAGAGAGAGAGAGAGAGAGAGAGAGAGAGAGAGAGAGAGGAAGGGCAGCCGTGCTGATCTAATTGCAGACAAAAGGGCTGCATTAGCGCTTGCTACCTCGTCAGGCTCTGAAAGTGGCCTTCATCTGTGAGTCATGATTCCGCCTGTCACTGTGGAGATGGATACTGACAGGTGTTTGAAGGTGCTGCACAATGCCAGTATAAATAGCACCAGCCCCAGCCAGAACCCTGACAGCCAGCCTGCCTGCCTGTCCCCTGCACATGGCTCAGACTCTGGGGGGAGCAGAAGACAAGCACACACACACGCAAGCAAGCACAAAATCACACACACACACACACACACTGTCTGCCACACCACCACGTTCACTCACTCACTGCCACCAGATGCGCCCCCTTGTTTACTAGCATAATCAGGGGTCATCTCTCCCCTGAGCTGAGGAGAAAAAATGTGTGATCAATCACTGGGACAAATTGGCATGGCTGGCATCACTGCCCCCAACCCCCACCACAACTACCACCACACAATCCTCCAGGATCAGGCCTTCTGTGCTTCGTCTGCCATAAAAAAAGACTCAAAATCTGTTGCCATTCAATTTTTACAAGCTGTCACAGATGGTGTGCCAACTGACAGTGGGCCTGCCCTGACCCGCTGGGGCTGTCTAAAATCTCATACCGATGAGCTCATTCTCTCTCCTCTCCCCCTTCTCTACATATTTACAAGGCTGTGTCGTAAAATCAGGTTAAGATGCTGTAAAATGGTTTTACTTTCCCTGAGCTGGGCACCAGTGAAATATTAGCGCATAATTGAACATCGAAAAGGGAAGCCAGAGGGGCCAGAGCCCAGAGAGAGAGAGCTGAGTGGTGTGTGTGTGTTCTCTCTACCATAGTGTATTCATCTCTGCCTAAAAGCCCGATGTACTTTGTAGAAATAAAGAGAGAGAGAGCCTTTCTCCATGATTGTGCAGCAGAGTAATTCTCTCCATTAGGCTAAGTGGTTGTCTTTATGTAATGCTTGCAATCAGGATGGTTTTGTTTTGGCCCTTTGTTAGGGGGCTGCAGGGCTGTGGTGTCTATATGAGAGGGTCTCATACTTACATTTATACTTCTCCTGAACATCCGCATTGCACAGGCTCACCAGTCCCGTCTTGAAGGAGAGGACACGCATCTTCCCATTGCGACCACTAGGGATAAAGCAGGGCAGGAGAAAGAAAGAAAGAAAGAAAGAAAGAAAGAAAGAAAGAAAGAAAGAAAGAAAGAAAGAAAGAAAGAAAGAAAGAAAGAAAGAAAGAAAGAAAGAAAGAAAGAAAGAAAGAAAGAAAGAAAGAAAGAAAGAAAGAAAGAAAGAAAGAAAAAAGAAAAAGAAAAAGAAATAAAGAGAGAGCTATATAAGCACACACTCAGGGGCACATGAAAAGTAGAATATGCCAGAACAAACACATTTACATAAGCAAACAGACACATAAACTAAGCCTTTACACTGCGAAAACAAGGGGATTAGAGGCAGGAACATATCCATAAACAGTGTTCTCTGGCCAATGGCAAGGCCACAGAGTTGGGTTGGGACTGGGAGAGCTGTGTCCTGACTTAAATGGGTCACATTATATATGTGTGTCTGGGAGGCACAGGGACACTGGCACTAGAGTCAGAGAGAGGGGAAGGACAGGGCTGCTGTTACTGGCTTTAGTTGGGAGCTTTGCTGCTTTTGCTGCCTTGACAGCAGAGTCAGGAGGGGATTACAGTCATTTAAAGAACATTAGAGGCAGTGGGAGTCAATGACAGTTGGATAGTTACATAGAAGCACTACCTTTAATGTGTGACAAAATAGGAGTCAGGAGACTGCATAGTCCATTAGAGGCAGTGGGAGTACATTAGAGGTAGTGGGAGTACATTAGAGGCAGTGGGAGTACATTAGAGGCAGTGCGAGTCTATGTGAGAATATAAGAGATGTTAAAGTCACTGGGGGAACATTAGAGTCTGTGTGAGAACATTAGTCAGTGTGAGAACATTAGTCAGTGTGAGAACATTAGTCAGTGTGAGAACATTAGTCTGTGTGAGAACATTAGTCAGTGTGAGAACATTAGAGTCTGTGTGAGAACATTAGTCAGTGTGAGAACATTAGTCAGTGTGAGAACATTAGAGTCTGTGTGAGAACATTAGAGTCTGTGTGAGAACATTAGTCAGTGTGAGAACATTAGTCAGTGTGAGAACATTAGTCAGTGTGAGAACATTAGAGTCTGTGTGAGAACATTAGAGTCTGTGTGAGAACATTAGTCAGTGTGAGAACAGAGTCAGAGGCTGAACAGAGGCATAGTTAGTGGGAGGGCAGTACTGCTATTAGAGTGGATGTGGAGCTTAGCAGCAGATCAGAGTCAGTAGGAGAACATTAGAGTCACAGAGAACATTACTGCCATTCCCTGTCATTATAGTCACTGTTACAGTGTACCCAGGAGACCAAGGGGGAGGCAGGGGGAGACCTAGGAGGAGGCAGAGGGAGACGTAGGGGGAGGCAGGGGGAGACCGAGTGGCGCAGTGGTCTAAGGCACTGCATCGCAGTGCTAGCTGTGCCACTAGAGATCCTGGTTCGAATCCAGGCTCTGTCGTAGCCGGCCGCGACCGGGAGACCCTTGGGGTGGCGCACAATTGGCCCAGCGTCGTTCAGGGTAGGGGAGGGAATGGCCGGCAGGGATGTAGCTCAGTTGGTAGAGCATGGCGTTTGCAACGCCAGGGTTGTGGGTTCGATTCCCACGGGGGGCCAGTATGAAAAATGGTATGCACTAACTGTAAGTCGCTCTGGATAAGAGCGTCTGCTAAATGACTAAAATGTAAATGAAGCAGGGGGAGACCTAGGGAGAAGCAGGGGCAGACCTAGGGAGAGGCAAGGGGAGACCTAGGGAGAGGCAGGGGGAGACCTAGGGAGAGGCAAGGGGAGACCTAGGGAGAGGCAAGGGGAGACCTAGGGAGAGGCAGGGGCAGACCAAGGGAGATGCAGGGGGAGACCTACCCACACATTTATCCTGACTCAAAATCACTCCAACCAACCCACTCTCCAAAAATAACCAGAGAAAAGAGAGGGAAAAAATCTGCTTTTCTCTTTAGTAATACTGAGAACACAACACTCCCTAACAGTCTGTGGGGAGACCTCATGATGATTACAGCCCACAGCTCACACTTCACACACACACACACACACACATACAGATCCCACTGCATGCTCAGCTCATTCGCATTCACAGCCGGCGTTTAACGGAAAACAAAAAAGCAATTACAGGGAATGCATGTAAAGGGTAAAATGCTGATTTCCACTCATTAGCAGCAGGTAGTTAAGGGCCGTAAAACAAATGTATAGTGTTTAGAAAAAAAATTGGCTGTTTATTCCCCCCTCTTTTTTTAATGTTCACCGGGAATTGTGCCTCTCAGATTGTCTGCGGAGGGCTTGGCAGTTGGCAGAGAGAGACGGGGTCGGGGCAATCAGAATCAAACAGTGAAGGCTTTCTGCTGGGTCTCAGTGGCCCTGATTGGACACCTGCCCGCTTGATTGAGCTACAGCCTCTCTGTGATCCTACTCACGACACAGCCTCCCAGGCACAGAGCCTACTTCACCAATGAGACGCCACTCTGAGAGGGCTCTCGGCCAATCATAGCATTGGACTAGCAGAGAGTGATGGACCTTGATCGTGGGAAGACGGTGAATTTGGCCAAGGATATGTGAGAGATTATATTGGCAGTAATGTTAACTGCAGGGGTTTCGAGTGACACACATAGAACAGTGCTGCATATGAAACCGATGACAAACACAGAGTTATTTGGTTAATTAGAACATAATAGCTCAAAGTGGCACGTACAAGTAGCTAACAACACAAGTGGAATGAACAGTCACTAATTAGATGAAGATTAAACTGTATATCTGAACACAAATTAATGCTTAACTCAAGGTCATGAAAAAGGTTCTTGACTGAAACTGTCTAAATAACCTTTGTGAAAGTAGACGTGTTGTATGCAGACGTAATCTTAATCTTACTGGCTAATTAGTGTTTATTTTATATTTCCAACCCCTTAAAGGTAATATAAGACCAAGTGAAGTAATGTGGTATCAAGTACCTGTCAGACATTGATGCACTGAGCAGCCAGTTACAACACATGACCTGGCCTGGTTGATGTCATGTAAGGTTCAGGGTCAAGGGTCAAGGTTAAAGGTCAGTGGTAAGTAGTACCTGTCGTAGACATTGAGCAGCCAGTTGAGACACATGTCCACACAGAGAGGGATGTTGACCACGATGGCCCTCCTCTCCTCCTCCAGTCTCTCGTACAGGCCGGTCAGGGCATGGATCATCTCCACCACGTCCATCACATGTTCCCCATGCTGCAGATCCTGCTCCCTGAACACGTCCACCACACTCACCAGCGTCAGCAGGTCCACTGGATGGGTGCACACACACACACACACACACACACACACACACACACAGACGGACCACCAGGGACAGGAGCATGAAGGAGAGAACACTTATTCACCTTTTCTCCCACTTAAACGCTGACAGATTGTGAGAGCGTCAAACCAAATGTGATTTTGCTCCTCTAAACTAATTTGAATGGCCATCCCAGGCTGGGCAGAGGACTGGAGATAATGGGGTGGCAGAGGAGAGGACATGGCTGGAGTGGGTTAGGGTTGAGAAAGGAGAGGACATGGCTGGAGTGGGTTAGGGTTGGGAAAGGAGAGGACATGGCTGGAGTGGGTTAGGGTTGGGAAAGGAGAGGACATGGCTGGAGTGGGTTAGGGTTGGGAAAGGAGAGGACATGGCTGGAGTGGGTTAGGGTTGGGAAAGGAGAGGACATGGCTGGAGTGGGTTAGGGTTGGGAGAGGAGAGGACATGGCTGGAGTGGGTTAGGGTTGGGAAAGGAGAGGACATGGCTGGAGTGGGTTAGGGTTGGGAAAGAGAGGACATGGCTGGAGTGGGTTAGGGTTGGGAAAGGAGAGGACATGGCTGGAGTGGGTTAGGGTTGGGAGAGGAGAGGACATGGCTGGAGTGGGTTAGGGTTGGGAAAGGAGAGGAGACACTAGAATACATTTTCGATGTGCTTTTATAGAGCCTTCCTCAATCATCCATACCGAGAGAGAGTGAGGGAGGGAGAGAGAGACAGAGACAGAGAGAGAGACGGAGAAACTCAGTAGTTACTATGGTAGCCTGGCAATTCATTATCCTAACGACACGGACTAGCAGACCAGCACACGATGAGGCAGGCTAGAGAGAGAAAATAGAGAGAAGGAGAGAGAGAGAGGGAGAGAGGAAGAGAGAGCAATAGGAGGGTGAACGGATGACCATGGCGAAGCGTGGCCTCAGGGCTGACTCAGGGTCAGGTGGAGCCAGGGAAGGAGGGAGGGAGGGATGGAGGAGAGGAGGAGAGGAGGAGAGGGGGGAGGTCTGGAAAGTGGAAGATAAAGCCACTACGCTTGGTCCTGGAGGGTACACACACACATTTATGCCTCACTCATCCACATGGCCTTGGCTAATTACCTTAACTGGGCCAATTAATGAGTTTAATTAGCATGCATGGCAATGATTTAGACCTAATGAAGGAGAGAAGGGGATCTGGTTGGATGAGGAGTTGTAGCTAGCAAGTTAGCGCTAGGCTAATCAATGACTTTGATTGGTAGTGGTGACCTTGGTGGCAGATATACCCCAGGACTTAAGGAAGGGAATGGTCAACTCCTGATTTCACTAATCATGGTCTAAAATGAAATAACTTTTCTGGTTGAATTAGGTGTGTTATAGCTGGGCTGGAACAAAAGCCTGCACACACTGCTCTGGAGCTCCAGCTTCCCACCCAAGTTACGGAATATAAGAGTTGAATGAGGTTTTAAAACACAATACGTACATCTCAGAGCCTTCTGCACCCGCCGCAGCTTCATGGCCGTCCGGTACGCTGAGAACTTAATGTTGTTCAGATCAGCTAATGAGGGAGGGAGGGAGAGAGAGAAAAAAATGAAAAAGAGATGATCAGAGGGCAAGGACAAAAGAGAATACAAACCCCCTCTCTACTACCTTTTACTCTCCCTTTCACTCTCCCCCTCTCTCCCCCTCTCTCTCCCTCTCTCTCCCTCTCTCTCCCTCTCCTACTCTCTTTCCCTCTCTCCCTCCAGATGAGACAGACCACCCTCGTCTGCCCTCATTCTCCCTGCATTTATCAGCCCATCAGTGAGTCATTAGCAGGGGCCATGTTGCTACATAATGGCGCTCCCTCCATCCCTGATAGTATCTCTACGTGTGTGTGTTGACAATCCCCTTGTCAGATCCCATTAATAAAAGGAACCCGATGCCATTTAAATCACAATTAATTTAAATGCAGGAAATAGCTAATCACAGAGCCGGCCAATCGGTCCCGCAGGTTAAGTAGACCAGTGTCGTCCATCTCGGGGGTGTCTGAAATATGGGGCCTCAATGAGGTTCGGGGTGACGGTGGCGAAGGCCCTGCGGAGGTGGCCGGTAAGGGCCTAAGTGGAAAAAGCTCAGAGGGGGAACTCTTTAATTGTCTCTGTCTTACCCAGTGCCTGGTACAGCTCTGTCATTTTTGGATGATCCCAGCACGTCGTCTGGCCTTGATGGCTGAGGGAGAGGAGGAAGGGAGAGGAGGAAGGGAGAGGGGGAGAGGGGAGAGCAAAGGAGGACAAATTTACAGGAGGAAAGAGTCAAGTAGTTAAAGAAGAGAAAAAAGAAACAGAGCAAAGAGAAAGAAGAAAACATTTAGAGAGAGGGAGGGGGACAGAGCAGAGGAGAGTGTAGAGAGGAGGAGGAATAGAGAGACAGGTAGAGAAATAGAGGAGAGAGCAGAGAAGGACCGTGTAACAAGGGAGAAAGTAGACAGAGTTGTTTCCAACTATGAGTTTATGAACCTGTAAAGCTCAGACACGTAGCAACAACAAGGCAGTAGGACCAATGTTCCACTACGATCACTCCTCACCCTTCACTGTGTACCAGCTGCTACTACTGCTTCACCCTACTGCTCTGACGGAGCTACGGCAACCGTGTAAGTGGCTTCACACAGAGAGCTGCTACTGTCTCTAGACTTCATTAAACAGACAACCTATCCTAGCACTCGAACCCCAATCCCTGCCAGCAACTGCTAAAAGGGGCAGCGCAGGAAAAGGAAAATATATCAGGGGGAAAAAGATAGGCAATAAATAAATGACGAGCACAGTTAAATAAATGAGCAAGCCCCGAGCAGAAAGTTTGCCAGGACCCCGGGGCCACTTCACTCCAACGCTCGTTATTACCTGTGTGAGACTGTTGGATCGATTAGGTGCCCGACAGAGGGCCCGTCAGATATTCCCCTCCAGTGGCACAGTTACACAGCCCATAACTAATTATCAGGCAGCAGGGGGAGCTACGGGGGGGCAAACGGGGGCAGCAGAGGGGCCAAACAGGGCCCATTCACCCATTTGTAAAAGAGATACGCTGATTAAACACACTTACACGCACAGGACACACACACACACACACTGTACACACACACACACACCGACAACACCCCACACACCTCAGAGCTGAAAGCTAAACACAGCCCAACCAGGGAGGATGGAGTATTGATGAAGTAAATAAGTGGTTAGGGAAGGGGCTTAGCTCGATACTGTTCTCCTAGGGATACCTTAGTATGAATGTGTTCTCTCCAGGTAACTCAATACTGCCATCTCAAGCAAAGTGAATGTCTTTTTTCAACAACCTTTTTTCCCTCACACACTTTTAGACTGTCTGCACTCATGTCCCCCAGTTGGACTTTATGTACTACACACACACACACACACCGTCTCCCCCCTCACACACACCCAGTTGGACTTACTTGATGTAGTAGGGTACTTTGTTTGGAGAGATGGCGCGTTCCCAGGGTATTTGCACTGAACCTGTAAGTGAGGGGAAAATCAATTGCTAAGGCACATCAAGCATGAAAAGCCATTTGCACATAACCACTGACCATGGTCACATCCCGAATGGCACCATATTCCCTATTTAGTGCATTTAGTGGACTACTTTTGACCAGGGCCCTATGGGTATAGTGCACTAAATAAGGAATAGGGTGCCATTTAGGACATGAACCACGTCAATCCAGACCATCTGTGAACATTCAGGCACCACAGAGGGGGAGCTGCATCACATAATAGGTGTGCTAAAGCTGAATGAAGGGAAAAGCAGCCTTTTGTGTCCAGTCTAAAAGAGGATTAGGTTGTTTGCAAAGGCTAATGGAATATGGGTGATGGAGGAGGCATATTGACAAGACCCGTTCAACGTAGCATTTTAGCAGTAAGCTACAGGGGCTAAGCTACCTGGGACTGGAATAGGCTAGACTGGAAAGGCTGGGAGGTGAAGGGAGACACGCACACAAGGACTCTGTCACAATGAACACAGTGAGACAGCTAAACACCACAGACACACACACACACACACACACACACACACACACACATATTCCTGGCGGGGAGAAAGAGATCAGCCCCAGAAGCATGACAGTGCTGACACAGCAGAGCTGGATGGGGGGACTGAGGACAGTAGGGGTTCCCTTTTACTACCACCATCATCACAGAGCAGCAAACACACACACATGAATGAGCACAGACACACACTACTGCTGCTGTGACTCAGTGGGGGATCAAGGTACAAAGCCTGCCCCCTCTTCCCTCTTCCCTCGACCCAGACACCACAGTCACACACACAGCCTCACACTGTGACCAACCATGTTCTAATCCCCTTCCCCCATATAAAACACCCCGCCACCCATCCACCTTTTCAACATCCCACCCCCTCCTCCCCCCAGCCCCTATACAGGCATAGCACAACGTGGCACAGCATTGCACAGAGCGTCACGGCACTCGGCGCCAACTTCTAATGAATGTGGAGGAGCCCTTACTGGAGAGGAAGTGCTGGGATCCAGGGCCAAAGTCTCTGTGGGCATCCTGCAGCTGCTTCAGACGCTCTTCAATGGAGCCCTGCGAGGAGACACACATACATTTACATTACATTACACACACACATACACACATTTACATGACATTGAATTATACACACAAACGCACACACATTTACATTTACATTACATTATACACACACACAAACACAGCACGGGCGAAATTTGATTTGATCAAAAGAATCACGGAACTGTCTTTATCTCATCTCATTCCTGCTACGAACACACACAAACACCTCCCTCCCTCCTCTTCTCCTCATCCTTCATTTGGCAATTAGATAGTGCTATGGATTTTTTTTTTTTACATTGACGCACCTCCCCTGCCACCTTGCCATAGCCCTTTGAAGAGCGTTGAGTAGGGAAAGAAGACACTGAATCTACTCTGCTCTGTTCGGCTCTTTTCAAATGAGGACAGTCATTTCACAGTAAGCTATGTGTATCGGAATAGAGGTTTGGGGGTGGAAGTGTGTGTCAACAAGCGAGAGGGATTTGAGTTCATGAAAATAAGTTGTGCCATTTATTGTCTCTGTACGGTGTGTTTTTCTCGATGTGGCTGTCCCAAAACGGATTTGTTGAGGACTAATCCTGGTTTATTTACAAGGTGTTCGATTCACCGTGTAAATCATTGTCAGAGGATGTCGAAACAGCGCCACAAACAAAGGGTGCTAAATCCACTCACTAGGGCCAGCCCAGGCCTTTTGGGGGCCCTAAGCGAGATTTGGTTGGGGGGGCTCCCCTACCTCGCGGGCAAAACATTTTAGTGATCCCCCTCTTGACGGCGGAGAGAAAAATGAACATTTTAAAGCTACAATTCTACACATTTTGCCAAGACGTGTCATGTTAATCTGTATCTGAGTGAGAGTGACTAACAAAATCAATGGGGGCCCCCTGGACACCTGCCCTGCGTGACAAATTTTGATAGCTGGCTAGACTAACTTACCAATCTAAAAATTGTTAGCTGACATGCTAACTGAGTGACTATCTGTGACTGACATAACAAGAGAAAAACTGCTGATGCACCGTCAAATTAAAAAATTGCACCTTGTTTATTCTACTATTCTAACTCTCAACAGTAAGTTGAGACCCCGACTGAGTTCCTAAAAAATGTTTTATACACACGGAATGTACAAAACATTAGGATCACCTTCCTAATAATGAATTGCATCCCCTTTTGCCATCAGAACAGCCTCAATTCGTCGGGGGGTGGACTCTACAACGTGTCGAAAGCGTTCCACAGGGATGCTGGCCCATGTTGTGTCAAGATGGCTGGATGTCCTTTGGGTGGTGGACATTTTGATACACATGGGAAACTGTTGAGCGTGAAAAACCCAGCAGCATTGTATTTCTTGACACACTCAAACCGGTGAGCCTGGCACCTACTACCATACCCCATTCAAAGGCATTTTAATCTTTTGTCTTGCCCATTCACCCTCTGAATGGCACACATACACAATCCATGTCTAAATTGTCTCAAGGCTTAAAAATCCTTCTTTAACCAGTCTCTTCAATAAGGGATCATAGCTTTCACCTGGATTCACCTGGTCAGTCTATGTCATGGAAAGAGCAGGTGTTCCTAAGGTTTTGTACACTCAGTGTATTTATACACTACATGACCAAAAGTATGTGGACACCTGCTTGTCGAACATCTCATTCCAAAATCATGGGCATTAATATGGAGTTGGTCCCCCCTTTGCTGCTATAACAGCCTCCACTCTTCTCGGTATGCTTTCCACTAGATAATATATAAATAATATGCAATTTAGCAGACGCTTTTATCCAAAGCGACTTACAGTCATGCGTGCATACATATTTTTTTTTTTTGTGTATGGGTGGTCCCGGGGTTCGAACCCACTACCTTGGCGTTACAAGCGCCGTGCTCTACCAGCTGAGCTACAGAGGACCACATATGTTGGAACATTGCTGCGGGGATGAATTGCAGTCGCCGTTGCAACTCATCCCAAAGGTGATTGATGGGGTTGAGGTCAGGGCTCTGTGCAGGCCAGTCAAGTTCTTCCACACTGATCTCGACAAAACATTTCTGTATGGACCTCGCTTTGTGCATGGGGGCATTGTCATGCCGAAACAGCAAAGGGCCTTCCCCAAATTGTTGCTACAAAGTTGGAAGCACAGAATAGTCTAGAATGTCATTGTATGCTGTAGCGTAAATATTTCCCTTCACTGGAACTAAGGGGCCTAGCCCGAACCATAAAAAACAACCCCAGACCACTATTCCTCCTCCACCAAACTTTACAGTTGGCACTATGCATTCGGGCAGGTAGCGTACTCCTGAAATCAAGAACTTTGAAAGTTTCTTCAAGTGCAGTCGCAAAAACCATCGAGCGCTATGATGAAACTGGCTTTCATGAGGACCGCCACAGGAAAGGAAGACCCAGAATTACCTCTGCTGCAGAGGATACATTCATTAGAGTTAACTGCACCTCAGATTGCAGCCCAAATAAATGCTTCACATCTCAACATCAACTGTTCATAGAAGACTGAGTGAATCAGGCCTTCATGGTCGAATTGCTGCAAAGAAACCACTACTAAAGGACACCAATAAGAAGAAGAGACTTGCTTGGGCCAAGAAACACGAGCAATGGACATTAGACCGGTGGAAATCTGTCCTTTGGTCTGATGAGTCCAAATGTGAGATTTTTGGTTCCAACCGCCATGTCTTTGTGAGACGCAGAGTAGGTGAACGGATGATCTCCACATGTATGGTTCCCACCGTGAAGCATGGAGGAGGAGGTGGTGGTGTGATGGTGCTTTGCTGGTGACACTGTTGGTGATTTATTTAGAATTCAAGGCACACTTAACCAGCATGGCTACCACAGCATTCTGCAGCGATACGCCATCCCATCTGGTTTGCGCTTAGTTGGGACTATCATTTGTTTTTCAACAGGGCAATGACCCAACACATCTCCAGGCTGTGTAAGCTATTTGACCAAGAAGGAGAGTGATGGAGTGCTGCATCAGATGACCTGGACTCCACAATCTCCTGACCCCAACCCAATTGAGATGGTTTGGGATGAGTGAAGGAAAAGCAGCCAACAAGTGCTCAGCATATGTGGGAACTCCTTCAAGACTGTTTGAAAAGCATTCCAGGTGAATCTGGTTCAGAGAATGCCAAGAGTGTGCAAAGCTGTCACCAAGGCAAAGGGTGGCTACTTTGAAGAATCTAAAATATATTTTGATTTGTTTAACACATTTTTGGTTACTATATGATTCCATATGTGTTATTTCATAGTTTTGATGTCTTCACTATTATTCTACAATGTAGAAAATAGTAAAAATAAAGAAAAACCCTTGAATTAGTAGGTGTGTCCCAACTTTTGACTGGTGCTGCATACAGTGCCTTGCAAAAGTATTCATCCCCCTTGGCGTTTTTCCTATTTTGTTGCATTACAACCTGTAATTTAAATGGATTTTTATTTGGATTTCATGTAATGGACATACACAAAATAGTCCAAATTGGTGAATTGAAATGAAAAAAATAACTTGTTTCAAAAAATTCAAAATAATAAATAACGGAAAAGTGGTGCGTGCATATGCATTCACCCCCTTTGCTATGACGCCCCTAAATAAGATCTGGTGCAACCAATTACCTTACATAATTAGTTAAATAAAGTCCACCTGTGTGCAATCTAAGTGTCACATGATCTCAGTATATATACACACCGGTTCTGAAAGGCCCCAGAGTCTGCAACACCACTAAGCAAGGGGCAACACCAAGCAAGCGGCACCATGAAGATCAAGGAGCTCTCCAAACAGGTCAGGGACAAAGTTGTGGAGAAGTACAGATTAGGGTTGGGTTATAAAAAAAATATCAGAAACTTTGAACATCCCACGGAGCACCATTAAATCCATTATTAAAAAATGGAAAGAATATGGCACCACAACAAACCTGCCAAGAGAGGGCCGCCCACCAAAACTCACGGACCAGGCAAGGAGGGCATTAATCAGAGAGGCAACAAAGAGACCAAAGATAAATAATAATAATATAATGCCATTTAGCAGACGCTTTTATCCAAAGCGACTTACAGTCATGTGCGCATACATTTTACATATGGGTGGTCCCGGGGATCGAACACACTACCCTGGCGTTACAAGCGCCATGCTCTACCAATTGAGCTACAGAGGACCACAGATAACCCTGAAGGAGCTGCAAAGCTCCACAGCGGAGATTGGAGTATCTGTCCATAGGACCACTTTAAGCCATACACTCCACAGAGCTGGGCTTTACGGAAGAGTGGCCAGAAAAAAGCCATTGCTTAAAGAACAAAATAATCTAGACACGTTTAGTGTTCGCCAAAAGGCATGTGGGAGACTCCCCAAACATATGGAAGAAGGTACTCTGGTCAGATGAGACTAAAATTTAGCTTTTTGGACATCAAGGAAAACGCTATGTCTGGCGCAAACCCAACACCTCTCATCACCCCGAGAACACCATCTCCACAGTGAAGCATGGTGGTGGCAGCATCATGCTGTGGGGATGTTTTTAATCGGCAGGGACTGGGAAACTGGTCAGAATTGAAGGAATGATGGATGGCGCTAAATACAGGGAAATTCTTGAGGGAAACCTGTTTCAGTCTTCCAGAGATTTGAGACTGGGACGGAGGTTCACCTTCCAGCAGGACAATGACCCTAAGCATACTGCTAAAGCAACACACGAGTGGTTTAAGGGGAAACATTTAAATGTCTTGGAATGGCCTAGTCAAAGCCCAGACCTCAATCCAATTGAGAATCTGTGGTATGACTTAAAGATTTCTGTACACCAGCGGAACCCATCCAACTTGAAGGAGCTGGCGCAGTTTTGCCTTGAAGAATGGGCAAAAATCCCAGTGGCTAGATGTGCCAAGCTTATAGAGACATACCCCAAGAGACTTGCAGCTGTAATTGCTGCAAAAGGTGGCTCTACAAAGTATTGACTTTGAGGGGGTGAATAGTTATGCACGCTCAAGTTTTCTGTTTTTTTGTCTTATTTCTTGTTTGTTTCACATGAAAACATATTTTGCATCTTCAAAGTGGTAGGCATGTTGTGTAAATCAAATTATACAACCCCCCAAAAAATCTATTTTAATTCCAGGTTGTAAGGCAACAAAATAGGAAAAGTGCCAAGGGGGGTGAATACTTTCGCAAGCCACTGTATATATAGTTTTTTGGGGTCGGGGGCCCCTTAGTGCTGGGGGCCCTAAGCAACCGCTTATGTCTCTTATGCCTGGAGCCGGCCCTGCCAATCACACTGAGAAAGAGAGTGAGAGAGAGTAAGAGAACAAGGCACAGTTATCCCGAGGCACTTCAAGGACAAGCAAGCCCAACGAGCTGAGATGAGAAGTTAGCGTTATGGAGAGGAAAACATTACCATTGCTCAACGTACACACGGCTGTGCACACTGACTCGCCCAAATGAATATACAGGATGCACTCAAGCCTACACAGATTGCTTCAGACTAATTTGGAGCAGTTTGAATGCTGCACAGAGATGTCAGTGCCAACTCTGCAGCGTACTACTAGACTAACGGAGGTTCTCTCACCCACAGCAGAATTACTAAATTATTCAAGACCAAAAATATTAGAGAATCAGCCTTAAAAAAAATGCATAACATCTGTGTCACAGTAGAGAGAGCAGCAGCAGCATACAATGTTATTCAAATGACAGGGATTTAGCATTTAGCATCACATTAGTCAACAGGAGAATGAGGGGAGGAGGAGAGAGAGAGGGAGAGAGAGCGAGGGGGAGCATTCAATGTGTTGCTGTGTTTTTACTTTGGCAATGGAAGACAGACTAATCACTGAATGTAATTATTGAATTGAGAGAGAGAGTAAGAGAAAGGAGAAAGAGAGAGAGAGAGAGAGAGAGAGAGAGAGAGAGAGAGAGAGAGAGAGAGAGAGAGAGAGAGAGAGAGAGAGAGAGATAGAGAGCGAGAGAGAGAGAGATGGGGAGAGAGAGAGAGAGAGAGATGGAGAGAGAGCGAGATAGAGAGAGAGAGAGAGATGGAGAGAGAGAGAGAGAGAGAGAGAGAGAGAGAGAGAGAGAGAGAGAGAGAGAGAGAGAAAAGCCTTCTTTTCTTATCAGAGCCCTTGCCTTATTTGCTGATTCCTGGCATCCTCACCACTTTCCCCTCAGAACAATCCAATAGGTTTCACTCTGGAGACAAAAGGCATCATTTGTTGCAGCCTGTCTAAAATGATGCACTCACAAGAGAGGCCAAGGCAAAGCTCCAGCTAAGCCTAAACCACACACTGTTGTAGCCTCTCACTATACTACTGAGCCATACTGGAAGAAACTCGGTCAGAAACTCGGTCAGATGGTATTTGATTTTTGATGATTTTGATATTGATATTTGTACTGCACTATTGAGGAGAGCTTGCTAGTAAGCATTTCTTTTTTTGTAAGACTGTATTTTTCTTCCAATACAAAAGCATACATAGACAAAGACAATAGACAACTTAACATTTACGTACATTAATTTCTACAAACATTAATGACATCCCACTTGCTCAGACCCACATGTTCCCATTTGAGATGACCACAGATGAAGAGAGCCATGGAAGATCAGGTTATTAAAGGAGGAGTGGTTGTGTGGAGGTTGAAGAGATGTTGTGGGAAGGTTGAGGTTGTGCAATGACCACAGATGTGAAGTGAAGTCAATCATATAACACGTTACGAGCGACGGAAGATGGTTGTATGGACGGTTGTGTTGTATGGACGGAAGGTGGTGGTGGGAAGGTTATGGGGAGGTTGAGGGAGGTGGTTGTGGGGAGTTTGTGGCAAGGTTATGGGGAGGTTGAGGGAGGTGGTTGTGGAGAGGTTGTGCGGAGGTTCAGGTCCAGTTACCAGCAGTAGTTTCCAGCGGCTGTTGAGGTGCTCCAGGGATCGGCCGTTGTCCATGGATAAATGGACGTCAGAAATGGCCAGCTCATGAGCCAGGTCATTGATGTGCTTCATGCCTTCCTTCACCTGAGTTAGCTCCTCCTTAAACAACTGGAGGAGAGAGGGAGGGAGAGAGGGAGGGGGGAGGGAAGGAGAGAGATGTAGAAGGAGAAAAGAGAAGGAAGGGGAAATGAGAGAAAGGAAGATGAGGGAGAAAGAGAGCAAATAAGAAAGCGGGAAAGGGAGGAAATAGAGAGGGAGAGGCACATAGACAGACACACACATGGTACATGGTAGTGGCAGGGTTCAGGCCAACTCCATTTCAACTCAGTCAATTATAGAAATCAATTGAAACTTGGTTCATAACATTCATCAAATAATAAAAAATTAACAATGCATGCCCAATCCCTTTCCTCCATTGACTGAGTTTAATGGCATTAGACTCACTCTGTTGTATGGCTGTGTGGACTGTGGACCTGTACTGGAGCTGCTGCCCGCACAAACACCATCACCATGGGAGAGATACAACAGGGACCCTTCATGGCTTACGCAACTTAAGAGTCAGATCAACCCAGCCCAAACAGCACTAATGATCTAAGGGGTGTGTGTGTGCGCACAGTGCTGCAGATTTATCTAGCTAATGGAGTCTGTGATGCAGCCTCATGACAAAAACATGAGATAAGAGAGCGAGAGAGCGAGAGCGCGAGAGAGAGCGTGTGTGTGTATGTGTGTGTACACTACAGACAGACAGAGCCTGCTGGAATGCCTGCCCTGGAGACATAGAAAAATTAGGAACATGTGCTGGCACTGACAGCAAGGCAAACATTGGCATGATCATAGTGACTAAACAACTAAACAAATGACTGGCTGGGGATTCAACGTCAGCCAATCAACTGAGGGAACTCTGTCATATCAACATGTCACTGGCTATTGACTTAATGCACTGGTTGCTGTTGTTGGCTCAATTGGCTGTCCGTTTGGGATAATTAATGTAGGAGAAGGATAGAAACTAACACTTTCTCTGAAACAAATGAATTGTGCACATAAATACACAGAAACACACTGAGTGTGACATTTATGTTGGCAAAGGAGCACAGATTTGTGGGTGGGAAAGGCTACCATAAACCTCATTACAATCAGGCAAGGTCATTCAATGTGAAACTTTTCTTGTGAAATGTGTTATAAGGAGGTTAATATTTAACGACAGTTTATTAAACTAAACGATGCACAGTTAACTCCTTACAACACACATCGTTGGGAAGAAAAGTTTCTAATTAAGTTTCATACTGCTAAATTCTAATGAGGTTTACAGTATATTTTGCACAGGTCTATGCCCTTTCAAATTTATTTAAAGTGCATTTAACAAAACAGTAAAACATTATATATATATTATAATTTAATTTTGCTACTGCAAAATACAGTGTCTTATAAGCCCATGTGGCACACACATCCTGAAGACGCAAGACATAGACACTAATAAGATCAGAATAAAATCATGCAAAATCAAATCATGTTGCCCAGAAACACTTAAACCACACTGAGTCAATAATAACAGAAACAAAGCTAAGAGAGCAGAGAGATAGAGAGACAGATCTTCCATAATTACTGTGAAATAACAGCCATCTAGCCAGCAGAGTGGAGGAGCCTCTTCACAGCTAACAGATTGGTGAGTGTAGCTAGAGGGAATCTTCTAGGCTGTTTTCTTATCAATAACTTCACAGCATTGTCTCCATATCTAATCAATAAAGCTGGATGTATTCATGTTTCAGGCACTATTTAATCTGTGTCGATTCCACAGGTATTTTATATTTGAAATCATTTCTGGGGGCTAAATGAAATCTGATATCCACACACACACACACACACAAACACAGCTTTGTATTTGAAGCAGACAGCTTGCTTAATATTTGAGACACACACATACATACTTACCTTGGTGGCATCGATGTGGTCCTGCAGTGAGTCAATGAAGAGGTCCCCTACAGGCTCCCATGCGTCCCGGACCCCCTCAGCCTGCTCTAGGGCCACCGCCAGCTCCTCCATGGCTGCCTGGGTCTGCAGCAGGCGCTCCAGGGTCCGCTCCATGTGCCTTGGACACAGACTATACTTTAACTTCTACAGTTGTTTTATACAATGTCATATCCAGTTTTACCACTAACCCAATACATCACCCTAATACCTGAGCAATACACCAACCCTGACCTTATTTCGGCCATAGCATTTTCCTTGAACTTACAGGTGGTGCATGTTGCTGACAAAATAAAGACCCAATGAAATTTGAGTACAGGCAGGGTAAAAACATCTCTAGCCAATCGAAAACCCAGAATCATGGGTGTGTTGTGGAGTGGGCCTGTGCCGCATATCTGACCTGTGTCGGTCCACGCAGCGGGCAGTCAGCTTCTCCCACAGGTCACTGGCCACGTTGGCCTGCTTCCACACTGAGCGACTCACGTTCAGGATCCGCTTCCTCGGAGACACTTCTGGAGGGGGAGGAGGGAATGAAGAGGGGGGAGAAGGAGAACAGGGTGAGGGTTTGGTCAGGCAGGCAGAGAGACTGTTAACCCCAATGTGTGCAAACATCAGTAGAAAGAAACTGTGGGATGGGGGAAACTGTGAGAAATATATTGTTGGGAGCAGAGAAACAGGGAGAGTTCGCCCCCATCTTTTCCCCATGCGTGCCACCAGTGGTGGAGAGCAAGAGGATGCTGGGTGGGGGAGGGAAGGAGAGAGGGGGGCAGAAACAGCCTAGCATGCTGCATTATTGATTTGACCAGATGGTGTGAACTGGGCTAATTGGTCCCGACCCAACTGCTCTCCCCAAACATACATTATCTGATCCACTCTGATACAGCAAGACAGGTAGCTGCTAATCAGACCTAATGGTGGATACACACCTGCTGGAGATCAACTTACTGAACTCCCTATCTCTCTCTGTTCTCAATGCTCAGGTCTGGTTTTGGTGTGTGTAGCAGGGTGGGGTGGTATGGAGCAGATTGGCATTTACAGATGTAGGATCTTAATTTGATCGCTCTTTTGTTGGTGACTCTTTTGTTGCAAACTTGTAGTGTATTCAGGTTTAAAAAGGCTTCTAAAGTTTGTACTTTCCACTTTAAAATGTCAGACTTGATTTGCCCTAACAAACATTTTATCAATCCCTACAAAACATTTCCATTAATTATAATCCACATAATAATTTACATTTCCTGTTGCTGCAGGATTATTTTCCTGGTGTAGCAAACTGGCTCAAATTAAGATCCTACATATGTATGTTGGCGTTTGGCATAGGGTTGGGGTGGGTGGGCAGACCTTTTCCGTCGGGCAGCGTCTCCTCGGGCTCCTGGAATGGGTGCTGTGCCAAGAAGACCTGAGCAGACTCCAGCACAGAGTAGATGAAGGGCCCCCGAGACTTGACATCCTCCATGAAGACCTGGAGACAGACAGGACAGGAGCCCACAGAGAGATAAAAGCATGGTTCAATCACATACATACAACATGCATGGGCTCATTATAACACATACTGTACATGATACACACACACACACACACATTAATTTGCATACATGAACACACACAGTGAGGAGCCACTGGCAGGGCCACATAGGACTGCCTAGCTGTCTGTCTGTACTATACCGTCTCTGTACTGAACTGCCTGGGTGCCATTTAGGACCCTCACAGAGAATCCTGTGGGCACTATGGACCGCTAGTGTCAACCAGCCTCTCTCGTCCTCAATAGCTAATCTCCATTCACTACTCAATTTACGTTAGGTAAAAACTTTAGCCTATATATTAGTACGTTCTTCTAAAATAGACTACATTTTCTTCATCTCATGTTTCTTTAGACCTGTCTAAAATAAATAATGGATTTATTGTGATGGGGTAGGCTATATTAAATGTTATTAGACTTTTTAAAATGTAAATGTTCCAAAGGTCTGCATCAGTGACTTGTAGGCTATGCTTAGAAGCCAGGAGATGCTAAACGTGTTTATGTTAATAAACGGTCAATTATGGTGAGACCGCAGTTATTTGCTTGACAATCACCAGCTGACAACATCTCATGACCGCCACCCCTAGTTATGACTCCTTTTGGTTTCCATAAAAAGCAGGAAAAATGCTTCCCATCTGTGTTAGGCTAAGTGAATAACGTGATGTGCCTCCACCTGTAATATTTGATTTTGATTTATAAGGGCGGGGTCAAGTTTACAGTTGAAGCGGCTTCACTCAACTCTGCCGCACGCACCACCACTACTTAGTTTAGTTAGCTTCTTAGCTAGCTGTAAAAAGCGTTAGTGTTATTTAACCTTAGCCTATTTAGCTAGCTCGAACCAGCTAATCTGCCACTGCCATGATGGATATCAGAAATTGGCTTCGCCAAGGTAGTTCTCCAGTGTAAAGTGCTGGTCGATTCAGGCGCAGCTGGGAACTTTATGGACAGGTCATTTGCACATAGTCTAGGCATTACATTGGTTCCCCTATCCATTCCACTCCCCATCAGAGCACTTGACAGTCGACCATTAGGGTCCGGTTTCGTTAGGGAAGTTACAGCACCAGTCACTATGGTTATACACGAGACTCATCGAGAGCAAGTCATTTTTTTTATTATTGAGTCTCCTGATTTCCCTATTGTGTTAGGTCTTCCCTGGTTAGCACCACACAACCCCACCATTTCATGGCCGCAAAGGGTTCTCACGGGGTGGTCGTGAGAAGTCAGGGTAGGTGTCTAGGTGTTTCCGTTGGTGCAACCACGGTGAAAAGTCCAGACACTACCTCCACCGTGCGCATTCCCCTCAAATACCTCGATTTGGCGCACGCGTTTTCCAAAATGCAGGCGACCAAATTACCACCTCATTGGGCGGGGGATTGCGTGATAAACCTCTGGTTAAACGCTGTGCCTCCCAGGAGTCATGTGTATCCCCTGTCGCAGGCTGAAACGGAGGCTATGGAGACATACGTCTCCGGGTCCCTGCGCCAGGGGTTCATATGTCCCTCCACTTCGCCCAACTCCTCAAGTTTCTTTTTTGTGAAGAAGAAAGACTGAGGTCTGCGCCCTTGCATTGATTACCGAGCACTGAACAAGGGGACAATACGTTATAGTTATCCTCTACCCCTCATTCCATCTGTGATCGAGTCAATGCATTGGGCGCGCTTCTTCACAAAATTAGATCTCCGGAGTGCGTACAACCTGGTGCGTGTCCGAGAGGGGACGAGTGGAAGACAGCATTCAGCACAACCACAGGGCATTATGCATACCTGGTGATGCCTTACGGTTTGATGAATGCTCCATCCGTCTTCCAGTCCTTTGTGAACGAGGTGTTTCAGGACATGCTTGGTCGCGGTGTAGTGGTCTACATGGATGACATTCTGGTGTATTCCGCTACGTGCGCCGAGCATGTGTCCCTGGTTCGCAAAGTGCTGGCCCAACTGTTGGAACATGACCTTTATGCCAAAGCAGAAAAGTGTCTGTTTTTCCAGCAGTCCGTGTCCTTCCTCGAATACCGCATTACCACCTCAGGTGTGGAGATGGAGAGAGATCGCATTTCAGCCGTGCGTAATTGGCCGACTCCAACCACAGTTAAGGAGGTGCAGTGCTTTATTGGCTTTGCCAACTACTATCGGAGGTTTATCCGGAGCTTTGGCAAGGTCGCAGCTCCCATCGCATCTCTGTTGAAGGGTGGGCCGTCCCAGCTCCGCTGGTCTGCTGAGGCTGACACGGCCTTCAGTAACCTGAGGGTTCTGTTCACCTCAGCCCCGGTACTGGCCCATCCTGATCCATCACTACCGTTCGTAGTGGAGGTGGATGCATCCGAGGTAGGGATAGGCGCTGTCCTATCTCAACGCTCGGGCACGCCACCCAAGCGCCGCCCCTGTGCCTTCTTCTCCAAGAAGCTCAGCCCGGCGGAGCAGAACTACGACGTTGGTGATCGGGAACTGTTGGCTGTTGTCCGAGCCCTGACCGTGTGGAGGCACTGGCTCGAGGGGGCAAAACACCCTTTCCTCGTCTGGACAGACCACCGTAACCTGGAGTACATCTGGGCAGTGAGGAGGCTGAACCCTCGCCAGGCCAGGTGGGCCCTATTCTTCACCCAGTTTGATTTTACACTATCTTACATCCCGGGTACGAAGAACGTGAAGGCAGACGCACTGTCTGTATGACACAGAGGAGAGGCCCATAGACAACACCCCCATACTCCCGGCCTCCTGCATTGTGGCGCCGGTAGTATGGGCGATGGACGCGGACATAGAGTGGGCGTTACGCACAGAGCCATCTCCACCTCAGTGTCAAGCTGAGCTGCAGTAGGTGCCTTCTCTTGTCTGCTTTTCCAAAGCCTGCCGCCTCCTTCCTCTGCCCGGTCTTCCCACGGCCCTGCAGACTGCGGAGGCCCTGTTTACACATGTCTTCCGGCACAACGGGGTGCCAGAGGACATAGTGTCTGACCGGGGTCCCCAGTTCACATCTAGGGTCTGGAAGGCGTTCATGGAACGTCTGGGAGTCTCGGTCAGCCTGACCTCTGGTTTTCACCCCAAGTCTAATGGGCAGGTGGAACGGGTGAATCAAGATGTGGGTAGGTTCCTGCGGTCCTACTGCCAGGACTGGCCAGGGGAGTGGTCGGTGTTCTTGCCATGGGCCGAATATGCCCAGAACTTTCTCCGCCACTCCTCCACTAACCTAACGCCATTTCAATGTGTTTTAGGTTATCAGCCGGTTCTGGCACCATGGCATCAGAGCCAGACCGAGGCTCCTGCGGTGGATGACTGGTTTCGGCGCACGGAGGAGACGTGGAACGATGCTCATGTCCACCTCCAACGTGCTGTGCATCGCCACAAGGCCAACGCTGACCGCCACCGCAGTGAGGATCCGGTCTTTGTACCGGGTGATCGGGTCTGGCTCTTGGCCCGGAATCTGCCCCTCCGCCTGCCCTGCCGGAAGCTGAGCCTGCAGTTTGTGGGGCCGTTCAAAGTTCAAGGCCCCTCGTTCCATGTGTCTGTCCTCAGGCCGGTGGTGGTTGGTCCGCTCCAGGAGTCTGAGGTGCGGGAGGTCCCTCCGCCCCCTCTGGACATCGAGGGGGCCCCGGTGTACACCCTGTCCGTTCCATCCTGGATTTGAGGTGTCGAGCGGGGGGCCTTCAGTACCTCGTGGAGTGGGAGGGGTACGGTCCGGAGGAGTGGTGCTGGGTCCCGGCGAGGGATATCCTCGATCCCTCCCTGTTGCGGGATTTCCACTGTCGCCATCCGGCTCGCCCTGCTCCGCGTCCTCCTGGTCGTCCCTGAGGCCGGTGTCGGTGCGCTGCTGGAGCTGTGCATCAAGGGGGGGGGGGGGGGGGGGTACTGTCACAACTTCCTCTGAGGCTGCCTCCTCTCCTTGTTCGGGCAGGCTTCGGCGTTCGTCGTCACCGGCCTTCTAGCCACTGCCGCTCCTCATCTCTTCATTCCATTTGTTTTGTCTTGTTTATTACACACACCTGGTTCATATCCCCTCATCAGTACCTGTTTAAGTGTTCCCTCTCCCCCCTTGTCTTTGTGTGTGATTGTTTATTGTGGAGGAAAGAGAAGCTTGGTGGAGCTCCGTGTATTTTGTATCGCCGGGAATATTCCCTGTGTGCCTTGTATTTTCCAGTGCGCCTGATTTGCGCACTAGAGTGTTTTTATGCATTACTGCGTAACTCTGTGGTTCAGAATAAATCCTGTTATTCTGTGATTTACCCTCCTGTGCCTGACTCCTTCAAAATCACCTCATCACACATATACTAAATAATATGTGTGAAATTACTTTTGATTTAGAATGGACCATTATCATGCACCTGTCTCAGAACAAGGGCATTGGAAGAAAATACAGGTCATCTTTGCACTTAAATAGCGAATGGAGGACGCCTTTCACGTCGATCATTTTCATGCCAGCCAGGTAGGCTATAATCCTGTTGTAAAGCGAAGCAATTTGCTTAATATTAGGAAAGCTGATAAATAAATACAGTAGGCCTAGTCTATAGAAATCTGATGGGATCCTCCTCTTTTTAATAGAAGCCATCAAAACTTCTCATGCAATTGCATAGCCTATTGAACTGTTGCGCTCATGGGCTCTCATGAAGTGTTTGATTTTGGAGAAAAAAAATCTTTGATGTCAGAGTGATGAATACCAGGCAGTTAGCAAGTTTGGTAGGCTACTAATGACCATGAGCAGCATCAGATCTTGGAGAAGCCTAGTTACCGTGACTAAACGGTCACATGGAATTTGAATGTGGTCATGACCCGTGACTGCCGGTGTGGTGGTAATATGGTCACCATTTTTTATTTAACTAGGCAAGTCAGTTAAGAACAAATTCTTATTTACAATGACGGCCTACGCTGGCCAAACCCAGATGACGCTGGGCCAATTGTGCGCACCACCCTATGGGACTCCCAATCACGGCCGGTTGTGATACAGCCTGGAATCGAACCAGCAGGTCTGTAGTGACGCATCAAGCACTGAGATGCAGTGCCTTAGACCACTGCGCCACTCGGGAGCCCTAGTAATACCTAACCACTTCAGTGGCTTTCCATAGCTCCCCTACACACACCACAGCGAGCACTGTCCATTGTGCTGACACAGCGCAGAGAAGATACAGATTTTGCGCCAACCTGTCACTCAATCATTTGAACTTTTTTGCTATTTTTATATAGGGACATAAAACTAAAACCGAGGAGGCACAAGTTTCAACTGAGCCCCCTTTTGCCCCCTCGTGGAGCCGGGCCCGGGTTTCCCCCGTGGTGAGTGACGCAGTGGCAACTGTCTTTCAGTGGCTATTAAACCCCATGACTACAGCCAGTCACTCCCTGATAACACCAGCCTCCCTCCTCACTGTCTGAATTAAATATGGAGCCCCACTGAACTGGCATATACCACTGATGCTAAGCAAACATGCAGAAATGTGTTCTGTGCAGGAGCTGCGGTTTCTGATAAGATTTCCTGGTGAGGTTACTAAGAAACTCAGACTTTAACCCACTTGTTTCTTTTTCTGAGGGAACAGTTGGTACCCGGAGTGGGATTGCGGGTTTGCATCCCTCCCTTAGGCCTCCGCTGCGTTAAAACTTTAATTCCAGCTAAATTTCACACTGAGGGGCTCCGTCTTTGGCTAAAGGAACATTAAATATAAAGACTTCAGCTCCAATTAGGCTACATTATGCAGGATGGAGGAGGAAGAGTCAGAGAAGGAAATGGTTTCATTGCTCCTTCCAAACATGTTGACGGCCGCTCATTTATGTCTGGGGCCCCCAGAGACCCCATTACACTGAGCTTTCTCAAAACGCATGGCGCTTGTAACGCCAGGGTAGGGGGTTTGACTCCAGGGACCACCCATATGTAAAATGTATGTACGCATGACTGTAAGTCGCTTTGGATAAAATCGTCTGCTAAATGACATATATTATAATAATTATAGTTATTTCATCCTCCTCTCTTTTCTCTGGATGAATAGATTCTGCACTACACTCATATGTATAGACCGCTACACACACACATACTTATAGAGTGATGCCCACGCACGCACACACACACATGCACGCGCACACACACAAACTGAAAGGGACACATCCCCACGCACTGAACCACTGCAGAATAAATCCACGTAAGATCAATAACTCACATTTCTTAAAACCCTGTAATTCTCCACAGAAAACTCCATACGATTTCCCTCTCCACTTTGTCTGAAAAGTTTTAGAGCAACGTCACGCTTGGGGAGTGGGAGCTCCTTAGATAGATTATAAAGGAAGACTGCATTAAAAATGGGGACATAGAGAAAATAAAAGGGATGGTGGGAGGAAAGGGGTGAGGAAGGAGGAGGGTGGAGAGTAGAGGAGGGGAGGGGAGCTATAGTGATTTTAGCAGGTACATGCTAAGTAACAAAATCTGTAGTATGGGAGGGAGGGAGGGAGGGAGGAAACAGCACAGTGGGCTATAATCTCTTAGCAGGAGAGAGAGAGAGAGAGAGAGAGAGAGAGAGAGAGAGAGAGAGAGAGAGAGAGAGAGAGAGAGAGAGAGAGAGAGAGAGAGAGAGAGAGAGAGAGAGAGATGGTGTGTGACTGTATGGTTTTTGTCCTGTTATTTGGTAAGCTGATTTCACAGCGGCAGTCAGTGGCGGTGGAGGGGGGAGGAGGGGGAGGTGCGGACCACTCTCACTGTCAATACGGCTCTCTCCCCTCAGAGACACACTGCACAAACTGACAGCACAGAAAATTGGAACGTAGGTGGAAAGAGCATTCTGCTGTAGTACAGGACCAATTATGGTCCGTGTGCATGTGCGTGTGCGTATCTGCCTTCCTGCCTGCCTGTTTGTGTTTGTGGAACATATCATACCAAATGGAGTTGTGTTTACTGGGACATTTATAAAAAACCCAGGAACCATTGCAAGGAAGGATTTTCTCAATGTTCTACCACAGAATAAGGAGGAGTGCAGAACAAGACCCTGAATTTGAGAGACTCTATCTCTCCCCCTCTTATATTCTACACCCGGCATCTGCTTGCTTGGCTCCACTACTCTCAGCTTTCAACCAGTTGAATTCCCCTCTTCATCAACACAGATCAGCCGGGGCTTTTTAACATGTCAAATAAAAATATTTCAGCTGAACCACTCCTCTTACTCAACGACAGTTCAGGGTATCTTTATAGATTCTCCACTGGGTGGTTTTAACACACACCACGGCGATCTTGTTGCCTCAGATCTCTCCTGTAGATAACAACCAGAGTCGTTATTTTGATAGATGGCCAAATTAAGAGAGCCTCAAATCGAAGTGGTTACTAATTGAAAGTAGATAAATCCCTGTGGAGGGATTAAGTATGTACTACTCTCAAAGTGCTTTCTTCCCTCTATCCTTAATGTTACCAATGGGCTAACCTTAAACTAAGATTAGTGTCAAAGCACTGAAACATAACCTAGTGGCCCTATTCATTCCAAACAGGTAACTAAGGAGTTTCTAGGGAGAGACAAAGTGATCCTGGTTTGTGCTGTGAAGGTGCCTTTGGATTTGTTTGATCAATACAAGTCAACTGGAAGGTAACACAAACACACATTCCTGCAGCTCGGCATGAATGATGGGCTCCACTCAAGCAATTTATAACTATAGTTCACTGTAATTACTGTGTATCTGCCTATAGTAAATTCATTCAATCCCACTTTCTATAGAAGCCATTGAGAATGGAACCAAAGGACCATAGTTGAATGTTCCTTAGTGCCACAGAAAAAACTTGGAATAAAATACAGTTTTGTTGCCTACAGGAGGGTAGCTCTCCAGGAACAGAGATGGAGAGCCCTGCTTTACAAGAACATCCTAATTCTTACCTACCAGTTTGGCTTGTTTGAGTGTTTGTGTGATGTAGCTTTTGAAAGGGGCCCAACACAGTACCTGGTGGAACTCCCTCTGGTGTTGGACAGCCCCCACGTCGCCCCCTATGGGCAGCTGCTCCGACAGTTCCTCGTCCTTGGCTGTCAGCCATTCTATGATCTCCTGTAGGGAGAGCTGCAGCTTCCCACTGTTGTCTGAGAACGCCTCAAGCCGCACCCTGCGGACACACAGACAGACAGACACACAGACAGACAGACAGACAGACACAGACATATAATAACCACAGTTAGGCGATGGCTGCTCATGATACCCAATACACCTACCAACATTTGTGACATTTGGTGACATTTGTAAACTGCCGTCACACAACCCCCAGTATCAACTGAGTATCACTTGATGTAACAGATGCACCTTTAAAAACATGACAACAGACAAACTGTATAAGATGGTGAAGGAACGTATGGGATATTCAATCAGTATAAGTAAAAAGTATGTGTCGTTGCTGGATGAGTTTCTTTGACATTAATCGATATGATGCAATTCAATATCCTTTCCGGTGCTGCGGCGTTTACATACAATTTTTCTAAATTCCGCATACATCAACACATATGCAAGCTAAAACATTAAATCAATCATACCCGGCATATATTACCATACACGCAAGACAATGTGAGACATTACCCCGAATAGCTACCTCTTGCAGAGGGGGTTGGGAGGAATAAACTCGGAATAAATAGAGCCCAGAATGTATCTCTTTGCCACCTGCCAGAAGTGTGAGGGATTGTCTGGCTGAATCAGGGGAGCTCCATCAGGAGCACAGCTGGGTATGGGGAGGAGGCAGAGTGTGAAAGTGCCCCAGTGTTTCAATTACACACTAGATCCCCAGCTTGCAGCTACCACTCAAAATATCATTATTTCTGCAGAATGTCATTCCCCACCAGTGTCAAAACATGGACGGAGAGTGGGAGATAGAGGGGGGAGGGAGGAGGGAGAATGTGTGCCAGCCGCCACAGCTCTGACTGCAACAAAGATGGTGGTATGTGAGAGGAGGGAGGCACATTGCAGAAATGCTAGTCAAGGTTTATTTTTATTTTTTTATTTTTTTTCACCTTTATTTAACCAGGTAAACCAGTTGAGAACAAGTTCTCATTTACAACTGCGACCTGGCCAAGATAAAGCAAAGCAGTGCGATAAAAAAACAACAACACAGAGTTACATATGGGGTAAAACAAAACAAAGTCAAAAATACAACAGAAATACATATAATATACAGTGTGCAAATTTAGCAAGTTATGGAGGTAAGGCAATAAAATAGGCTATAGTGCAAAATAATTACAATTTAGTATTAACACTGGAATGATGTGCAAGAGATGATGTGCAAATAGAGATACTGGGGTACAAATGAGCAAAATAAATAACAATATAGGGATGAGGTAGTTGGGCGGGCTAATTTCAGATGGGCTGTGTACAGGTGCAGTGATCGGTAAGGTGCTCTGACAACTGATGCTTAAAGTTAGTGAGGGAGATAAGTGTCTCCAGCTTCAGAGATTTTTGCAATTTGTTCCAGTCATTGGCAGCAGAGAACTGGAAGGAATTGCGGCCAAAGGAGGTGTTGGCTTTGGGGATGACCAGTGAGATATACCCGCTGGAGCGCAGACTACGGGTGGGTGTTGCTATGGTGACCAATGAGCTAAGATAAGGCGGGGATTTGCCTAGCAGTGATTTATAGATGGCCTGGAGCCAGTGGGTTTGGCGACGAATATGTAGTGAGGACCAGCCAACAAGAGCGTACAGGTCACAGTGGTGGGTATTATATGGGGCTTTGGAGACAAAACGGATGGCACTGTGATAGACAACATCCAATTTGCTGAGTAGAGTGTTGGAGGCTATTTTGTAAATGACATCGCCGAAGTCAAGGATCGGTAGGATAGTCAGTTTTACGAGGGCATGTTTGGCAGCATGAGTGAAGGAGGCTTTGTTGCGAAATAGGAAACCGATTCTAGATTTAACTTTGGATTGGAGATTCTTAATGTGAGTCTGGAAGGAGAGTTTACAGTCTAACCAGATACCTAGATATTTGTAGTTGTCCACATACTCTAGGTCAGACCCGTCTAGAGTAGTGATTCTAGTCGGGTGGGCGGGTGCAAGCAGCGTTCGGTTGAAGAGCATGCATTTAGTTTTACTAGTGTTTAAGAGCAGTTGGAGGCTACTGAAGGAGTGTTGTATGGAATTGAAGCTCGTTTGGAGGTTTGTTAACACAGTGTCCAATGAAGGGCCAGATGTATACAAAATGGTGTCGTCTGCGTAGAGGTGGATCTGAGAGTCACCAGCAGCAAGAGCGACGTCATTGATATACACAGAGAAAAGAGTTGGCCCAAGAATTGAACCCTGTGGCACCCCCATAGAGACTGCCATAGGTCCAGACAACAGGCCCTCCGATTTGACACATTGAACTCTATCTGAGAAGTAGTTGGTGAACCAGGCGAGGCAGTCATTTGAGAAACCAAGGCTATTTAGTCTGCCAATAAGAATGCGGTGGTTGACAGAATCGAAAGCCTTGGCCAGGTCAATGAAAACGGCTGCACAGTACTGTCTATTATCGATCGCGGTTATAATATCGTTTAGGACCTTGAGCGTGGCTGAAGTGCACCCATGACCAGCTCGGAAACCGGATTGCATAGCGGAGAAGGTACGGTGGGATTCGAAATGGTCGGTGATCTGTTTGTTGACTTTCAAAAACTTTTGAAAGGCAGGGCAGGATGGATATGGGTCTGTAACAGTTTGGATCTAGAGTGTCACCCCCTTTGAAGAGGGGGATGACCGCGGCAGCTTTCCAATCTCTGGGGATCTCAGACGTTACGAAAGAGAGGTTGAACAGGCTAGTAATAGGGGTTGCGACAATTTTGGCGGCTAGTTTTAGAAAGAAAGGGTCCAGATTGTCTAGCCCAGATGATTTGTAGGGGTCCAGATTTTGCAGCTCTTTTAGAACATCAGCTGTCTGGATTTGTGTGAAGGAGAAGCGGGGGGGGGCATGGGTAAGTTGCAGCGGAGGGTGCAGAGCTGGTGGCCGGGGTAGTGGTAGCCAGGTGGAAAGCATGGCCAGCCGTAGCAAAATGCTTGTTGAAATTCTCGATTATTGTAGATTTATCGGTGGTGATAGTGTTTCCTAGCCTCAGTGCAGTGGGCAGCTGGGAGGAAGTGCTCTTATTTTCCATGGACTTTACAGTGTCCCAAAACTTTTTGGAGTTAGTGCTACAGGATGCAAATTTCTGTTTGAAAAAGTTAGCCTTTGCTTTCCTAACTGCTTGTGTATATCGGTTCCTAACTTCCCTGAAAAGTTGCATATCGTGGGGGCTATTTGATGCTAATGCAGTACGCCACAGGATGTTTTTGTGCTGGTCAAGGGCAGTCAAGTCTGAGGAGAACCAGGGGCTATATCTGTTCTTAGTTCTGTATTTTTTGAATGGGGCATGTCTATTTAAGATTGAGAGGAAATTACTTTTAAAGAACAACCAGGCATCCTCTACTGACGGAATGAGATCTATATCCATCCAGGATACCTGGGCCAGGTCAATTAGGAAGGCCTGCTCGCTGAAGTGTTTTTGGGAGCGTTTGACAGTGATGAGGGGTGGTCGTTTGACCGCGGACCCGTTACGGACGCAGGCAATAAGGCAGTGATCGCTGAGATCCTGGTTGAAGACAGCGGAGGTGTATTTAGAGGGTAAGTTAGTCAGGATGATATCTATGAGGGTACCCATGTTTACGGATTTAGGGTTGTACCTGGTAGGTTCGTTGATAATTTGTGTGAGATTGAGGGCATCTAGTTTAGATTGTAGGATGGCCGGGGTGTTAAGCATATCCCAATTTAGGTCACCAAGCAGTACGAACTCTGAGGATAGATGGGGGGCGATCAATTCACATATGGTGTCCAGGGCACAGCTGGGGGCTGAGGGGGGTCTGTAGCAAGCGGCAACAGTGAGAGATTTATTTCTGGAAAGGTGGATTTTTAGAAGTAGAAGCTCAAACTGTTTGGGCACAGACCTGGATAGTATGATGGAGCTCTGCAGGCTATCTCTACAGTATATTGCAACTCCACCCCCTTTGGCAGTTCTATCTAGACGGAAAATGTTATAGTTGGGGATGGAAATTTCAGAATTTTTGGTGGCCTTCCTAAGCCAGGATTCAGACACTGCTAGAACATCAGGGTTGGCGGAGTGTGCTAACGCAGTGAATAACTCAAACTTAGGAAGGAGGCTTCTGATATTTATGTGCAGAAAACCAATACTTTTACGGTTACAGAAGTCAACAAATGATAGCTCCTGGGGAGTAGGAGTGATACTGGGGGCTGCAGGGCCTGGGTTAGCCTCTACATCACCAGAGGAACAGAGGAGGACTAGAATAAGGATACGGCTAAAGGCTTTAAGAACTGGTCTTCTAGTGCGTTGGGTACATAGAATAAAGGGGGCAGTTCTCCGGGCGTTGTAGAAAAGATTCAGGGCATTATGTACAGAAAAGGATATGGAAGGATATGAGTACAGTTCAGGTAACCCTAAGCGTTGGGTAACAATGAAAGAGATAGCGTCATTGGAGGCATCGATTGAGCCGGTCTCGGCGTGTATGGGGGGGGGAACAAAGGAACTATATGAGGCAGTTTGAGAGGGACTAGGGGTTCTACATTGAAATTGTATAATAAGAACTAACCCAAACAGCAATAGGCAAGGCATAATTGACATGGGAGAGAGGCATAAAGCAGTCACATGTGTTATTAGAGAGAGCTAAGACACAACTGGAAATAGCGATAACGTTTGGGCTAAGACTAAACAGAATAAACAGGACAGGGTACCGTGTAAAGGAACAGTCCAGCAGGCATCAGCTGTGCAGCTGAGTGATCATAAGGTCCAGTGAACAGCAATATGTGAGTCCGAGAGCAGTTCAAATTGGTGCTTCAGCACAGCTAGCAGGGAGCACAGTTGTAGTTTGCGTGTGCTAGCGGGCCGGGGGTGGCAGATGGATCTTCGTGGTCGTCGCAACGGGAAGCCTGTTGAAACCACATCAGACTATTTCGTCGGCAAACCAGTCGTGTTGGATCGGCGGGGCTCAGTGTCAACACTAGGAGGTCCCGTCCGGTTGACAGAGAGGTAGATAGCCGGGAGATGGGCCTGAGGCTAGCTCAAGGCTAACTGGTGCTTGCTATAGGGCAATGGTAATGGTAATCAGCCAACAACAGGTTGCAGCTAGCTAGCTGGTTGTGATGATCCGGCGCTAGGGTCCAGTGATTCCGGCAGAAAGTCCAATAAGCTCTGGGTCGATAGCACGCTGGGTCGATAGCACGCTGTGCAGACTGGCCG